GCTATAGAGTACTACCCAAAAATACAAATTTGACCGTGTCATTTCCTAGCTTAAATTTAAGCTTAATCTTTAAAAAAATATTTTATTTATTTATTCACGAGAGACACAAAGAGAGAGGCAGAGACATAGGCAGAGGGAGAAGCTCCTGTGGGAAGCCTCATGCAGGTCTTGATCCCAGGACCTCGGGATCACGACTTGAGCCAAAGGCAGACACTCAACCACTGAGCCACCCAGGTGCCCCTAAGCTTAACATTTGTGATCATCTGTGGGATAAAGGCCCTTTGCAGTCTTCCCTGTTAGGCTGAAAGCTTCATGAGGGCCAGAACTGTGTCTGCTTCAGTGCTTCATCTTCAGTACATAGTGTTGGGCCAGGCACTTGTTAGGAGTTCTTTAGGCTCCTAAATTGATGGGACTTGTGTCTCTTGGCTCAGGCTCTGCAAGCATTGAACAGCCATGGTGTTTTATTTGTTCATTTTATTATTAATGTTTATTCTTTTTATTTCTGTGAAGTCCTTCTAAATATTTCCTTTAATTTTTTGTGTGTACAATACAGTATTGTTAATTATTGGGACAATATTATATGGCAGATCTCTGGAACTTATTCATCCTATATAATTTAGACTTTATACCCATTGATTAGCAACTCCTCATTTCCCTTTCCCCACAGGCCCTGACAAACATCAATCTACTCTCTGATTTTATGAGTTTCTTTATTTTAGATACCCTGACAAACATCATTCTACTCTCTGATTTTATGAGTTTCATTATTTTAGATACCTCATATAAGTGGAATTGTGCAATATTTGTCTTTCTGTGACTGGCTTATTTCACTTAGTGTAATGTTCTCAAGATTTATCCATGTTACCACATGTTGCAGGATTTCCTTCTCTTAAAAATATTATAATATTCCATTGTATGTATTACCAACATTTTCTTTATCCATTCATCTGTCAATGGACAGTTAGGTTGTTATTGCATCTTGGCTATTATGATTAGTGCTGCACTGAAACACTGGAGTGCTAATATCTCTGAGATCTTGATTTAAATTCTTTTTTTAAAAAAGATGTTATTATTCATGATAGACACAGAAAGAGAGGCAGAGACACAAGCAGAGGAAGAAGCAGGCTCCATGCAGGGAGCCCGATCCTGGACCTGGATCATGCCCTGAGCCAGAGGCAGATGCTTAACTGCTGACCCAGGTGTCCCAATTTAAATTCTTTTGAATGACTATCTAGAAATGGGATTGGTAGATGATATGGTATTTCTATTTTTAATTTTTTGAGGAATCTTTGTACTGTTTTCCATAGTGGCTACACCTTTTTGCATTCTCATGTAAGTGTAAACGTTCCAATTCTACACATCTTTTGCATACTTGTCTGTTGTTTTGACAATAGCCATCCTAGCAATGTGAGTTGATATCTCATTTTTGTGGTTTTGATTTGCATTTCCTGATGATTATTAATGTTGAGCATCTTTTCATATACTTGTTGACCATTTGGATGTCTTCTTCGGAGAAAAATATATTCCAGTCTTAAGTCCATTTTTATTTTATTTTTTAAAGATTTTATTTATTTATTCATGAGAGACACACAGAGAGAGAGAGGCAGAGACACAGGCAGAGGGAGAAGCAGGCCCCACGCAGGGAGCCCAACGCGGGACCCAGTCCCAGGTCTCCAGGATCATACCCTGGGCTGAAGGCGGCACTAAACCACTGAGCCACCTGAGCTGCCCCAAGTCCATTTCTAAATTGGGTTATTGGATTGTTTTGCTATTGAGTTGTAGGTGGTTTTTTTTTAAGATTATATTTATTCATGAGAGACAGAGAGAGAGAGAGAGAGAGAGAGAGAAGCAAAGACATAGGCAGAGGGAGAAGCAGGCTCCCTGTGTGGAGACCGATGCAGGACTCGATTCCAGGACGCTAGGATCACAACCTGAGCTGAAGGCAGATGCTCAATCACTGAGCCACCCAGGTGCCCCTCAAAAAGTTAATTTGAAATAAATAATATAGACATGTAAAGTCCTTCATTAAAGTTAAAAAGTCAATTATTTTCCAAAAGTCTGTTAGTCTTTCAAAAATAGAGCATAGTGAGAGTGAGCTTGGAATAAGTTTATTTTTATATGCCCTGGAGGTCATGATTGACTTATTTAGGCTAACAAGGTAAATCTGCAGTTAAAAAAATCTAGTGCCAGGGATCCCTGGGTGGCTCAGTGGTTTAGCGCCTGCCTTCAGCCCAGGGCGTGATTGATCCTGGGTTCCCGGGATCCAGTCCCACATCAGGCTCCCTGCATGGAGCCTGCTTCTCCTGCTGCCTGTCTCTCTCTCTCTCTCTCTCTCTCTCTGTCTCTCATGAATAAATTTTTAAAATCTTAAAAAAAAATCTAGCTCCCAAACCAAGAAACAGACTCTTAACTATAGAGAGAACAAACAGATGGTTACCAGAGGGGAAGTGGGTGGGGTAGATGGGCTAATCAGTGATAGGGATTAAGAGGTACACTTGTCGTGATACCCACTGGGTGATGTATGAAAGTGGTTGATCACTATATTGTACACCTGAAACTAATATAACACTATGTTAACTAATTGGAATTTAATTAAAAAACTTAAGAAAAAAGAATATAAGGTAACAAAAAAATCAAGAAATATTGTGTCCTTATTAAGAGTTTATAGTCTCAGTGTACTCTGGGTGGATTATAACACATCTGAGAAAGTTGTCCATTTTAGCCCCTTACTTCAGATGGAACAAAGAGGGGCTCCTGGGTGGCTCACTTGGTTGTGTCTGCTTTCAGTTTGGGTCATGATCTGGGGGTCCTGAGATCAAGTCCTGAGTCAGGTTCCTTGCTCTGCGGGGAGTCTGCTTCTCCCTCTCCTCCCCAGCTCATGTTCTCTCTCTGTCGTTATCTCTTTCTCTCTCTCAAATAAATGGATAAAATCTTTAAAAAACAAACTACTTGGAACAAAGAGGAACAACCAAAGGAGGCCGGTATGGTCAGAGGTCACCTGAGGGATGATTGAGAGAACTGGAGATGCTTAGCCTGAGGAGGCACTTTCAGGAAATGTAATACCAGGCTGTAAATGTTTGAAAGGATATTGTGGCAAAGGATCGAAGGATTAGAAGAGCAGAGGTTATTAGGAAGACAATTTTACTTAGGTCAAAATAGGGAAGAACATTGTATTCTCATCTCTTGGTGAAAAGGGCCTCTTTCTTTTCTTTTTCTTTTTTTTTCTTTTTTCTTTTTCTTTTCTTTTCTTTTCTTTTCTTTTCTTTTCTTTTCTTTTTCTTTCTTTTCTTTCTTTTTTCTCTTTCAGATGCCAGTCTCAAGTAGGAGGTCCCAGGTTACCCACAACTGCTGTCCGGCTTACCTATAAATTGAAGGTTCCCATGATCTCCTCCTCCTTGGATTTGATGGTTTGCTAAAGTGGCTCAGAGAACTCAAGGAAATACTAACATTTACCAGTTTATGAAAGGATATGAGCAAGGATACAGGTGAAAAGTCAGATGAAGAGCTACAGTGGGCAGGGTCTGGGAGGGTCCTGAGCGCAGGAGCTTCTGTCTCATTGAGGTTGGGGTGTGTCACCCTCCCAGTATGTGAATGTGTTAACCAACCTAGAACTCTCCAAACACTGTACTTTGGGAATTTTTATGGAAGTTTATCATATCGGTATGATCAATTATTAACTTCGTTGTAGCTCCTCTCCCCTCTCTAGAGAATGAGGGGTGGGGTTGATAATTCCAAGCGTCTGATCACGCCTTGGCCTTTCTTGTGAACAACCCCCATCCAGGAGCCCACCCAGAGTCATTTTGGAACCAAAGACACTGCTATCACCAGGGAAGGTCCGGGGTATTTAGGAAGTCTGTGTCAGGAACCAGAGTCAAAGACCAAGTGTTAGAACAAAACATACTCCTAGTAGTCTTTTCACTTAGGAAATCATCAGGATTTTCATAATTCTGTGCCAGGAACTGAGGATAGAGACTAATTTTTTCTGTTTTTTCCGAGGAGGAAAATTGGGTGGCATAAGCTCTAAGATCTTTCTACCTAGAAGAGTGTGAGCTGATAAAAAGAAAAATAGATATTTTCACATATAAAAAAAAGTGAGACTAGATTTAAGTTGGATCACCAATATTTGCCTATCGTTTGCACTTTTATGTTGCTACCAAACTCTGACATTTGCAGTATTTGAGGTTTACTTCATTTAAGCTGTATTTTGTAGTGGGAAGTGGACTTTGGGCTTCAGTTTCTTGTGGGCTTCATCACTAGAGGAGGTTAAACCAGGGATTATCTAAATACACGGAACCATATGCTTTTCTGAGTGCTCAAAGAAAGGCTAGGTCAATAAACCATAAAACAGTAGCACCTAAGGGTTAGGAGCATGATTGTCTGGGTTTGAATCTTATCTCTGTGCCTTAGTGTCCTTACCTGCACAATGGCAGTAATACCAGCCATAGGCCTGCTGTGAGCCTGAGGACATGGCTCTCTTTATGCCATGTATACTGTATATACATGTACTGTATATACATGTACCTGTATACTCCTTGTAGCTACCTAACAGTTCTCCAGTAAGTCACTGGTGAATGAGCAAGTAAAAGAAATTACAAAGATCCTTTCCCCTGACTACTGATGTGAACTTCCTGAATATAGAGGTGGTACTCTATCCTTTGACACTGAATTCTAGTTCATTTCATCCTAAATCTCACTCTTCCCTCTACATTTTGTCAAATTTAACCATATGCTTCCTGAAAAATGTGATTCTTAAATTAGAATGAATTTTGTAGGGACTTGTTTTGGAAAGGAACATATTTTTTCATGAATGGGTTATTATGGTCTGAGTACTTGACTGTGAGGACTTGAATAATTTATGCACTTGGACTCTCAGAAGTGGATGCCCAGAATATTTTTGGAAAGAGACAGTTGGTTGAAACTGCCAATTTTTTTTAAGCTATAAGATAATTATGATTGTGTTCCCTCTCAAATATTGAATTTTTCTTTCCATGATTTTTTAGAGAATGAAGATCTAGAAAACACCAAGGTCATCTCTCTAGTGGCTTCTGCTTCTGATCCAGAACCCCATTCCTCACCTTACAGGTAGGAACAGCAACTGCTTGGCTCCTTGATGTTTATCTTCTGAGATAAGGAAGTGATGAAAGGCATGAACATCTGCTTTAAGGGGGAGGGCAAGTTGGAGTGAAGAGTATGGATGATTTGGTCATTCATTAGTCAATCCTTGGGTGTGGTTAGGGGCAACGTCAAATCTATTTCAGGTTATGAAATATTCTTTACTCTCAGAGAACAAAACTGTAACAAGTAGTATAGTATCTTCATTTGTCTTCTGGAACCCAGGTTGAAATGTTCATACATTAGACATGGATCCCAGGTGGACTTGCAAGAGAATGTGTGTTTAGTTTTATTCTTAGTTTCCTGCTCCATCCATTTCATCTACCTACTGTCATTGATACCAGAATGCATATAGCAGACAGGAAAGAGTTGTACTGAGCTCTGGAATAAGTAGAAACATGAAACATTAATGGAATAATTAATGAAAAGCAGTATTTTGGAGATACAGGAGAGCTAATGGATATTATAGTCCAACTGATCTGCTTGTGGCATGATACTGTCCACTAGAACCAGTGTTGGCTCCATGCCCCACACAAAATTGATTGCTAGGGGTGGAGAGGAATGTCAAGATATTTAAACAATCTGTTATTTCTTTTTTTAAAAAAATTATCTACTTTTTAAGTGAATTCTCTGCCCTATGTGGGCTTGAACTCACAACCCTGAGATTAAGTCTCAAGTTCTACGACTGAGCCAGCCAGGCGCCCCCAGATCTGTTATTTCTTAAGTAGAAGTTCTTTCTTCTTACTTTTATATATGAAATAAAACTTTTTTCAAAACCCCAGAATTCAGATGATGGAAGACAACGATTAATATAATAATAATATAGTTGGTGATACATAACCATACTTTATTGAATTTTTCTCCATAATAATGATAATAGTTACTTTTTACAGAATATTTCTATTTGCTCAATATTATACTAGGTGTTAAAATGTATTATATCATGTCGTCCTCATAGCAGCCCTACTGAAACAAAAAGGTTTTTTTGTTTTGTTTTGTTTTTTACAATAAGGAATACAAAACAGTGAATTGAAAAATTTCCCAAGTTCATAGAGCTCTAGGTTTCTTCTACTCTAAAGCTTATTCCCATAAGTCGCATTAGAAGGGTTTTGAGTTTTATGCTTAGAGCTACTAGGTTATTTATGTAACAGTCTTTTTAGAAGACAAAGCCTCCCCAAGGCTTTGATGATTTGAGACAATGCCTGTTCTCATCAAATCCCAGGAGGGAAGCTCCTTTCCCTCTTCCTACCATCACCCTTTTTCTGTACATGGTGATTTGAAGGATATTTGGAAGATGGCTTTTGGCACAGAGCTAATTTTTCCTCCTAAGTGTAAATAAAGTTTTTGAGCAAAGAATGTACAACATTCTTAGAAAAAAAAGGAGATTTAAGTTTAAAGCTTTGTTTCTAGTATCTGGTGTGTGAAGAAAGAAATCCAGCCCAGATGATGCCTGAAGTGTAGGGTTTATGTTTTGTATATGTTAGAACCGGAAGTGCACTACTCTCTCTCTTTGCCAGTGAGGCTAGCTGGGCTGGCCAGACTCTTCCCTCCCTTGGGATGCCCTCCCTACCACGGATCAGCATACACCAGAAGGCTTACGCTGGGAGTTTTTCCTTTACGTGGTTATCATTGGCGTTAAGCAATTTGCAACTTATCTTTCCCAAAATACCCTTCATTGATTCTTCAGAACATAAAGTGCTAATGTGAATATTAAATTTATGTGGCTATTGCATGTCCTGTTTAGAATTGTTTTTGTGCAAAATAGCCTGCAAAAGGCAAAGAAATGACTTCAGATGCCATACACAGTAAGGTCAGGCTAATGGTCAGAATCACTGCTGTATTCTCACATGCCAGTACTCCTTTTTTGCTCTCAAACAAAAATTAACTTATTCATTTATTTATTCAAATATTTTGGGGCCATCTACTATTTATTCATTCAACAGGTATTTGTTAAGAGCCTGCTTGCTACTTACCTGGCAGTGTTCTAGGCAATGAAGATACCACAGATGAACAAACAATCCAAGTCCCTGGTCTCATGGAGTTTGTATTCTAGGGGGCAGACAGAAAGCAAGTATACATCATATTTCATAGACTCTTAAGTTGCCATCAACTCTAAGATGCACTGTTACTTTATGAACTACCAAGAAAGGAAGAAATGCCCAAGGTAGAGAGTCTAATAAGAGACCCCTTCCCCCTGCCCTGTCATGGAGCTAGGACACCAAAAACTTAAACTTTCAGTAAAAAGATAAACAGGAAAAAAAAAAATCCCTCCACAAACAGGATCGCAAGGAAACTTGAATGTCTCTACCTTGTTACTGTGTAGGGGGAGAAAACAATAATCTGCTCTGCAAATGTAAACCACAAGTCTGTAGTCACCAGAATGTGGTCTGAATTCACTCTGTTGGTGTGGTCTAAACGAAGCACCATACTCTGATAACTGCTGCTCCAAAGGATCCATTTCACAGATTGTGTTGGCCATAGATTTCCAAGAGCCCTGGGGTATGATACTGCCGCCCTGGCACCTAACTCACTTTCTGGTCTCTCTGGAAGCCAGGGGAAAGGAAAGAGCATTATTCCCTTGCTTCTTTGAAAGTAATTATTCAAATACTTATGTTTTAAGTCCTTGGGATAATAGATTAGTGTGCTTAAAAAAGGAAACAAAGCGTTGACCTTTTATTACCCAGTGAACTGGGTAATAAAACCCCAGGGCGATTTGGAGGATGGCATGAAGTGGAAACGCTGAGAAGCTGCTCCTGGGATGAGCAGAGAGGGCCTGCCTTGCGAATCTGTGTACAGTCCCTTTGTTTTGGTGATTAATTTCTGGCTTAGGTGAGGCCTAAGGGACAGTAAACCTAGATGCCAGAGGAAAGCAGAGGTTGGGAGGTATCACTTGAAGGTTGTGCTTTATTTCTAAGTTTTTCCAAGACTACTACTGTGCTTTTTAAGAGTCCTTGAATTGACATACTCTCTTCCTCTGAGAGGCCACAGATGGTGTCTCCAGTGAGTGAGGATGCCCCAGAAGATCTGCGGAAAACAGCTGGTGCCTTGGAGGCTCAGGCCTTGGTAGAACAGGAATTGCTGCCTACAGACCAGGCCCCGGCCCTCAACAAGGTAGGGGGGCATTGTCATTGTCTCTTCGGAAGGAGCAGTTTGTGGCACCAGGATTTAGACGCATATAGATGCGTTGGAACTAGAAAGCCTTGGGGCATCTCAGTTTTGATTATTTGGAGAATGGTCATGTGCATCGCCCTCAGGACCCATCACTGAACTAGCAGCTATTTAAAAAATGAAGTGTTGAAATGAACGCTCACATGTCCTCTGGATGTTTGGAGCCTTGATCCATGGGATTATGTTTTAGCTTCAGTTTCCTTGTTACCACAGGAACTCTTCCATATTTATGATAAAGTTTCTGTAGAAGTGGTAGAGATAGCATGGTCTGTCTCCCTGCCACGGAGGAATAGGTTGTTTGTATCATCATTAACACATCTATTATAATATCAAACAGTATTAGTGCCAGTAAAGACAGTGCAAACATTATAATTACATTTGCATCATGCTTTATAGTTTACAAAGCATTTTTATGCATCATACTCCATTTACTTCTGAGAACAAACCTGAGACAGGCACCATTATGTTCCGTTTACAGATGAGGAAATTGAAGCTAAGACCTAGTGACTTTACTAATGCTAGGCTGCTATGTTGCAAACTAAATCCTTTGTTTAGCCCTCTGGAAAAGGAAAGACTCACTTAAGCAGGTTAGCCAAAGTCTCATTTACCTCATAAAGCAATGCAGGTAAAGAACTGAAGGACTTATTCTCCAGACAGAGATGTTATGAAGATATAGTCTGGGAGTAATTAAAAGTTTTCTTTCTTGCAAATATAATTCTGGTCTCGTAACTGGACAGCCATCTCAGTAGTGTGCAATCCTGTGTGGGCAGTGGGTATAATGTCTTGTGTTGCCTACCGACTGCTTGGAGAAGGAGCATGAAATTATGGCATTAAAACAAGAAACAGGAACACTGATCCAAGGAGTCTGATGTGAAACCCATAAGAGGGATGTCCGGGTGGCTCAGCGGTTGAGTGCCTGCCTTGGGCCCAGGACGTGATTCTGGAGTCCCTGGATCGGATCCCACATCGGGCTCCTGCATGGAGCCTGCTTCTCCCTCTGCCTGTGTGTCTCTGCCCCATTGTCTCTCTCTCTCTCTGTGTCTCTCATGAATAGATAAATAAAATATTTAAAAAAAAAAAAAAAAGAAACCCATAAGAAAGCGTGTGAAGCCTCCTGCCATGGTCTAGTGAGGGCTTCAAGTTTCAAGTGATGTTTGTACTCTTCATGCAGGTTAGATGGCTGGCAGCAAATGTACTGTTTAAATACATTTAAATAAAAAGAAATACATTTAAATAGGTAAAATTGTGATTATTTATAGAACACTGTTAGTGGATGTGACAACCGGTGGCCCTGGGCCATCCCAGGTGTGCCATGACTGAACCAGAGACAGAATATAAACCAGATTCTCTCTCTGCAGTGCTTTGGTGACCCAGTTGACAGGGATCTGGAGGTAACCCGTGAGTGGGAGTTGCAGAAGGAGAATGTGTGGCAGAGCTGGAGTCGAGCTACACTCCAGAAGGGGGGCTGCAGGGAGGTGCTGTGCAGGCTGAGATCAAGGCAAGGCACAGAAACCCTATTGGTGCAGAAGTTTGTAGCGAGGTTGGAAGATGTTCATGGACAAAGATTTTATACAGGGTCTGGAGTGGAGAGTTGCAAAAGGGAGGAGGGAACTTAGCACTGCAGGCTTTGAGCTGGGAAGGTGGAGGCAAGAGGGCATGGGTGGGCGGGCAGCACCATGGGGAAGGAGCTGATGGGGATCTGCCCCTCTAGCGAGTGCTCTAATCAGAGTGTTCTTGTACAGATGGCCAAGTACCAAGTTCCACAAAGGTCTGGGGACATCGTTATGATCCAATCTGAACACACAGGAGCTGTAGATATCCTTTCAGCTGATTTGGAATCTGCAGATCTCCTGGGGGATCACAGGAAAGGTGAGAGCTTTGGGGGTAGGAGGGTGATTTCTTTGTTCCCAAGGGGTGCTTAAAGAAAAGGCAGGCAGGGGGCGCCTGGGTGGCTTAGTCCATTTGGAGCCTGCCAAGGGTCCTGGGATCAAGCCTGGCTTTGGGCCTGCTTCTCTGTCTCCCACTGCCCTGCCCCTGCTTGTGCACTCTCTCAAATAAATAAATAAAAATCTTAAAAAAAAAAAAAAGGGCAGGCTGACTGATGGAAGGAAAGTGAGGAGGTGACGTGTGAAAGGCAGTGAAAGAAGCCATAAAGTAGAAAGAAGGTCTTTGACTGTGATACCCACCCTAAGCCAAATGTCAGGTGTCTTTACATTTCCTCTTGGTTTCTCAGTAGTGAGCTGCCTGTCCTTTCAGTGTCCCCCCCTCTGATGGCGCCTCCATGCATCTGGACCTTTGCCAAGATGAAAGAATTTAAAAGCAAGCTGGGCAAAGAGAAGAACAGCCGTCTGGTGGTGAAGCGGGGTGAGGTGGTGACCATCCGGGTACCTACGCATCCAGAGGGGAAGCGTGTTTGCTGGGAGTTTGCCACCGACGACTATGACATTGGCTTTGGAGTTTATTTTGACTGGACCCCTGTAACCAGCACTGACATAACTGTGCAGGTCAGTGATTCCAGTGAGGATGAGGATGAAGACGAGGAAGAGGAGGAAGAGATTGAAGGTAAATTTAATTTTAACATGATTTGGAATTTGCTTTTTCTCAGCCCAATTTCTAGTGACCACTTCCTGTGTTACACCAGTCCTTCTCTCCCTTAGAACGAAAACAAGGAATCCCCTTCAGCATTGTAAGCTAAATTGAGTGAGTGGGTGCAGGCCAAAGTCAGACCCTCAAAGAACATTCTGGTGGGGATGGTACTGGTGCCTTGGTGGAAAGTTTCTTATGCTTTTTAATCAGTATCTAGCTATTTGTCCAACACCTCCTTGGGGACAGGGATGGGTGGGCAGGGAAAGGGATGGGTCAATGCTGCAGTATATAAATTACATATAAACCTGAGATTATTTTAAATTTCTCTCGTAGTTTGGGATATTTACCATTTTTAGTCTGGAACCAAACTGGGTGATTACAGTTTGCTAAGTGTGCTCCCCTTCAGACTGTCACAGTTGGCTGAATACTGTTTACTTCTTTCTTCATGCCAGAGCAGTATTTTTTAATTAAAATTTTTTTATTGCATTATAATTGACATATAACATTAGTTTGAAGTGTACAACATAATGATTTAATATTTGTATGTATTGCAAAATATGCCCAGAGCACACCACATGCCCGGAGTAGTTTTAAAAGTGATTTCTGTGCTCCATTCCAGTTATTTGCAGTGCCTACTCAGAATGACCTCGAGGCTTTTTTTGTTTTTGTTTTTGTTTTTGTAATATTAAGAGTAAGGTTCTCAGTAGGTTCCAAGCATCTTGATTTTTCTATATGATCTTATAATCAGTCCCTTTCTTCTTCATGGAAGAGCAAGTCTGCAGGGAAATCTTCAGGTATTTAGGCAGGAGGAGAACCTCATGTCTTAATTTGCTATTTTCCAGGAGGCCAAGTAGAATTCTAGGTCACTCTGTACAGCGTGTTTGTATTTCCTGCCTCTGTTAGCTATTTCTTTTCCCCACTGAATGAAAAGATGTCAGAATGTTCCCTTCTAAGTATCTTTTCTTGGGGCTCCTGGGTGGCTTAGTCAGTTAAGTGTCGGACTCTTGATATTGGCTCCGGTCATGATCTCAGGGTCGTGAGACTGAGCCCCATGTTGGGCTCTGCACTCAGTGGGGTGTAGAAATGTCCAGACAGTTCTGGAACAGGTAGGCTCTATAAGGCCTCATTGTTTCTCAGTGGAGACATTGTTGGCCTTTCGGGTGGAATGCTTCTTTGCTGAGCGAGTACTATCCTGATGTCAAGTGCTCCTGGACACTTGGGTGCCAAATACCAGTATCACTCACTAGTCACTGTGGTGGTCAGAAGGTCCGCAGACACTTCCAGATCCCTGTAGGAGGACGAGAGCATCCCCCTGGCTAAGAGCCATTACGTCACCTCGTGTATTCTTTGACTGTGAGGTAGGACTTATTCAGTCTCTGAAGTCGCATCCAAACACTGTGCCTTTTGCTCACACAGACCCTGTCCCAGTTGGAGATGTGGAGAGAGGCTCCAGGAGCTCCCTGCGAGGGCGATATGGGGAGGTCATGCCCGTGTACCGGCGAGATAGCCACCGAGACGTGCAGGCCGGCAGCCACGACTACCCGGGAGAGGGCATCTACCTGCTTAAGTTTGACAACTCGTACTCCCTGCTCCGCAACAAGACTCTCTACTTCCACATCTACTACACTAGCTGAAGGCCCACAGGGACAGGAGGCAGGCGGGTGTTTGCTGGCTGGAGCAGGCTGCCAGCTGGTGCCTCTGGCTTTGGAGAGGCAAGAGTGAAAAGTTGAGCGTGAGGCTCCTGACCCTCACGTCCTGCCTGGCATGCCTGTGTTGACCCCACGTAGCTTTTCCCCCTTCTTGGCTTCTGCAGGTGGTGGTGTAGTGCCCCTGTTCTGTGGTCCCTGACTCATGCTCCTCTTGCTTCAGACTCCAGCAAAATGCCTCTGTGACGGAGCCCGGCAGGCAAAAGCCTGAAGGGCAGCTGGGTGTTCTCTTGGAAAAGTAGGTTTATTTTGGTACGAGGTATCATTCCAGTTGCTGCTCTCACCTCTCCCGGAGCCTTTATTGCAGATGTGGTTAGTGGCACCCACTCTTCACTTTTGAAAGTGCTGTAAGAGGAACAGCACATGGTCCATGAAGGAACCCAGTCTCTTGGATGGAGAAAGCTCTGTCCAGCCTCTCACCACTGCCATATTCCTGCCTGCCGGTTCTTCATGGTCTGTAGCATGGGCCGGGAGCCCTCACTGCCTTTGGGGGGGTGTAAGCAGTCCCGATTGTTCGACTCTGCCTCTTGCCCTCCTCTTGCCTCTCCCACGTCTGTGTCCGTGCCCTTACAGTGAGAACAGCCACACAGTCTGTAGTGGTGATCACATAGTCTAACATCTGGGGGGAGTTGCTGCCTCCATTGCTTCCTGCTTCAAGAGGTCATGTCCTGTGTAGTAGCAAGGGTGATGGGGGTCGGAGGGGAAGGGGTGGGGATTAGGTGGAAAGATCTCAGAATCCACATCTTTGAAAGTCAAGTATTACTGAATTACTTTTTTTTTTTGTATAACCAGAGAAGGGGTATAATCTGAGAGAGAACGTTAAAAAAAATACAACACTCCAGATTCCCCACTACTCTTTTTTTATCTTTCAGGTAAGAGTGTTATTTAGAAATTTTGCTTCAGTACCCATCGACTTCCAGAGTTTCTGGATTTAGGTTTCTTGCATTGAGGGCTTAAAGCTTTTGGAGTTGGATTTGTTCTTTACCAGGCCAAAGCTTGCATTTCTCTGGCTACCTTTCCCACTGTATTAGCTCTGAGGCCCTGAGTTCCGTAGGGTTGGGTGGGGGTCTGTAATCAGGGGTTGCCAGAGCAGCAGGGCAGGGCCTCAGGCAGAGAAGGGACCACTGCGGTGGTCTGTACCTCCTTGTTTCTTATTCCTTGTGTTGAGTCTGTTACCGCCTTAGAATTTTGAGGAATAATTCAATTTATTTATTACTTTATTTATTTTTGTAGCACATTTCATTTTGCCTTTGAAACAGTTTCCATCTGTTTCTTAGAAGGCTTTTGTCTGCTCTGAGCCATTGAGGCCACCTCTTCTATGGAGTCAGATGATAATGTTAGGAAAAGTTGGGAAGTGATAATGTTCCCTTCCTGAAGGTCAGTCCTGGGATGTTTTGGGAGGGATCCTGCCCTTCTGAGATGGATGATGCCAACTTACCCTAGCCCTTTCTGAGAGGAGTTCTAGGTTGTGAGGGACCCTGCCCATTCACTCAGGATGGAGTACAGAGGAATTGACTTGCCAGTCAAGGACATCCTGTGCTTCTGGGATTTCAAAGTCCTTTGCCTACTCTGCGGAGTCATCTTCATGACATTTCCTTTGGCTCATTCCTTCCTTGTGCAGGTGTCTCATACCAAGCCTCTCCCCACTATGAGAGCAGGACCTCCAAGACCAGGGCTCCTCACGGTAGTTCTTTAGTAGCATCTGTGTCCTGGAATAAAAGGCCAGGCAGCCTGCACTTTCTGTTTCCCTGACAGCAAAGCCCAAGTAAGGATAGGATGTTGTAGACTGAGCAGCATCTTACCTACATGATTTTATATTTCAGTGCATTTTGTAGAGGATTACACTGGTAAGAAATTAGAAATTATTTTAGTGAGTATTTGGGCCGCTCAGAGCAAACTCGCTGCACATCACATCAGCGTCAGATTAGCTGAGTGAGCACTCTTTCGGCACCGAAGTTGAATCACACCTTAGCTAAGTGAGTATAATTCTTATAAAAGAATTTTCTACTGAGCTATTCTCCAGTCAGCTCAAGCCTTGCTTTTTTTTCCTGTTTATTATTAACTCCTGGCTTTCTCATAGAAGGGAGCTGTCAGGCCATATGTAGCAAGCTCCCTGGGACAGCACTCTGTTTATCTTTGCCCTGAGACTCTCTGTACTACTTTCTTTGGCATCCTAGTTCTGATGCATCAGGGAAGCCTGAGGGCCCTGTTCCTGTCACCTCTGTGTGCCTCTTATTGTCTGGGCACTTTGGAGTCCTGGACATTGTTACATTTCACCCTGCACTGGCGTTTCTTTGTTCCATTAGCATAAAATGGCTAAAAATATATTTTCACTATCTAATTCATACCCTATTTTCCTAATAATTTCTGAAATCATCGAACTTTAGGGACCAAATATTACTCGTGGAAGCACATGTGATCAGTGAGAAATTCATAGCTCAGCAAATCCTCAGAGGTAGTCCTTTCCTAGATCTTTCCCTGAGTTTATAGAACCAAACAATGAAATCAGAGTCCTCTGTCTCACCCTGTTCTCTAGAGCACAAGTAAATACTAACAGAAGAGAACGCTTTGTAGTGGGAGAAAGATTGAAATTCTCTACACAGAGCAGCTGGCTTCTTCAATTTCTTGTTTGTTTTAGCTTCGCCACTCTGTTGGGGCTTTTAGAAAGAAGATCTATTTAAAGTGTTAATTTTTTCTAACATTTTACCATGAAAAATGTTCAGCAAACATAGAACCTAAATGAAGTAGATAGTAAACACCCTTAGGTATACCTACCACATAGATTTTAAAATTATAAACTGCTAATTAAAATAAAGATGATTCTCCCATTCTGTTCCTTTTGGCAAGTGTCCAATTAGAGTATGTTCCCTGCACAGATACCAGCTCTCCTGTGTCAAAGGGCCCCTGGTTTTTTAGCAGATTTATTTCATTCAGCATGAGTTACTTATGAGGTGGTCCTCATACAAAAAAAGTGTTTCTTGATCTCCATCTCTCAAAAACTCTTGTTGTATTTCCCCTTCCCTCAGGCCAGAGCTTCACTCTTTCTTCTGGCTCAGTAGAGGGAGGGGAATGGTGAGGCTGCTTTGGAAGGACTTTAATCCGTGCTTTATGACCTGCTCTCAGGACTCCGAAGTTAAAACCCAGTCCTCAGACAATGGATAGCTTTATAATGGAGGTAGGTAACAACTTGAAATAAGCCATTGTTCTTTTTTAAAAATAATTCATGCAACTTAAAAAACGTTATTATTTAAGAAAAGAACTCAGACTTTTTAAAAGTACATATTATATTGCCCCTTATTATGTGCATATGAAAGAGTTAAATCTGAGAGTTCTCTGTCTTATATTAATCAATGGGATTAGATACACTGTAAAACCAGTTATAGAAAATATCTGAGTGTAAATGATCTTGATGAGCCCTACCCAGTTCTTCTTTGAAAGAATTGGGCAAATCCCAAATCCTAAAGTATCTTTATATTTATTTGTTAAGACCATTTTTCTGCAAAAAGTTGCCTTGTAACCCCAAAGCATGTGATTCTAAGGTATGGAGTTGAATGACCCTAACATTTACATAAAGGATTACTGTTTATGTGGAGGTGAGGGAGGGCTGGAGCAAAACAGTTTTGTGCAGCTGGAGGCCTGCCTTTTAAAATTGGTAGTAAGGGAAAAAAAACACAATAAAATGAGAGGAAGAGAGATAAGCTGTCAAATGTATCCCAGGTTTTGCTCATATCCTGGTTTTGCTTAGTTCTTTAGTCTGTATTTCATTAGTTGGAATTATTCTTTAAGCCAGAAGCCTTGCTGGTTCTCATTATGCTTATTGGAGAAGCCCCAAGCCCTTTGCTGTCTCTTCCAACAGATGTGACTTTAGGAATCTGTTTGAGTAGGTCTCCCCTACTAAGTATCATCCCCTGACCTGAGGCTGCATTTCATCTCTGTTCTCTGGGGCTTAGAGTCTAGTGCCATTTTGTAAAATGGTGGTAAGACTGGAATGAGGCTGGGAGGGAGTACAGCTGTGTCCCTGCAGCCCCTGTTGGCTTTGACTGTGGCTAAGAAAGAGATGAGCTTGCTTGCTTTTGGCCAAAATCACAGAAGGGCCCCAAGCCACAAGCTGTGGCCCTGTAGGCTGACCTCCCTGTGAGGTGTAGGACTCCTGGTCTTCTGTAATCTCTGTGGGATGGTCATACACACAGTAGGAAATGGAACAGTTCTATCTTTTAAGAGCTTCCATTTTGAATTTCTTCTGGGCCTAGAAGGTCCACACCAACCTCTTTAACCAGTCTCTTTCCACCTGGCTAAAAATGTAGAGCTCGTGGAAAGCTGAATTTGCTGGAAAAGGGAAGAGCACCATCCCTATAGAATCTCAGTGGTTGAAAAGAGTTGAAAGTGAATTTCTGTCTGAAGGAAGGTGATTTCATTCCTTTTATTGTGACCGGTAGCATATTAAGGAATTTATGGTCTTTAGAGAGCAAGCCATTATATTCATTGTGTGTTGGATTGTGCTCAGGGAGCCATGATGCTTGATTATTTGGGAAGTAAGTAGGGAATGGGTGTCTAAAACCAGTCACAAGCTGGGTGCTTTCCAGCAACCCTGTCTGTGGTGAGTATCTTTATGGCCAAAGTCCCAGTCTTCATGCACATAAGATCCTGTCCCTAGGCCCTCACTTCCACGCAACTGAGAGATTAAGAGGGACTAGGCTCCCTCCATTTCTCTTTGATGCCTTGATTTTTTACCATATTGTTTAGTACTGGCAGCATGGTATCTAAGGCCTCTGTTTACCCCATTAACCGGAATTAAGTAACAGTGAGTTGAGCAGTCAGCCTTGGTTGAAAGTTGGACTATGGAGGAATTATGATTTACAATCCCACATTGGGATAACTGGGTGACTTGTGTATGACTATTCAGTCATCAATTGGAACTCTTGTAAACCTTACCAAATGAATGAAGAGGCTATGTTAATGAGATACTGAGGAAGACACAAATTATTTGAGTAATAAATAGAGCAAGCCCTGCATCCATGGGAGCTATATTCTGTCACTGGCTATAAATGAAATTGTGACACGAGTTTGCAGCTCCTCAGTGTTTCTCAGAACTAGAAGAACCGCCTGGGAGTTGGTTCCTGGTGGCTGCTCTCCTGGAAAAAAGGGGAGATACCCAGGAGAAAACTGCTTTGGCTCAGTGGGTACCTGGTCATGGGCAGTGTCACCCTTTGCTCTAATCAATCCACCACTTTGTGAGCACTCCTTTGACATCTATCCAGTTATTTAGATTCTGAGGTTAGGGCAGAATTTGGGACCCAGAGGGTGAGAGAAACTTTGCTAAGTATCATGTGGCCAGATTTCAGAAATCACTGTTCCCTCTGAAGTGTTGCATGGCTCCTGCCTGAACCACAAAGGCCACACAAAGCCCCTGCCATTTGAATCTCTTGTCATTAAGCTAAGAAAAACCCAGTTGCCCAAAGCCTTGATGGGGTTCATTTACAAATTGTCATTCCCTCAAAAACTAAGTCCAAAAATAAGATGTTGACTTTGAAAGTATTATAGTGGTCCTGGTCACTAGTTTGAACCCATGATCTGATTACCATGATATGTACTTTGATTTCTTTTAGGCCCCAGGCACGTGGACCAGAGTTAATTTCATGGCTCTTCTTCCTTCTAAAACTTGAGGAAAGGGTGCCCCAGAAATTTAGATATCTGGGCTTGTTAGTTCAATTCCATACTTTTCTGTCCCTTTAAGTACTTATCTAAGGGTAAAATAATATATGTGAAATGACTCCCAGAGGACAAAGGGTCATGAACAACTCTGGAGTTTAGATTTGGAATATTCTAGCATATAGGGTTCCAGAAGAGCCCTAAGCGAACAGCTTTAGGAGTTCTCTTCCTGAACTCACTTCTTCACTCAGGTTTGATATCTCTCTGTCTAAAACGTTCCTCGTTATTGTTGTTGTTGATTTTTAGGTTCAGGCCAAGAATCGTCTGGAAAACATTATCTTAATTCCTTCTCTCATGTCCTGAGTAGTACATTTTACTAAGAAATTCCATATCAAAAACTCTGCTGACATCCATTTCTGAGATTCTTGTCCCATGTGTGAAGTCGTTTTCATTTAATCAAGTTGAATTGTTTCCATTTAGCTATGTTCAAGAGCAAGTAAAGTCTAAAGAAAGCAATCCTGTAACCCAGCACTCTGGCGTACCCATTTGCCTTTACTAACAGGAAGCATTTTGAAATTCTCAGAAGAAAGTTCCTTTGTAATCAGAGTGATGGATTATGAGAAAGCCAGACTTTGGGTAGCGATAGTTGGGGTAGAGGGAGGTACTTGCAGATTTCCTTTTTTTTTTTTTTTTTTTTACTTGCAGATTTCCTAAACCACTTCATGCCATTTAGCTTGTATTTCGAAAGGCCTGCTTTGGTGCCATGCATTGAAATCTGTCAGTTAATTGAAAGATGATTATGCTTTCTTGGCAAGTATTTAAGCAATTGGCAACCACCAAGGTGTTCTTCCCTTATTGTTCTCTGTCATGCATTATGCTGATGTTACAGAAAGGGGTCCAGAAGGGAAACAGTGTCACCGTCTTTTCTTTCAAGTACAAAAGTAGCCCCACTATTCATTTATTGGAATCATTTTGTTTTTCGTGTCCCCTGAGAAATGCCGTCAACATTTCCTATGATTTCTAAGAGCTCTGTACCAAATTGTCATTCAGTCGTCTTGTCCCGCTGAGTGGTTTTTCCTTTAAAATCCCTTTCTTACCACCCTGTGGTACTGAATGTGTTGCTGTGATACACCGATGAGCTATGGTTCTTTAAAAGGCTCAGTTCTTGTGTTTTTATATTATGTAACAGTTTTGTGATGCTTTTGTGCATTCTTTGTCTTCTCTTCCAAGTTTTGAAATCTGTCCTAAATAAATTTTTTCACTATGCACCTGAAACGTTTGAATTCTCTTAGTGAACTTGATTTACAGGTTACATTTTTTATTCATTCTGCATTCCTCCTAGATGAAAGCTATATGATAAACCTATATTAATTATTCTGTAATATATTGATTATGAAAATTTAAGAAAAATTAACAAGAAAAATGGAGAATGAGATTAATGACATTTCTTTCAACTGTGTTTAAATTCATGGCAGAGTATTACAAACTGGGAACTGGATTTGGCCCATGGGCAGAAAAGGAGGATTTAGAGTGATGATCACTAGATAGAACATTATGGAGTTTAATCAGTATCTGGTTTCCGATGATGTTCATTTTCTAGTGAGCTTCCTATGTTCAAGTGGGAACTGGTATGTTGGATACCAGGGTAATCATGAACACAGTCTAGGTGGTATTAATTCAGTCTATTTTCATTTCAGAAATGACACCCTAAGGTGTCTTAGACATCTCTTTAGAAGGCTGCCTGTATACATCTCTGGTGTTTCTTACAAAACAAGAAAGACTCCTAATCTGCAGGAAGGGTACCTTTGAAAACTTCAGTGACGTCAGTCGTTCTACGAAGAGCCTGTTAGATCTTTCTCTGCCTTCCTTTGCAATGTAGTTTAGAGGCTGATGATGTATAAAGGAGAAGATACTGGAAATAACTGTGAGTTAAATGAATATAATCCACCCACCAAACTACAGCACGATCAATAAAAAGCCCAGGCAGGGTACATGGAGTTAGGGATCTTTAGTGAGTTATGTTTGGATATGCTGAATGTAGTATGTCACTGCTAACACATAGCATACTGAAGGTTATTTTATTTATTTTTCAGATTTTATTTTTAAGTACTCTCTATACCCGACATGGGGCTTGAACTCACAGCCCTAAGGTCATGGGTTGCACGCTTCACTGACTATGCCAGCCAGGTGCCCCATATCGAGGGTTATTTTTTAACTTTTAAAGGCACTCCTGTTGGGGCATCTGGGTGGCTCAGTCAGTTAAGCATCCGATCTTGATTTCGGCTCAAGTCATGATCTCAGGGTCGTAAGATAGAGCCCTGTGTTGGGCTCCGTGCTGGGCGTGGAGTCTGCTTGTGATCCTGCCACTCCCCCTGTTCTCTCTCTCAGTCTCTCTAAAATAAATAAATAAAAACTTAAAAAGAAAAAACATAAGAGCACTCTTGTCATATCATTGACCCTGACATAGCTCAGGATTATATTTACAGCTCTTGACATTCAGTTTAATATTCTTTAACCTATGAGGTTCTGGCTAAACTCAGCAGCCCTGTTAGTTCACATATTCTCCCAAAGTGGAATGTCACCTGCTAGTGACTTTGGAATGGAGAGCTAAATAAGTTATGTTTAAAAGTTAGGTGGAAGGGGCAGCCCGGGTGGCTCAGCAGTTTAGCGCCTCCTTTAGCCCAGGGTGTGTGATTCTGGTGACCTAGGATCGAGTCCCACGTCGGGCTCCCTGCAGGAGCCTGCTTCTCCCTCTGACTGTGTCTCTGCCTCTCTCTCTCTCTGTGTGTGTGTCTCTCATGAAAAAATAAATAAATAAATCTTAAAAAAAAAAAAGTTAGGTGGAGGGCAGCCTGGGTGGCTCAGCGGTTTAGTGCCGCCTTCAGCCCAGGGCATGATCCTGGAGACCCAGGATCGAGTGCCACATCGGGCTCTCTGCAGGGAGCCTGCTTCTCCCTCTGCCTGTATCTCTGCCTCTCTCTGTCTCTCATGAATAAATAAATAAGATCTTTAAAAATAAATAAATAAAAGTTAGGTGTAGCCGATATGAGTTCTTACAAGTAGGTGCATGCACCGTGTGTTCAGTCAGCTTTACTACTTTCCTTAATGGATATATAAAATTGCTTTGGGACAAAATCCTACATATTTTGCTTTGTCCTCAAGCATTTCCTGGCAGCTCCTTCTTACTGTTTTCATCCTTCTAAAGTACTTCCCAGGACTTCCTACTTCTATAGCGGTGAAAAACCCTTTCCACTCAATTACCCATCAGGCCACTCCAGCATCTGCACGTCTGTCATCCCCTGCAGCTACCCCCACCGTGGCAAGTAGATCAGGCCCCCTGTGGCCTCCGACGTACCAGAGTCAGGGATCTGGTTGTTCTCCACACACCTGACAACTGAGGTGGAAATGAAGGACATGACTCTTACCACCCACTCAGCCTTTGGAGAGAAGCCCCTGCTGGAAAGTATCCCCTGAAAAGGTGATGGTTTTGAGTTGAGAGATATATCTGGCCCCTGAAGACAAGAGCTTATTTGCAGACCTAAGGAAGTCAGAAGAGGTAGCTTTCCAAACCCTTTAGAGAAGCCTCATTATTGCTAAGCTTTCAGAGCCATTTGGTCTGACCTCTAGACACCAGTCTCTGCACGTAAGGAAAAATCTGCTCCTTCAAGATCTTCTAGGGCCCCTCAAAGGGGAGAGACATTCCAGGAGGGGTGGCCAGCCATGGCTGTACAGGGAGGACATATTTCCATCTAATAAGCACTTACAGAGCAAGGCTAGTCACCTTGCACGGCATGGGGGTTAAGAGGGTGGTCAGGAGTGGGGTCCCAGAGTTCTTCAGGGAACTCTGTTCTTATGCAGGGAAGATGGCTTACAAATGCTGCATTGTCTCTGGAAATAAAGAGGGTCCTCCTCTCTCCCATGTATCCAGCCACAGGTCCCCGGAGGAGGGTTCTCAGTGCAGAGGGCTGAGGCCAGCAGTCTTGGGTCTCCACATCCCTCAACAGCAGGTCAGCTAACCATGCTGGTGACCCGGACTCCACGGAGGGCCCAGGGCTGGAACACAGAGCAATAGCCTCACTCTGACTCAAAACCCCAAGCCCAGAGACCAGACCACTCTCCTTTCTCATAAGCTGTGGTTCTCCAAGGCCAGAGCCTCTGTGCATCCCAAGCCCCTCTCCGTACACCCCTTCCCCATCCCTGTTTGCCCTGGTCTGGTGGGTCCCTGGGCCTGCCTTCTCTTAGCCCCTTGTGACTGGGAATGTGGCCGACTTGGCCTCCAGTTCCATCACTTCCTCATGGGCCTGGTCCTGGAAGCCCGTGGGAGACACCCAGAGTGGTAGCAGGCCCTTGAGCACCCAGGCGCTCTCCTCAGGTCTGAGTGAAGAAGGTGGCAAGGGGGTTCCCCAGCTCTGGTCCTGAGACCAGCCTGTGGTGCTATCAGCTGTGTGGACAGCTCCTGAGGTTTAGGTTCTGGCTTTAAAATACAATATCCAGGGCACCTGGGTGGCTCAGTGCTTGGGTGTCTGTCTTCAGCTCAGGTCGAGATCCTGGGGTCCTGGGATTGAGTTGTGCATCAGGTTCCCCACAGGGAGCCTGCTTCTCCTTCTGCCTGTGTTTCTGCCTCTCTGTATCTCTCATGAATAAATGAAATCTTAAACACACACACACACACACACACACACACACACAAAGATCTCCTTTACAAAAATATCATGAGATAAGAATATGGACCATCATCCTCCTAAAGCCAGTGGAGCCGAGAGCCACGAAGGTTTAGTCACTTCCCATTGATGTGGGAATGCTTGCAAGAACCCAGCACATTCCAGGTAAATCACCTCTGTGGATCCCTGAGTGAGCTTCTCTGGCTTAGACACACTTCTGTTTTTGTGGGGAAGGTCAAGTTTGTCTGAGTTTGGGAGTTAGGGGTTCTGGGGAAAGCAAGAAAGAGGGCCTCAGAAATGGAACCCCAAGGATCTCTACTGAGCCCAGAGGAAAACCCACATTTGTTCTCTCTCCTCCCCATCCACCCATGGCTGATTTTCACCTTACATCTGACACATACCAGGGAAGTCCTGTTGAACAGAGGACTAGAACTATGGGAAATATGAGAAAAATATGTAACATGGGTTTTGTGCCACAGATGAGGGATGGTTTCTATAATGTGACAACAGAGGCTGTAGCGCCTGTGTACCTGACTTAATTTCTTTAAAAGCCATTTAGCTTTTGCCACCAGTTTTAGGCTGGCTGATAGAGTCCCAGGTTAAACAGGTTAATACTCTGTGTCTAGGAGACCTGGGCTGAAACATGGCAACTCTTAGAAGTCATTTTTGGATCAGAGAAGCAGATGGACAACAGACCAGCCACATTGAGCAGCAGAGTTCAAGTGGCCAAGTAAACTTCCCGTAGTAAATGAGGGACAAAAGCTCAGAAGGAGCAAGGGCCAAGTCTGCCACATTCCCAGTCACAAGGCCACACATCCTAGCTCCCAGCCGGGGTAGTCACTGGGGAAGTCTCACTGCAAGCTGGTGGACTGAATGCAGGGAGTGGCCAGCCCATCACCAGCCGGAATAGGCCAGTCACCAGTTTTCTTCCAGGAAAACCCATTCACCCCCTCACTGTACTGAGTCGTCTCTAGAATCACTCAGGGCAGGTTGTCCGTCCCTGTACCCACTCTCGGATGCAACTCAATCTAATTCCCTTACTTCCCAGAAGTCTCGCCTGTTGCCTGGTGATGGGACTGGGAGGAGGAACTCCGCAAGCTCAGCAGTGGTGGAGACCAGCTCTGATCAAGTGGGCTCCCAAAGGTGCCAGCCGCCGCCTCAACCCCTGGGAAGTGGCAGCAGCAGCCCATCTGGCCTTGTGCGTTGCTCCTCCCCCATCGCGCTTGCACTATCCCTCCAGGGCCAGGGAGGCCGGCTGCCTGGGGCTGAGGGAGCACTGCCCGGAGCTGGGGCCAGCCTTCTCTCCCTGGAGTTAGTTCCACCTTTCAAATCTACGGGGCCTTTAGTCACCTCCAACCTCAAATGTCCAAATCAGGTGCCATTCCTGCTCCCTGGGCTGAGGGATGAGATTAGTGTCTCAAGGTTTCCTGGAGAGAGTATGGGTGGGTTTCACCCAGCCGGGCAGGCCTGGAATGAGCTGAGGGAGAGATGGTGACAGAGCAGGGGAGCCCCCGAGTCCCCTCACCACTGCTGGGTCTCATCTACTGTCCTGTGCTTTTTTCTGGCTCTGCCAGGACAAATGTGTCTCGGGAACAAGAGTGGCCCACTTGGGTCATTCTAAAGAAAATGGGACTCGTGGCTGAAAGTGGTGGTTTCTATTTGGACCAGACACATCTACCTTAACTTACTGTTTAAACCTTAGCCACAGGGGATCCCTGGGTGGCGCAGCGGTTTGGCGCCTGCCTTTGGCCCAGGGCGCGATCCTGGAGACCCGGGATCGAATCCCACATCGGGCTCCCGGTGCATGGAGCCTGCTTCTCCCTCTGCCTGTGTCTCTGCCTCTCTCTCTTTCTCTCTCTGTGACTATCATAAATAAATAAAAATTAAAAAAAAAAAAAGGAACTCTATGTCCTTTTAAAAAAAAAATAAAAAAATAAACCTTAGCCACACAGGGGAAAATGAAATCTCAGGTACAGGACACAGAAGTCATCTCGTTCCCCTCCCAGAAGGGGCCTCAGGGTAAGCTGAGTCCTGGGTGGGGTCCTGAACAGCCTGGGCAGTGCGGTTCACGCTGCCCACGGGGAGCCTGCCTCCGACTCCCTGGGCCATTTGTGACTGGATTTATCTGCAGTGCCCACTCCTGGGACTGGTCTGGAGAAGACTGCCCCTGAGATGTGGCACTGGGCTGAGAGGGCCGGTGCGCCTCTCTGTGCTCCAGTGGGACACTTACTGGTACCACCCTAGCCCAGGGAATTCAGCTGGTCACAAAATGCTTTCCTTCCTGCTGCTTCTATCTGTTCTCTTCTGGATCTGGTCTGATTGTCTCAGGCAGGCTTTCGGACTCCCTTCTCTCCACTGCTCTGAGGGGCCAGGGGCCAGGCCTCCCACAGGGTGGGCAAGCCGCTGGCTGACTTCCTCTCCCGGCCCAGACACATGGGGATTCCAGCTAGGAAGAGCATTCATCTTCTGGAACGCAGCTCAGCCTTAACCGAACAAGCCAGAGGCTGGGGCTTCAGTTTAATGATCAAATCTCAGCGTGGGCATCCTTGGGAGTCAGGCACAGCTGCAGGGAGGGGAAGAGGTGCGCAGGCTCCCTTACCTCTCGGGTGAACCTGCCAGGCATTTTAAGCCTGTGTTCTCACCGCATCTTCACAACCGCCCCCACAAACAAATGACAGGTAACATTCCTGCAGTCCTCCCTCCCTCTCTCCATCCCAGCATCCTCTCCCCACATTTGACAGGTAACTGAGGCACAAAGATGTTCAGTGGGAAGGCAGATCCAAGGCTAGAGTCCAAGTTCAAGTGTAAGCCTCCTGCTCCTCCAGGGTGGACTCGCTTGGTTCCAGGCCTGTTCGCCAACCCCCCCACCCCCCCCACCCCCGGCTTCTGCTCCTGCACCCCCTCCCTGCCCCCTCGCCCACAAGGCACAGTTAGAGAGCTAGGCCCTCAGCTCAGGAGGGGTGTCTGGCTGCCGGCAGGGGTGAGACACTTGGAAAGCCTCCAAGGCCAGCAGCGTCTTGTTGATGCGGCTGATGGCAGGATAGGGAGTGAGATCCACCTCGAACCTGCAGCAGAGAAACACTCGTCTAACACCGTCTCAGCACCAGGTCTGCTGGGGCTTAGGGAGACTACCCTGTGGGAAGCTCAGAGGGCTCAGAGGTGGGCTGGATGAGGCTGCTGGGGCTGACTGGAGAAGGCCCAGGAAGCTGCCCTGCCACGTGGGGGCCTTATTCACAGGCAGCTCTGGGGATGGCGGGTCTGATGCTGTGCCCATGTGGTTGAGTTGCCTCTCTGTTGCCTACTGTTCCTATTCCAAGCAATGGCTACTCATCGAGAACCTACCAAGAGGGGGCACCTGGGTGGTTCAGTTGGTTCAGCATTTGCCTTTGGCTTGGGTCATGATCCTGGGGTCCTGGGATCGAGCTCCCTGCTCAACGGAGACCCTGCTTCTCCCTCTCCCTCCACCTGCTGCTCCCCCTGCTTATGCTCTGTCTCTCAGATAAATAAAATATTTGAAAAAAGAACCTACTATGTGTAAGGCACAGTGCCTGTCATTTACACATGCAGATGACCTCTCCACCCACATCATAAGCTTCCCAGGGGCAGCAAATGTGTCATAACCTCTCCCTGTCCCAATGGTGGCTGGTGTGATGCCTTTCAGAGGGGTACTCTTTCCTGCCTCACTGACAGGCTGACCGAGGAAAGCAGAGCGAGGCACAGACCCGCCACGGCGGGGGCAGCAGGCTTTTGGGGTGGTTTCTTCTCAGGGCTGTGCACCAGGCGAGCCACCTCCTCTTAGGAGCAGAGGCTATAGAGGATCCTATGCGCTATGATGGGGCCTGCCAGGGGGCATTCCATTCATCTCTGCTGCTGTGCCCTCCAGGCCACGGGAGCTGTGAGGCCTGGCACAGTTCGGGAGAGTTTCTGCGTGAGATGCTTCCCCAGCCTCTGAAGTCAGGGCCTGTGGGAGGAGGCTGGGCATTGTGAGGGGAGGAACCAGGTGCAACACGGAGGGTGGCAGAGTGCTCTCTTACCTTTCAGCGTTTGCCACCTGAGGCACTAAGCAGAGATCAGCCATGGTCACCTGAAAGAGGGTTGGGTGGGTTTGCATCAGAGCACATGCTCACAGGCTGGGCGGGGTGTGTCCACTGGGGTGCCAGCCTGTGACACTCCTGTGAAGAGCATCTGGCTCTTCTAACCCATCCCCACCGCCCCACCCCTCTCCTCTTCTCCCCTGGGCTTCTGTGGGTGGATCTCAGTCCCTCCCCCCACCCCTACCCTCAGGCCTCCCCCACCCTTGCCCATGCCTGCCCTGGGGTGGAGGGAGAAGGCTGTTGTGGGAAGGCGGGGAGTGGGGCGTGGGAGGGCTCACCTCGTCTCCCACACAGTATTTCCCTGCTGTGCCCTGCAGGATCTGCTCCAGAGCTGTGGGGATGTGAATAATCTTACTCTGGGCACAGAATGGACCTCAGCCCCCAGAGTTCTGAAATGGGCAGCTATCTGAGTGACAGGCTGGGGCATGCGTGCTAGAGGGAATGTGACAACCAGATCTGGAGAGAGTTCGGGGGACGCAGGGACAAGTGAAGTCTCCCTGGGCTCCTCAAGTCCAGCTGCCATTCCCTCCTGGAGAAGGGGCAAGACCTGCCACTGGCCAAGGCAGCCGCTCTCACATGGATGGGCCAACACCCTACTGGCCTCTGCTTTCTGGCTGCAGTGGGCAGTGAGGCAGAGGCCGGACCATCCAGCTCCAAAGAGTTGGGGCTTAGGTGCTGAGGTTCCCAGAAGTGCCAGAGGTTGAGGCCACGTTTGGATGCCATCCAGCCCCACTGCCTCCTCAGCCCTGCCCCCCAGCCCCACCCCCACCCATGCTACTGTCAAGAGCAAAGAGCCTGGGAGGCTGTTGCAGATGCCCAGGGCCCTAGGCACAAGGGCCATTTCTCTGAGCTGTCACAGGGGGCTCTCAGGCCGAAGGACTCACCTTCGAAGCCAGAACTGATGGCTTTCTGGGCCCAGGGCAGACTGTTCTCCTGTCTCAGTTGTTTCAGGACAGACAGGTTCTGTAAAACCAAGGATAATCTGTGACTGGCTGTGGGAGCCAGGCTAGGCCTGACTCCCAGCCAAACCCCCTCAGGGAAGTTCTGTTCCCACCCGCCCCTGGCTGTCCATCTGTCCCCTCCTGGGCTTCATAAGCCCCCTCTTCCCATCAGGGCACTGAGGGTGGACGGGGAGAGGGGCAGTGGGGTGGGGGAGAGTGATCCCAGCAGCAACCTTCTCAGGTTGCCTGAATGGTCCATTGTCTGGAAGCTTGTGGCCCCAGCAGAGATGTGAAGGGTTGGGGCACAGGACAGTCTGTGGCTTTAAAGTGGGTGGCCATGACCTGAGGCCCATCTCTCTGGCAACCAATATGTCTCCTTTACATGGCCCCTTGTGGAGAGGGGTGTGTGGCATGCGGGCGGGGCGGGGGTGGGGGTGGGGAGGATAGATGGAGGAGGAGCACAGGACAGGCTTTCAGGAGATCTGGACTCTGGTTCCATCCTTACAGCCTTGGAACCGTTTCACTTCTGAGCTCTGGCTTCCTCGTCTGTAAAATGGGACGGTCTGCCCCCACCTCCTTTGTTAAACAAGACAAGGTATCCTGGGGATGAGGGCACAGTGCATAGTCGGGGGTCCTGGGCTCTGGTCCCTGCTCTGCCATACTTAGCTGAGTGACTCTGCAAAGTCCCTCTCTTTTCTGGGGCTATTTCCTCATTTGCAAAGTCAGGAGTTAACACAGATGAGTTTCTTTAATACTTATCATCATTATTATTATTATTTTAACCAGTAAAAACTTTTAAAAATGAAATCTTTTGAGACTCCCAATCTAGAATGCAGAACAGATGAGAGGGAGGCTTTTCTGGTTAAAGGTGGGGGGGCATGGCTGGGAGGGGAGGGGTCCGGGTCTGGGTGGGTGCTGATCAGCCTCTCCCTGCCACTTGGCCCTTCCCCATCCTCGAGCACCTCCAGATGAGTCCTTGGAAACCTGGGGCTTCTCAGAATGTGGCCGGGGACCCAGAACGGCCGATGATTCCTGGGATCCCTCGCCCCTCCTGCCACACAGTCTGGGTCTAAACCGCTGGGGATCCTTCCTGTCGTCCTGCGACCCCCACTCCCAAGCTGGGTGCCCCGCTGTGGCACCTCATACTTCAGCATGTGTCTAAAGGCAGGAGCACGTGAGGGGAGGCATGCGAGAGGTGTGCAGGGATGCAGGCACCCAGCCACACCTGCAGAGGTTGGATGCCACTGACGATGAGATTGGAAATCATGTGCACATAGGCCCTCTTCTTCGGGTCCTGAGGCAGGAGTCGGGGCGTGGGCCGTGTCTCCTCCAGGTACTCAATGATGGCCAGCTGTTTGGAGAGGAGCAGTGAGGCACGGGCAGGGCATGGGGACCCCTGGACCAGAGTGACAGGGCCAGCAAGCTCCTCTTCATCCTCTTCAGCTTGACCCTCCGAGCCTCCATGAAGCCAGATCTGCCCCGGGGAGTTCCTGCAGAACTTGCTTCTCCATATGCCCGAGTCCCCCGTTTCCCCAAACAACCAGCAGACCTCCCCCCTCTGACATGAACTTATCACGTCCCTACTAAGGGCTAGGCGCCTGCCCTACATGCGGGGGATGGGGGGGACCTCTCATTCGGGGCACTGCTCTCCCAAGGGGCCCCCCAGGCCCTGCACTCACTGACTGGCCAATGGTGATTCCATCTATCTTCAGGACTGGCACCTGTTTCATGGGATTCAGTGCCTGGAATTCTTTAGAGAACTGTGGAGACAAGGACCTGATGAGCATGGTATCCTAGTCCAAGTTGGCTAACGCAGACCCAGGCAAGCAGCAAGACCCCAGGCCTGCAGCCCACCCGCACCTCCCTCCCCTGGAGAAAGCCCTGGCTCCAGAGAGATGCCCAGGGGAATCCATGCAGATCCCCCAACCCATTGGCTGCTGAGCTATAGGATTCACCCCAAAGGCTGGGCTCTGTGTTTTTCCCTGTACCTCACACTGTGGCCACCAGGCATGTCCGGCGCAAGAACCCACTCACTGCCGCCCACTCTCTGGGCATGGAATGGCCAGGCTGTGACACAGGACTAGGAACCTGGGCCCTACCCATGGCTCCTCTTGCCACACAGCCTGCCACCCCTTCCCACCAGGGAGAGCCAACAGGTTCACCGCCTGGGGGGCAGAGGTCTCTACCCTCTGCTGGGTCCCTCTCCAAGACTCCACCTCCCACATCGTGCCCTGGGGGTGGCCTCCTTACCTGCTGTCCCCCATCCTTTATGAGGTTGGTAGGTATGGTCTCGTAGTCTATGCTTTTCAAGGCCAGAGCTACAAGAGACAGCAGAGTCAGGGGACAGCTCCTGGCTATACCCCCACAGGCTATGTGAGGCTGCCAAAGGAGGCTTCTTTCTCCATACTGTACGTGATCAAGGCCCAGCTTGGCCCCTGTCTTCGTCTCACCAGCTTTCCTGGTCACCACCCACTCCCCCACCTCAGGTCCTGAGGTTCCACCTCTCTTGCCCCTGAACTCTCAGAGTCTTACTCTCCATCCCCCCACAGGGTCCCCATACCCCTGGGTGGTGCTGTACAGGCATGTGTCCTGGCACCTTGGCAGCTGCTGAAGGGCAGCAGGGAAGTGGCCTGATTACCTCTGCCCCCTCCAGGGCCTTAAACAGTGGTGAGCAGAGCTTACCTGTTGGAGACTTGCAATTATTCCCTCATGAAGGCATCTAAGGGCCAAGGAAAGGTGCTCGGATGGCCATGAAGCACACAGAAAGGCAGGTGACACCCTCTAGAGAAGAATCCCTTTCTCGTCTATCTTCTCTGTTATCAGAGTTGTTTACTACCCATTCCAAGCAGGGCATTGCAGCTCTTTGGTGTCTCACAGCATCTGCTGTGACTCCCAGTGACCAGATTTCCTCTCTGTACCCTTTGATAATTTTCCCTCACAAGATGAGGGTAAAAACACTTGATCAACCTAATGAAGACTGTGTGTGTGTGTGTGTGTGTGTGTGTGTGTGTGTGTGCACGCACATGTACTAAAACATGGGAATGGTGGTCTTGGGCAAAGGCAAAGGAGTGAGGGGAGGAGGATGAGACAGGTCACAGTCTGAAGAGAGCCTGGGAGACACGGCCCCTCCTCAGTCCTGGTCAGCCCCACTGTGGAAAGTGAAGCCCCTGCAGAGACAGTGCCCCCAGGGCTCCCCTCTGGCCAGCCAGGGCAGAGGCTTTGGGCCCAGGGGCGGTGTCTTCTTGGAGAAATGTGTCCTCTGGCACCCAGTGCGCTGGCCTACTGATTCCAGCAAATACCAAGGGACTGCGGGGTGGGGGAGGGTCACAGCAGATGGCCTTCCAGTGAAGGGCAGCCTCCCAGAAACTGCAGATTTCATCACATTTGCTGGCTGTGCGACCTTGGGCGAGGAGCTTAATGAGCTTCTGTGCCTCAGTCTCCTCATCTGACAGGCAGCATAGTGCCGTAGTTAAGAACACGGACCTCTGGAGTCAGACTGGCTGTTCAGATTCCATCTCTGCCTCTTGCTGGCTACACAGTCTTAGGCAGGTTATTTAATGTCCCTGTGCCTCAGTTTCCTCACCTGTACAACAGGGACCATAACGATCCCTCCCTCCTAAGGTTGCCGGGGTGTCAATGGAATAACATACATAAGAACACTAGCACGGGTGTCCCTCAGTGTGAGCTATGCGTGTGATCTTTGCCAAGGGCTGTATGAAGCTGAGGGAGGGCAGGGTCAAGCTGGAACTAGACCAGAGGGCCCCAGTTTCTGCTTTCTCGAAGCCTCTGGGGTTGACATGAGCCAGTTCTGTTTCATTTGACAGATCAGATAAGATAAGGACTGATGAAGGCCAGCTGTTCCCTGCCAGTTACCAAGCACCTCTGGGTTTCGTGAGCCTGCTTGAAGCGGGTTGCTAAGTGGCTTTGGAGAGCAGCATGGGAGAGGCGGCGGGCCCAAGAGAAGAAACAACCCACCCTCCCTGCGCCCCCCATGCTCCTCTTGTTGGACTTCCTAGGTGGAGGTGCCCTGTCTCACAGAATGCCCCTCTGTCCCCGGCCAGTTTTTCACTCGGGGCGCTGTCTACCCCCTCCCATCCCCCCCAGGCTCTTGACGGAGGCACAGCTCTTACCGATTCGAACTCTCCATGAGCAGGAGCTCCGGAAATAGGAGTAGAGGATGGGCTGAGGAGAGACAGGATAAGGATCCATGTTAACCTATGCTCGTGGGGTTCTCAGCCCCTAGAGCCCCCTGGAGAGGCAACACTCTTGGACATGGGGGTTCCAAGCCAGCACTGTTTCTTCCCATCCTGCCAGGCCTCCTTCTGCACCTCAGTTAGACTCAGAGTTCTCCAGGTCAGAGGCCTTGGCAGTTATGTGGGGCCTCTCGGTTCCAACCTGTGCCTTCATGCATCCCTGAAGTCCCAGGGACCCCCAAGGGGGCAGTCAGCCTGCAAGTGCTGTCCTTACCTTGCCAGACTCAGTCATGGTGTTGTGGTGACCCTTGGCCTCTCAGGGAATGTCCCCTCTCCCAGAACTTTCAGAGCAGGGGGAGGAACGCTGAAGGGAGTGGATCCCGTGAGCCAATGGGGAAGCTGGGCTAGACAGGCTTCAGGGAAACTTGGACTCTGGTCAGAAAGGGCATCTCTTTCCAACTTGTGGGAAGCTTTTTATGTTCTTGATTAAGCCAGGTTTGGTGTCCTGGTTTTGAAGCAGCAGTGCGTGTGGTGTGGTGGGCTGAGAGCACTTGTACCTGGGGGACTGGTCCCAGTGCAGGAACTAGCTCTGCATGACCTAGGGCAGGTCCCTGCCTTCTCTCTCTAGTCTTTTCTCCCTCATCTGTAAAACAAAGGGTTGCCTTAAAATGATAGCTGAATTCCTTCCAAGCAGTGACAGAAAGACAAGGAATTCTAGTTTTTGAATGCTTTGGTGCCCTTCTCTTTCAGCCCACCACCCACCAGCCCTCCAGGTTCTTAGCTGGTCTCATAAAAATTGGGGGGATATGCCCACTGACTCCAAAGCTGAGGTCACAGGATGACAGCCCACAGTGTTCTATTTGATCTACTTGTATTTAAAACTGTTTCAGGGGCACCCCGGGTGGCTCAGCGGTTTAACGCCACCTTCAGCCTGGGGCATGATCCTGGAGACCCGGGACGAGTCCCACATCGGTTTCCCTGCATGGAGCCTGCTTCTCCCTCTGCCTGTGTCTCTGCCTCTGTGTCTCTCATGAATAAAAAAAAAAAAAAAGATCTAGAGACAGTGGTCTTGGGTTCCTGAGTAGCAGCTACAGATAGGACACAATTAATAGCCTCCTTCAGTTAGGGCATGTTCTCTCTGATCTACCATGTCCCCTACCTGACCCTCTTCTCTCATTTTTGTTACCTTGTGGGGGAGGCTGAGTGTGTGATCTCTACTTTCAAGGTTGAGAGATGGGCAGCCCGGGCGGCTCAGCGGTTTAGCGCCACCTTCAGCCCCGAGCGTGATCCTGGAGACCTGGGACTGAGTCCCACATGGGCTCCCTGTGAGGAACCTGCTTCTCCCTCTGCCTGTGTCTCTGCCTCTCTCTCTGTTGGTCTCTCATGAATAAATAAAATCTTAAAAAAAAAAAAAAAGTTTGAGAGACTCCGAGTTAACCTCCCTGGTACTTCTTGACCCCTGTCTACCATCCCTCTGACTACAGACATTTCACCAAGTTTTGTCTTCTGCACCCCTCCCCACCAGCACACCAAACTGCTCTGTAACTCTGCGACTCTGCCCTCACCATCCCTGAACTACCAAATCTGTCTTCTAGGTGGGCCAGGGTGCAGCGGGAGCCTGGGCCCGCCCAGGTTGGTTTCCAAGCCTGGGAGTTCCAGTCTGTATGGGAGGCACCTTTCGTGGGGAAAAAAAGATGGTCCTGGTACGGAGGGGAGGTGATAGATAGCAGGTGTCTTTGGAACGAGGCCAAAATTAGATGTACCCTCCGATTAGGGGTGGAGGTGCCTTACCAGGTCAGGCTGGAAGGGTGCCTGGGGTGGACAGGCAGGGACTGCTGGTGAGGGATGGGACCACTAGAGAGCCTCCGACATTAGCTTAGAATCCTTGAAGAAATGCCTTATCTTATTACGAAATGAGTCCCTGTGAACGCCACGGTCCTCAGGTTTCCTACTTACACTACTTACAGGCCTTCAGGAAACATAACCCAGAGCAGCTTCTGCTCTTCCTCTTACCCCCATAACGATATAAACTATCCTGCGTTCCTTTCTGCACGTGTAGAGCGAAATTTTAAGCCCAAGTAAGTATTCATCTCATCACCACTCCTGGAGGAACTCTGTTTCCTTTTTTTTTTTTTTAATTTTTATTTATTTATGATAGTCACACAGAGAGAGAGAGCGAGAGAGGCAGAGACACAGGCAGAGGGAGAAGCAGGCTCCATGCACCGGGAGCCCGACGTGGGATTCGATCCCGGGTCTCCAGGATCGCGCCCTGGGCCAAAGGCAGGCGCCAAACCGCTGCGCCACCCAGGGATCCCAAAGAGGTATTTTTTTTTTCCTTTTGGAATAAACCATCTTTTTTCTTTTTTTTTTTTTTTACTTTATGATAGTCACAGAGAGAGAGACAGAGACATAGGCAGAGGGAGAAGCAGGCTCCATGCACCGGGAGCCCGATGTGGGATTCGATCCCGGGTCTCCAGGATCGCGTCCTGGGCCAAAGGCAGGCGCCAAACCGCTGCGCCACCCAGGGATCCAGGAACTCTGTTTCCGATTCAAATATGGATTCTGACCATTTCGAGCAGATTTTATTTTAAAGCCGATTCTCGCGCATGTTTTGACAGAAAGACCCCCCAAATCCCATTTGGGCGTGGGAGGGCGATCCAGTACCAGGGTGCAGCTACGTTCCACCTGGTGTGCCTGCCACCTTCCTTGGTGGGTCTCAAACTTGGAGAAGGCTTTAAGAGGCTCATAGGGGCGCTTCTTAGGCATGCAGATCCTCGGGCCCTGCTCCCCCCTCCCCCAGCGATGCCCCCGCGGCTCTGGGCCGGGCCGGGCCGACTGCGGATTGCACCCCGGGAGCTCCCACGTCCCGCTGCCTCCCCGCCGCCGGGAGCTCTCAACGTGCACACCACCCGGGAAGCGTCTACGCTGTTAGGACCCGTCGGGCCGACCGGCCAGGAAAGAGCCCGCGGGGCTGGACGGAAGAGGGAGGCAGGGGCCGACCTCTGGAAGGCCCAGCGGGGAGGACTGAGAGAGACCGCTGAAGCGCGAGCCTACGGCGACGCCACCGCACACCCGCCAGCGCGAGCCGCCCGCCGACCCATCCTCCCCAACCTCCCCGGACTACGAGCCCCAGCGGGCAGCGCGCAGCGCGCAGGCGCAGAGCAGGGCCCGCGAGGCGCCCTGCATGCTGGGAGTTGTGCGCTGTTAGAGCCGAGGGAGGGGCCGAGGGCGCACCCGTGCCCCCCCCGCCCCCCCGCGTTTCTCGGTGTTTGTAAGTAGCGCCCTCCTCCCCGGATGCGTGGCACAGACCTTCCCCGCTTGCATCTCGCCCCTCGGGCCACCCCTCTTCCAGGCCCGGAGACTCCGCGCCTGGGACTCTCGGAGTAGTCGCGGACTGAGGCCCCGTGAGGCCGCGACACGTCAGGGCCGACGCCTCCGTCGTGGTAAAGCGAGGGGTTGGACTGGAACGATCTTTACGGTCTCCTCTGGCTCTCCCCGCCCTGCCGCCACGCCCCCCGTCCCGACGCCGCTGGGAGTTGCAGTTCCTTGAACCCGTTTTCTCCGCGGCCGGCCCGCCCGGCCCGTGCGATCCGTCATGCTCTGCGCCACCAGCCGCCTCCTGGCGGCCGGCACGGCCACCGCGCCCCCCGCCCAGCCCAGAGGCCGGGGCCCCGGGGCCCGCTGCCGGCGCAGGGAACTACATTTCCCAGGGCACCCCGAGCTGCCCCCGGGTGACTTCTTGCTGGGGCGGCTCGCAAGACCGAGCGTGCCGGCGGGCCGGCGGGTGACCCTGAGGAGGGGCAGGATGCCGCCGGCGGTGGGCGGAGGCCCGGCAAGGTCCGAGCTGCGTCCCCGGCGGGGGCGCGCTGGGATCGAGGCTGCCGGGGCTGTGGGCCCGGACGTGGCCGCCGAGCCTGCAGCGCGGAGCCCCAAACGGCCTGCTCGGGGCTCGCGGTGCATCGAGGCAGCCGGCCGCTGGACCCTGCTGACCCTGGTGACGCTGCTGTCCTTCGCCACCCGCTTCCACCGTCTGGACGAGCCGCGCCACATCTGGTGAGTGACAGGAGTGACGCGCCGTCTGATTGGCCCGAGGGCACGGAGGGGGCGGGAATTACAGGCGGAGGGGCGGGGCTGCGCCGGAGGGGAAACAGGTCTCTGCGGCGGCTGCTTTTGGCTGGGTGCGGTCTCCGCGAGGCGAGAGCCTTCCTTTGGCGCTGGCGGGTGACGCTGGGATTCTTTAGGATCCGGGGAAGCGGTCTCAGATAGAAGCCGCCCAAAAGTGGCTTTTAAAAGTGCTTTGACTTTCCGAGGAGAGTCGGAAATTCTTTTTTTTTTTTTTTTCGGGGAATTCTTAATACAAAATTACCTGAGGAAGGCCCGAGTTCCCAATCTGCAGGATTTCCAGGCATTAGGGGAGGCAAAAGTCATCCTTGGGAGCAGGGACAATTTGTGTGCCCAGAGACGGTGACAGGAGCCCCGGGAAGCAGGTCTAGGGTCACTTTGTGAGGGGATTCTTGTTAAAGGTTTTATTTTGTGGGACTCAAGTCTCATGAGATAAGCTTAAAAAGTCTCCAGCTAGAAGGAGGAAAAAAGTTTTTCACAATCTGAAAATGGTTCATTTGTTTGACGAAATGACAACATGTTTTGTCCGTATCCCTGACTAGAAAGTGTAGTGGATGTTAGAAATGGAAACTCCTTGACCAAAAAGCAAGCCAGCCCGCAATTATCTGAGCTCTCCTACTTGGAAGTGAGTTAATTAGCTTGCTTTTGTTTCTTGGGTGCCAGCAGAAGACAGGAGAATCCTGTGTCGGAGGCAAAGGACTCTTTACTGAAAGGGCAGGAGGCAGGATGAACATTAGCATATTGGATTAAGTTTGAGTCTCCTCTCCCTCCCCCACCTTTGCTGATCTGGAGTTGTTAGGGGAAAGAACCACGAATCATGTCCCGGAAGAATCGAAATTTTCAAAATATACGTTTATGTAAGTCTCCACCTCTTTTGTCCTGATCATTACCCAGTTGGTGGCCAAGAGGAGATGAACCCTTTTCTGGTGATGACTGCATTAGGCGATCTAACTGCTTTTACCAAGGGGTGTGAACCAGGAGGAGGTGAGGGAAGTAGAGTCAGAAATCTTTTTGAGAAGACTGTTCCGTGCTCAACAATCTCAAGTGCCTGCAACAATCTCAAGCAGGGAGTGTGGAATATCATCCAATCCCTTGACTGTTGGCTCATTATTTCACGGTCATTGCAAAACAAAACAAAACAGAAAAACGGTGCACTATTGTCAAACCGTAGATGGTTTGGAATGACAAAAGTAGTTTCCAGTCTTACCATGACTATCTGGAGTCAGATGATTGGACAGGAGCAGTAGCATCAACACTGTAGCCTTGAAAAAGTGTCAGTAACAGTGAGGTACCAATGATAGCCTGGAGAGGGGAACAAAGTCCTAATACTGTCAGTTTCCTTGGAGGAGGCAGGGTCAATGCCCTGTGCAATGTGGCCTCCTTTATTACAGGACAAATTGGCCAACTTTTGGCAGGAGTCGCAAGTCACCACAAAGCAATGATGACTTCTGATTCAGAAACAGAGTCCTTTACTTTGTGCCCAGTCCAGTCCATGATGGCAGAGCAGTTTCCATGCCTGGAGCACTGAGGAACCCCGGTGGCAATGGCAGCAGTCTGTTTGGTACAGACTTGATCTGTAGCTTGATTTCTGTCAGTCTGATCAGAATACTGGCCCTTACTGTGGACATCTATAGGAGTGATCCAGATTGTCCCATTGACAGGCAGCCATGATTTTTTTCCCACAGTTCTTGGCTCTAAAGAGAGGTGTTTTAAATTTCTCAGTATGTAATCTTCTAGGTGGCACACCAGAAACTAGGCTAATGGCAAAAGCCCAAGATCTAGTAGAAATAGAACTTGTCTGTTTCTCAGGAATATTGTGTAGGGCAAGCGTGATGACTTTGAGTTCAGCCCACTGGCCCATCAACCAGTGGGCCTTGCAGAGCTATCACCGGGACTGGATAACTGCTGCTGTGCAGTGGACACTATCAGTGAACCAGGGACAAGCTTTGAGAGGAACTTCTGTGAATCAAAGGTCCACTGTGTCCGTGGTTTTGCTTCAGGTGGCAGAGTGGAAGATAGTTTCTCTCAAAGTGGGGGCACCCATCTCCTTTTTAAAGTCAAGATACATCTAGGACTAGGCCAGCTATATCACTTCCATTTGACCAGCAAGCCTCACTGAGCCTTTCTGTTAGCCTTATATTCCAACATGACTCACCCCAGAGTGGCAGTATCCAGCAGGAGAGTCCTAAGGGTTTCATCAGTTAGGCACTCAATTTAAATGAAAACAGTAGTAAGTTGATGGCTGTTTTTTGAAGAGTGTGTGCTTTGTACCTGTGTCCAGCAGATGGCGCTGTTATCCTGGAGCATGGCCTCTCCTCTCCACCTGCCGTTAGGACTGTAAGGCTGTGATTTCCCTTTCTCTTCTTAGAATTTGTATTATTTCTCCTGGACCACATGGCAGCCCTGAATGGGAGAATTCTCTTTTGACATTTATAGGATCAATTCCAGTATACATTCCACAGTGGGAGCCACAACAATAGCACAGGCCCCTACCTGCAAGGTCATTGTCCCTTCCCTTCCCCACTGAGAGCTAGGCCCAAACCCTCTCAGTTAAATTTGGGTGCTTTCCCCTCCTTGAACTTATGTGTCTAATAGGCCTGCATCAGTAACTATATGGCAGCCCTCCAGAGAGTATGCCAGTCTCCAGTGGAGAGTGTGGAGTGCTGGATGCAGGGGGGTGGGAGGAAGCTTTTTTCTTTCCTTAGCCCCTTCATAGTCTTGTCATCCCTTCTTTCTAGTGGATTTCCCTATGTCTGTTGAGCCCCTGGGCTTAGGGGCTCTTTTCTTTAAGTCACTGTACACACTGCTAGAGTTCTCCCTGCAGTCCCCAGCACCTCTCGTACCCCCAGCACGTAGCAGATTGTCCCTGTCCCCTGCCATGAGGTTGAGTGAGCTGGAGATGTGGGCCCCTGCCCTGAGTTTGAGTCCTTCTTTACTCTGGAGTTCCCCATCATAATAGGATGCATATGTGTGGCCTTTAGTCTCCTTTAGGAATAGGGAGACCTTGGCCCCACTTTAATCATCTTACTCCTTTCAACACAGCTGAGATTGTGGTAGTGAGGGAGGTATCATGAGACACCAGGAGAGAATAGCTGTGAACGACTCAGCAAGGCCACATTTACTTTTGTCTTGAGTATACAGCTCACCTAAGGACCTTTCAATGTTTTTATTTTGCACAAAGTTCTGTGTTGAATAGCATGGTCCTTACGTTGGCACCATTTATGTAAGCTTTACAGACTCCTTGATTTAGCGGCCACATCCATATTGCCTTTTGGCTGGGGCTACTAGGCTTGCTACCCTGTTGTCATTACATCTCTTTCTTATTTTGCCCAGAAGAGAGTGAACAGTAACCAAGGCAGCGTTCAAACTGTTTCTTTCTCCATTCAGCCTCATTAATAGGTAGGACAGTGGGAGACTCTTACTACCTTCTTGCCCACCATTTAGGCAAGAGCATTCACCATCCCCAGCTCATGGGGGCCCTTTTCCTTTCTCTTATAGAAAGGTATATCTCAGCATCCTCTGCCTGTGACCACAAACTGTCGGCATCTGGGATTTCATTTTACCAACGTGATACTAGCAAGTTAGCCTGTCACTGTTGTATGGATGCTGGCAGAAGACAATACTGAGTCAGAGACAAAGGACTTTATTTCTCATGGCACAGCAAGCCGGATAAGCATCAGCACGTTGGCATCAGTTCCTCTTGCCCCCGAAGTCCCATATGAGGCCATGGGTCTGAATGAATGCCTGCACATGCAGTGGTGGGTTGTATCACAGCTAAGGGATATGGAGCTTGGGGAATCCACTGTTTTTGTAATAAGCAGTAAATAAGAGTGCTCCCTGTCCCAGAGGGAGATGCTAACTCTTCCCTCAAGATTGCTTTTCTGCAAACATAAACCTGAGAAATGGCCTAGGTAAAGAGTGGCCACGATCTTGTGTTCTTGGCATACCCTGTGAGATCTGGAGGGGCAAGAGAGAGCCAAGGAGGATTGTCTCTCCCAACACAAACACAAGAAATATGAATGTTACTAATAGTTCTATTTGGTAAATTTTTTTTTCTATTTGGTAAATTTTGTTTAAAATATTTTTTTATTATTTATTTATGATAGTCATACAGAGAGAGAGAGAGAGAGAGAGGCAGAGACAAGGCAGAGACATAGGCAGAGGGAGAAGCAGGCTCCATGCACCGGGAGCCTGACATGGGATTCGATCGCGGGTCTCCAGGATCGCGTCCTGGGCCAAAGGCGGGCGCCAAACCGCTGTGCCACCCAGGGATCCCCTATTTGGTAAATTTTTAAAGTAAAAAATCCCATGTTTCCAAACAGACCTCAAAACTAACCACAAGTATTGGGACAGTTTAAATGTGTGGGAGTTTGTAGTCTACAGAGTTCTTTTACATATGTTTTTTGAATTGAGTCCTAATGCTTCTCTGTGAGGGGGGCATGGCAGATATTTTTGTCTTCATTGTGTAGATGAAAACAGAGATCCAGAGAGGATGACTTTGCCAGGTTGTGCTGTTAGTAAGTGGTGAGGCTGGGCTGATCTCTCTTCTTTCTGCAAATCTGTTTTGTCACACTTCTTGGAAGTTGTTTCTCTCTTTGACATCACCATACCACTGTCCTCACTTCATGTCAAGCAGAGTGTTTAACAGATAGCAGATGCAGAAGTAGATTTACTCTGTAGCCTATCTACTGGACCCACTGAGTCAAAGGGAATAAAGAAGAACCCTACATTTTGGGGAGAAGCATGTTTTGCCCCTTATGTTTTAGGTTGGTAGTAATTGCTTATGGAAGCTGACCTAGGGATGGCTAGTCACTGGAAAGCAACTGTTCTTCTGAGCTGTAGGGAGGGAGGGACTGACAGGCAGAAATGGCTGGGCTCTACTGGATAGCTGGGCTTCTGCTATCAAGTCTTTGTGTATGATGTGAAAAGGCTTATGTGGTTCTATGGAAGAATGAGATTTTTCATTGTGTTTAAAAGTTAATGTATTATAATCACTTATTTACTTGCAAAATAATTTGTGTGATGAGGATAGCTTCCAGATAGGCTCCTAACTCAATTGTTGTATACTGGTTAGTTCATTATAATAAGCTCAGTGAGTTCGTATTCAGCAGGTTAATCATTACAGGGTTAATGAGCAAACTTAGACTCCTGTAACAGTCATAGTTTGTAGGTTCTTACCGATCATCAGTAGCCCATGGTGTAGTTTGTAATAGCAGTAGTCTGTACTTTCTAGTAGCAAAAGTAGTCTTAGGGTCAGAAGGTAACAGACTTGGAAGAGAACTCTTACTACAAAATTTTCTGTATTATAGGAAAGCTCTGCTCTTTTAAAATAGAAACTCAAACTACAGAATAAGCATAGATTTCATTTAAATTTATAACTGGTTGAATATTTGCTTACCTTTCTCATCTATCTAAATGAAGATTAGCAATCAACCTGATGTCTTACTTCCTCAAATCACTAATTTTTTTTTTTTTTTTTTAAGTAAAACCTAACCCCAATGTGGGATTCAAATTCACAGTGCCTGGCACTCCTGGGTGGCTCAGTCAGTTAGATATGGAACTCTTGCTTTTGGCTCACGTCATGATGTCAGGATTAAGGTCAAGCTCTGTGTGGGGCTCTATGTTCAGTGGGCGTATGCTTGAGGATTCTCGCTCTCCCTCTGCCTCCCCCTCCTTCTCCCTCCCCCGGCTTGCGGCTTGCGTGTGCTCACGTGCTCTCTCTAAAATAAACAAATAAATAACGCCCCCCAAAACCCCAAAAACAAAACTCATAACCCCAGGATCAAGAGTTGCATATTCTACTGACTGAGCCGGCCAGATGCCTCAATGTGTCAAGGGTTTTTTAATCCCAATTCTCTCATTAATTGCTTGAAACTTTTGGTTTTTGGGTTTTTAAAAAAGGTTTTATTTATTTATTTTTAAGGGAGAGAGAGGGAGAGAGCAAGCCCAAGCAGGGGGGCGTGGGTGGTGAGAAAGAGGAATAGACTCCCTGCTAAGCAGGGAGCCTGAGCCAGGGCTTGATCCCAGCGCCCTGAGATCATGACCTGAGCTAAAGGCAGATGCTTAACTAAGTGAGCCACCCAGGTGCCCCATAGTCTTTGGTTTTAACTTAATTTTAACCATGCTTTATTATGGCCATTTGAATTATATGGTAATTTAAAAATTCTCATTTCTTTTTCTATTTTTCCTTTAGTTGGGATGAGACTCACTTTGGAAAAATGGGAAGCTATTATATCAACCGCACCTTTTTCTTTGATGTGCACCCACCTCTGGGAAAGGTGAGCAATGTGGTTACTGACCACTCTCTTCAAAGGGTTGGAACAAAGTCTTTTGGATTTAAAATCTTGGCTTTTGGAAGGAAATCCGTGACATTCCAGGCCAGCTGCTTATATGGAAAATCTTTGATATTTTGAGTTCTCTGGTCTCAGAAATGGAGAGGGAGTCCATCAACCAGTGGATACATATATAAAATATGGTATATCCATATGATGGAATATTATTCAGTCATAAAAAAGGAATGAAGTGTTGCTGCATGTTATAACATGGATGAGTCTTACAAACTTTATGCTGAGCGAAAGATGTCAGACACAAAAGGCCATATAGTGTATGATTCCATTTATATGAAATATTCAGAATAGGCAAATCCATAGAAACAGAAACTAGATTAGTAGTGGTTGGCTTCTGGTGGGGACAGAGCACTGGGGGCTGACTGCAAATGAGTGTGGAATTTCTTTTGGGGTGATAAAATATTCTGGAGTTAGAGGTGATAGTTGCACAACCTTATGAATATAATAAAATCCACTGAATTGTACACTTTAAAGTGGTGAATCTTATGGTATATGAATTTTATCTCAATTCAAAAAAGTAAAAAGTGGAGAGAAGGAATATGTTACATAAAGTAGAGATTGCTGAGAGGAGCTGACTGTCTCCAGGGGAGCAAAACTCCTTTCCCCCTCCCCACTCTCAGCATGCATTTTCTTTGACCTGTACCTCTCACATGTTTTACAATTAGAAATCCCACAGTGAGAATTCATTTTACTTCTCTAAAAACTACTACCTCTGAGAAGGCTAATGAATCGGCCCTTTCTTCTTAACTAGGGGCTAAGATCTTTGGCACCAAGGGGACAGGAACTGGTCTTCTAGGAAGTAAGGGAGTGGTCTTGGAGCATGGAGGACTTGGGGATGAAGGCAGCAGTTAGGGGAGGTAGGCATGGTGGTCTGTGACAGGTGGGCTCTCTTACAAGAGCATTGGGTAGGGACCAGAGAGGGGTGGAGAGAGAGATGGGATAGTGATCTATTTCACAATTAGCCCTGGGCCCAGAGCTGGAGTAGAAAATATTATGCTTCTTCCTATCTCTTCTATAAGATAATAGCAATAAAAATCAGAACACTTGAAAACAATCTGTTCTAGTCCCTTTCAGTGCATTATCTTATGTAATCCTTAGAATAACCTATGAAGTAGGTACCCTTGTATCCCCATTTTACCAATGGGGAAACTGGGGTACCGAGAGGACAAGAAGTTTGCCATGGAGAAGAAAACTAGTAAGTGGCAGTCAAGGTTCAAGCTGACTTAACTTCTACTCTCTTGACCCTTATAGTGCACCGCACCATGATACTTACCTTGCCCCATTACTTGGATGACATCTGTTGCCGCTGTAGGATTAAACAATAGAGTGTGTGGAATGTTTGCACTGGGCTGGCCTGGGAACCAGACCCTCTGGTGGACAAGGTTTTTTTTTTTTTCCTAGGAAACCCAGCCCAATCTTTCAGCTGGGGACTGCCGGTCTGTTTTTGGAGTCCCTTAGTGCTCACACAGTGAAGACATGCATGTGGAACAGTGGCTGATTTGTTGTGACTTAAGCTTTCCCTGGCTCATATCTGGTCCCTGTGGGCCGGGGGTAATGTGGGGCTACTTTCTAAGGCTCCCCTGGGGGAGTTTGGTCTGTGTGCCACCCTAATTTATATCTTTTTTTTTTTTCCTAATTTATATCTTGATGGTCTGTGCTCTACCTGGTTGAATGGGAGTGATGAACACAATAGCTTTTTTTGTTTGTTTGTTTGTTTGCTGGCTTGATCTATGACGTATATTTATACAAATTGTGTGAAGGCGTCGTTTGCATGTTGAGTTGGCTCCCACTGACATCTGTGGCCACTTCACACACACAGAGTATGCATCATATATGTGCACACCATGTCCATTAACACTGAGACCATCCTAGGCAGCAATCACTTTGTGTCTTTTTTTCTAAAAGGTTTTTAAAAACCTGTACAGCGATTGGTCAGGTCCAACACCTGACCAGTAAGAACATTGGTAAAGGGGCCAGGAAAGAGGGGGAAAGAGCTAAAATTCAATCCTGGGAAAAACTTTATTCCAGTTTCCTTCTTTCCTTCTTTCTAATCAGCTTTCTAGAATTTGTAATCCCAGAGAAAATATGACAGCTAGACACAGAACTAAATATCTATGGTTTAACGAGAACATCAAGGCAGTCTCATCTGGGGGTAGATGTTCCCTTTCATATTAGAACACATTTGAATTGTTTTTCTGCCCTGACCTTAGATTGTAGATTGTCTACGTGTGATACAGATCCACCGGGCAGAGATGAATCAAATCATGCTAGGGACGGATTTTACAGGAAGAGCAGGTGGTTGCCTAGGGCAGTGCAATATTTCCTTGAGTCTATAATGGGAGGATCCCACAATAGCTTTTGTAGGTTCTTTTTTTTTTTTTTTAAAGATTTTATTTATTTATTCATGAGAGACATACACACACACACAGAAGCAAGCTCTATGTAGGGAGCACGACGCGGGACTCAATCACGGGACTCCAGGATCACACCATGGGCTGAAGGTGGCACTAAACCGCTGAGCCACCCAGGCTGCCCTCTTTTTCATAGGTTCTAAGGCCAAGCTAGTCAGAGAACCAGAAAGTTCCTTGAAGTTGCAAATGACACATTTTCTCCTGCAGTACTGAGGCCGCTAGCTGTCCCTGCATGCTGGCCCCCAGTCCTGAAGGAAATAGAAGTGCTTGCACAGAGTGAAACATTTCATCAGCACAGAAGGAAGTTAGAAGTCAAAAGCTACCTCTCCCCACATTTCTATTAGTTCTATTAGTTTTCTATTAATTTCTTATATATGTTATCTTAGAAATTTGGGGTGCCTGGGTGGCTCAGTTGCTTGAGTGTCTACCTTCAGCTCAGGTCATGATCTCAGTTCTGGGATCCAGTCCTACATTGGGCTCCCTGCTCAGCCAGGAGCCTGGTTTTCCCTCTCCCTCTCCCTGCCGCTGTCCCTGCTTGTGCGTTCTCTGTCTCTCTCTGTCAAACAAATAAATAAATCTTAAAAAAAATTCTTTATACAGACATAAGTGTGTGTATATTTATAGATGTGCACTTGAAAGACTTTATATACAAATAGGACCAGACTAAAACTGTTCAGCAACTTATATTTTGTTTTATTTATTTTATTTTAAACATTTTATTTATTTTAGAGAGAGTGAGAGAGAGAGAGCACGAGCAGGGGTAGGGGCAGAGGAAGAAGCAGACTCCCCGCTGAGTGGGGAGCCTGATGTGGGGCTTGACCCTGGGACTCCAGGATCATGACCTGAACCAATGGCAGTCACTTAATTGACTGAGCCACCCAGGTGCTGCAACAACTTATATATATATATATTTTTTTTTTAACAACTTATATTTTAAACATGATATATCTTAACTTTTTTCCACATTAGCACATAAAAATATACTCCATTTTAAAAAATCTATTTTATTTATGATTTTTTAAATTGCATATAGTTAACACACAATATTACATTAGTTTCAGGTATATAACATGGTGATTTGACAAGTTTATGCATTATGCTTTGCTCACCCCAAGTGTAGCTGCCATCTGTCCTGTTATATTGCTATTACGATATCATTGACTGTAGCCCTTATGCTGTGCTTTTTATTTCCGTGACTTACTCATTCCATAAATGGAAGTCTGTCTCCTACTCCCCTTTCCCTCTAACAACTACAGTTTCTACTCAGTATTTATAGTTCTGATTCTGTTTTTGTTTGTTCATGTTTTTTAAGGTTCCATTTATGAGTAGAATCATATGGTGTTTGTCTTTCTCAGTCTGGCTAGCATAATACCCTCTAGGTCCATCCGTGCTATCTCAAGTGGCATGATCTCATTCTTTTTTATGACCATTGTACTTTATTCTTTTTAATGGCTGTATATTATTCCAGTATAAAGATGTGCCATGCATTATTTTGCCCATCTTCAATTTGTGGACATTTCTGTTATTTCCAGTTTTCAGCCATTACAAGGATTTTGTAATGAACATCGTTGTGTATTTATCCTTTCATAGTTGTGCAGATGTATCTAGAAAGTTTTAGCAGCTAAAGAGTCAAAGGATATACACATTTAAATTTGTGTTAGAGATTGATGTTTTTCTGCAAAAATACTGTAGTAATATATAATAATATACCCCCATCAGCAGGGTATGAGGGTTCTTGCTTCTCACACACCATTACCAGCAATGGTGTGATGATACTTTCAAAACTTTGCCAATTTGAGGGACACCTTGGGTGGCTCAGTGGTTGAGTGTCTGCCTTTGGCTCAGATCATGGTCCTGGGGTCCTGGGATTGAGTCCTGCATCAAGCTCCCTGTGGGGAGACTGCCTCTCCCTCTGCCTCTCTCTCTCTGTGTCTTTCGTAATAAAAATAAAATCTTAAAAAACTTTGCCAATTTGAGAATGAAAAATGGTGTGTCACTGTATTCATTTGCATGTCTTTACGAGTTGAGCCGAACATTTTCTTCATATATTTATTGGCCATTATTATTTTGTTTTCTCTGAATTTGCCCATTGTTCTAGTAGGTTCTTTTTCTTATTGATTTGAACAAATTGGTTAGGAAATTAGCTCAGGGCTACTTTTAACCTTAAGGGAACTGAGAGGGAACTGAATTTCGAGGGCCTGGTAAGGGCTCAGTATAGTACCAGGTGTTTGACCTATTGCACTCTCTAATCTTCACACCCACACCCTACTCCCTGAAAAGAGAGGTTTTATTACTTGTAGCTCAGACATATTAAATATTATCTGCAATCAGAAAGCTGAGATGCAAACTGTTACTGCATTTCTTCATTCTACCAGACCAGCTAAGCAGTCTGGAAATTTATACCAGCACCACATGAATTTGTCCTCTGAGATCCCAGGTGGGAAGGGGCGTTTGATTGTCACCTGTCAGTTTTTGTTCATTTAGGTATTTGGATGGCTGTCTTTTTAATACCTTCTCTTATTTTTTATTTTATTTTTTAAAAAGATTTTATTAATTTACTCACGAGAGACACACAGAGAGAGAGAGAGAGAGAGAGTCAGAGACACAGGCAGAGGGAGAAGCAGGCCCCATGCAGGGAGCCCAACGTGGGACCCGATCCCGGGCCTCCAGGATCACACCCTGGGCCGAAGGCGGTGCTAAACCGCTGAGCCACCTGGGCTGCCCAATACCTTCTCTTATTTATGTTAAATTAGTTACATTAATTTTTGAGCCCTAGGGTTCTTTTTTTTTTTTTTTAACAAGGCTTTATAATCATTTACTGTTGAATTTTGGCCTCTATACTTGACATGGAACTATAGAGGGTGACTTGGGTTAGAGCTACTTATAATAAAAAGTGAGCTGGTTAGTGGTCTAAACCCAAGCCCCCACAACCAATGTTGCAGGGAGAGACTTTCTTAATACAGCCAGTATATCCTGTCCCTCCACACAGCCTAACTGGAGTACAGGGGTCTGGCTAGGGCAGCCTGGGGCTGTTAAAATGCTTGGTAATTGCTGACAATTTATATGGCTTAAGAGCTCTGATTGCTTGTGTGGAAATGAGGCTTTTACAACTGTTGAAAGATAGAAATGAAGAAGCTGATCTTCTTGAACATTTTGAAGGATTCACAAATCTCAGTCTTAGTGTAATAGTTGATTTGTTCTTGTTTGGAATATGCCAAGGTTGCCCTCCTTTGAAACATTAGAAATAGGAGAAATAGGTTTCTGGCCTTTGTTATTTTTTCTGCTGGGACTTTTCTCCTCTGGGGAAAAGTGTCTGTCTTAGCACCCTTCCCTCGCTGCCCCCCGTCTTTCTTCCCTTCTGCCTGTTGGTGGTGTGTAACTCCTTGGCCACTTTTCTCCCTCCTCATTCTGACTTGGAACCCATCTTCCTTTCAGTAGGTCAGACCCCTAGGAATCAGCCCCTGCCCATGGCCTCCCCCATGAGCTTTCGTGTTTTATTTCATAGCAAATGAAAGAAGACTAAACAAGAGAGCCCTTCCTGACTCTGCCCTTCAAATTGTGGGATTTTTTTTTCTTCCTAAATGTTCAATTTGCACTATTCCCAAGAACTTGGCCTTAACACAAGAGAGGATTTGTTTCAAGCAAAATACTCTGTAGACAAAAGATTCTTTGCTCTGCAACAGCTGCAGGAGAAAATGTCACATTGGCAATTCCTATGGACAGTTGTCAAGGGAAGCCAAAGTCTGGGTGCAGCTGGAGGGAAGTTCAGGGGACAGAGGAATCTTCATATCTCATAATTTTTTTGTTTGTTCTTCTCTCCTCAGATGCTGATAGGTCTTGCTGGCTACCTGAGTGGGTATGATGGTACTTTTTTGTTCCAGAAGCCTGGGGACAAATATGAACATCACAACTACATGGGAATGAGAGGAGTAAGGCTTCCTGACTTGCTCTAGACTGAACCCTGGGGCCACACTGTCAGAATTTAGACCTGGAGTGTTGACAGGTGTAGACAGAGGGACTTTGGGTGGTAGCGGGAGAGGAGTATGATTGGGCCTATATCCTGTAATAGAGATTCGGGTGTAGAGATTCAGAACTGGAATGGGTAAGAAGGGGAGAGGAAGCTGCAGATAATACAGAGATTGCATAGGTAGGAATAAGCACACACTGTCACCTGTTGCCCAGCCCATGTGAGGCTTCAGACTTCAGGTTGGAGAATAAATCTAGGACCCAGGCAGCCAGGAGTCTTCTGCAGCCTAGACATTGGGCTCAGCACATTGGCAAGCTACATGTCTTTCCTCTCCATGGCCACGATTACTGGAATGTTGCCTACCTCTGAGGGCCTTTCTTAAGATTTCAGCATCCCATACTCCTGACATCAGGTCTAGGTCTCTGCTTCTTTCCCCATGAAGGTTTCAGGCACCCAAAAGGGATTTTCCAGTCTTGTAGAGGAGATTACATGTTTGCCCACGTCCCAGCCTTGATAGAGCATCAACAGGCCTAAATACCCAACTCTGTAGGGACCCCTTAACTGTAGCAAAATGAAAAGCGCAAAATCTGAGTATGGACATAGAATTCTCAGAGCAGGTTGCATTTATTTACAGGCTCCTTTTCTTGAGGAGCTCAAAGCACATTAGATAAATGCTGTGTGCTTACTTGAGCTAATCATTGGATGATTTGCATGGTCTATCATACTGTATTAAACAGGGATTACCCCTACCCAGGAGTTCATATTCTTAAGTGGTTCTGTGTCTTCCTAATGACTTTTGAACATCATGTAGCCTACATAATTGGATAGAGGCCTGAATCACTGTGGGCTTGTTGTGCAGATTGAGAAGCCCAAATATAACAACCTTGTTCTATTTCATGCTAAGACACATTGCTTTCTATTGACAAAAAGTGACAACCTAAATATGAGAATTGCCATTTCCCTGGGCATGTCTATTTATTTTTGATGGACAGGGTAAAGAAGTGGAGAGAGAGCTGGTGGTTCCAAACAAAACAAAACAAAAAACAACTCAATGTCAGGTAGTTTTTTTCCCCAGAATCAAAATGCAACTTGTTAACTTCAAGAGTGATTTCTGGTGTGACTGAAGAAAAGAGCCAAGGGAGAAATAACAGAAATAGCATTATAATTCTATAGAATATTAAACACATAAGACAGATCTTTTTCTACTTGTACCCACAGTTTTGTAATAGAAGCTAATGTTTATTGAGCACTTTGTATGTGCTAATAAAACTATCTCATTTAATCTCTAGAGAAAACTGAGGTAGGAACTTTAGTTTTTCACGTGTCATGGATGGGGAGGCTGAGATTCAGAGATGTACTAGTTCAAGGTCACAGCTAGTGGTAGATGGAGCAGTCCAACCTCAGAGTTCCCAAATTGAAATCACTGTGCTATCCTGCACATACCTCCTTGGCTGAACTTTGTTGACTTCATGTCAGTGATTGAGGTGGTGCTCAATGGGGACCTAAATGTGGCTTGATTTGACGATTCACTGTCACACCATCCCTTTCTTATTTATAGATATTCCAAGTGATTTCAGATCACTGAGTCATGCTGCGTCCAGATCCTCCATTTTAAACATTAGTTTGAACCAAGTCAAGTAGGTCTCTGATGCTTAGCTTAGCTGGCTGTTTGACTGTGTCTCTTTTCCTTCCATAGTTCTGTGCTTTCCTTGGTTCCTTGCTGGTCCCATTTGCCTATCTCACTGTGTTGGAGCTGTCTAAGTCCTTCCCGGCAGCACTGCTCACTGCTGCCCTCCTCACCTTTGGTAAGTTGTCTTATACCATGTTTCTTAGGGAATTGACTGCCACATTATGAGGGTAGTTGGAAATCAGTACATTTAAGGATCCTATCCATAGACCCAGGTCTTAAGTACCTTTAAAATTGGGTAAATGTATTATAAATCTTAGTTTCTTCACCAGTGATTTTACATATAAAAATAGTTCCCTGCAGCAAACCTTTATATTATTAGAGGGGAGTGCTCACATACATAATCATAATCCCAAGGAATGACTGTCTCCAAGTTATCCACATTTAAGTTTGGTGTGACTAAAAAGACCAACTTGTGTGTGTGCATGTGTGCATATATTTGAAGGAGGCCTACAATTCTAATTCTGCTTCTCTCATGTTACTATCAAGATCTCTCAGGTTACTAGAAATTTGTACTTCTTAAACTGATTTCAACTGAATGCAAGGACAGATGTCTCAGAAGTAGCTGGGTGGCAGGAAATAGCAAAGTGGGAAATGGGAACTTAAATCTCTGTGGATAATTCCCACACATAAATGAGAGTTGATCTGTAGAAATTGATCCTGTGCTATTCTTGTTTTATGAAAGTGAATCCATTACCTCATTGAACTTAGCATTTAAAGAAGTCTAGGCCAAGTTATGTGGGTATTTCATGGGTGATTCTGGCTTTATTTTGACAGATTTGCAAGATTAGAGGGCCTCCTTATAGGATTGGTGGCTTTTTCCTTGTGTCTTTAATTTCTCTTTTCAGTTATTCATCACCTGCATTTCCCTTTTCATTCCACAACTTTTTTCCAAGCATCTCCTCTGTGCCAGGCTACTTTTTTGGGCCTCCAAGGATATGCTGATGAGACCCTGTGCTGTCATGTCACTTACCTGCTAGTGGGGCAGATGATAAATAAGCAAGTAAATTTTAAGTCTGAAATGTTACAGTGTAAACCATAGTACAGTGTAGAAAATAGAGAAGAGTAAGGGAGAAAGTAATGGGGAGGGATTCTCCTGTAGGTAGGGTGGCCTTGAGCAAGACTTGAATGAAACAGATTAAGCCATGCAGAGAAGTGAGCAAAGGATGTGAAGGCAGAGGGAACAGCATGTGCGGTGATCCTGATACAAGGCCCCATTTGGTGGATTCAGGAAACATCAAGGAAGGCCAAGTGTGGACAGAGTGGAGTGTGTGAGGCAGAGGGTTTGGGGAGATGAGGTTGCATAGGGAGGGAGACCATGCTGGCTTTGACAGCTGTCTTGAGGACTTGGTTAGTCTAAGTGAGATGGCAAGACATTGGAGGCTTCAGGAAGGGACTTGATGTAATGCAATGTTGTTTTAAGAACAATCACTTTGGTGCCTGTGCGGAGAACTAGCTCCCAACAGGGACTTCATGTTAGACGCTAAGACTCTATCCTAGGTATAGGAAGTCTGTGGCTACCTAAGCAGGGTGGTAGGACTCCCTTTTTGATGGTGGAAATGAAGAGCCCTCGTCTCGGGACTGCTCCATCTGATTGAATGACGTGAGCCTCTCTCGGGTCACGGGCCTGAAAGCAGTGTGAGTTTTCTATCCCTGGGCTTGGGTGTACCCCAAAGCTATGGTGGCCTTCCACCTCCCTGATAGCTCAGTGGCTCATCTGGTCTTGATCACGTAAATGCTTACATGCAGTTAAGTATAAGGGACACTATTTCTTATTGTCAGGGTGTTTGGTTCTTGGGGGGCCCATCTCTGATTCTACTTTTTGACCACTGAGCTCATGTTTTTCAGATACAGGATGCCTCACTCTGTCCCAGTATATCCTCCTTGACCCCATCTTGATGTTCTTCATCATGGCTGCCATGCTGAGCATGGTCAAGTACAACTCCTGTGCCAACAGGTCAGAAACACTATCTTTGTGGGACTGGGCATTGGGGATCAGAAGCTGTGGCAACTCCAGAGTTTCTGTAATAGTCAGGGACAGGATGGGTGCCTAGAGGACTTGTCTTGAAGCTACATTTAAGGCAAGCATACTTTTTTTTAAAACTTAGATTGCCCATTTTAGATCATAAAAATAGATTTTATTTATTTGTTTTAGAGAGAGAGTGCACACGTGGGCGGGTGAACAGGTAGAGGGGCAGAGGCAGAGTGAGAGAGAGAATCCCAAGCAGGCTTTATGCTCAGTGCAGGCACAACATAAAGCTTGATCCCGTGACCCTGACATCATGACCTCAGCCAAAATCAAGAGTTGTATGCTTAACCAACTGAGCCACCCAGGCACCCCATGAAAAATAGATTTTGTTATGTTTTCTGGGGATACCTTTATTTTTGTTTTACATAAGATAAGAAAATGTCAATTATCTTTTTAAAGAATATTATAATGGATGGACTTGGGTAGGGGTTCGTGGAGATTATGGGGGCTTCCTAATGCTTTCCCCCAACCCCACCATCTTCTGAGCCACCCCTTGGCACCAGTGCTGGTTAGGGATCCCAGGATAAGTTTATTTTCGCCCTCTCTGTCCTAGAGGAGGAGAGAACCACAACAGGAACTGCCCTCATTTCCTGATGATGGGAATAATGTATATAAAGTTTGGCTTAAGGGCAGCCTGGGTAGCTCAGCGGTTTAGAGCTACCTTCTGCCCAGGGTGTGATCCTGGGGAACTGGGGTCGAGTCCCATGTCGGGCTCCCTGCATGGAGCCTGCTTCTCCCTCTGCTTGTGTCTCTACCACTCTGTCTCTCTGTTTCTCATGAATAAATAAATAAAATCTTAAAAAAAAAAAAAGTTTGTCTTAAGTGGTCCATTCTAGTCAAGAGGATCTCTACAAGCCTTGGTCAGTTTTAAAGCTATTCTGGAGGCCCTGGTCTTTTTCCAGAATAGTCTTTTTCAAATCATCCTTTTGCTTCTGAGAGAGTAGAGTAAGTCATTCATTCTATTCAAACTGAAAGAGCTGGCTCCACCTAGGCTTTTCTAGGAGTCAGCCTGGTTTCACCACAGCCAGGCTTATTAAATTACATTAAGCTAATAAAGCCGGATCCAGTGACTACCATCTCTCTCTGGCTTTGGATGATTGTCTACTTCTACTACATCCACTTCCACCTGCCATTTCTTGAGTACATAACTATGTGCCCGGTACTGTGCTAGGAGCCAGAGGTACAGAGGAACATAAGTCTCATAGTTAAGGAGCCTTCACTCTGGCAGGGGATGCAGCCAGCCAATGAGAAAATTGCAGCACCAAGAACTGGGTGCTGTAAGTATAGCAAACCTTGGAACCGACTGCCAGCGTTTGGACCATGCTCCACCACTTGCTAACTGTACTGCTACCCTCTCTGTACCTTGGTTTCCTCTTGTGTGAGAAAAGGATAATAATAGGACCTACCTCCATGGGGTCATAGTGAAGGTTAAAGAGTTTATATGTGTAAAGTGCTCAGAACAGCTCCTGACACATAGTAAGCACTCAATAACTGCTTCTTTTACAAGGTCCACAGGTGACCCCAGGAGAGGGCTGACTTAATCTGATAGTTTCTCTGGATTTTCCTTTTCCTTCCACTTGATTGGTCACTACTGAAGAATAAACCTCTTGCTTACTTTGAACCCTGTACTTAGCCAGGAAGGCTACAGCCCCCCCCCCCCCCCCAAAAAAATAACCTCCTCACTCTCACACTGCTTCCTGTAATTTTGGGAGTTTCAGAGACCATATCCTCCTTAGAGCCACACCAAGGTTAGGAGCTCTCAAGAATGAGGGCAGTAAATTGAACACCAATAAAAAATAAATAAAAAAAAAAAATGAGGGCAGGCACAGCTTCTCAGGGTTATAGAACCTCTGCCTTTCCCCACTGCTGCTCTTGTTTTTGAGTTTGGTTCCCACTGCCAAACTGAACTCTGTTGTCTTGTTGGTTTACAGGCCCTTCTCTGCCCCCTGGTGGTTCTGGCTCAGCCTGACTGGCATTAATCTGGCTGGTGCTTTAGGGGTCAAGTTTGTTGGCCTCTTTATCATCCTGCAAGTGGGGTGGAACACCATTTCAGACCTTTGGCACCTGTTTGGAGACCTCAGTCTTTCAGTGGTGAGAACCAAAGTGCTTGTAGAAATGTCTTTGCTCCCTGGTATTGCTCAGCAGAGCCAGTAGCCCTTTTCTGCCTCTGATGCAGGTGGTGGAGTGGCTATATTCTGGGCCCTAGGTAGGCTGGATCTGGCCATTTTCTGTAGGCAGCATGACAGCAGAAAGTAGGCCAGGCTCAGCAGCTAGAGAGGTTTAAAGGGAGAGGAAGAACTAACATCCTTGAAATTTTCTTTTGGCATTTGTTTCTGTGATATTTTTTAAACGCTCTACCCTGTCAGGGGAGTCTGTCCAGCTGGGCTCATGCTAAATATATGGCAGACACTGACTGCATGGGACCTTAGGTAAAATGGGTAGATGACTTTCTGAACTCCCAATTTTCTTTCTCTGACCCAGAGTCTCCAGATTTGGAGACCAGTAAGGGCCTTTATTAAAGTATTATTTACTAGGAGCTGATTTTATGCCAGGCACTGTGCAAAATGCTTCACCTCCACTGTCTCATTTACCTCTCCTAACAGTCCTGTGAGATAGGTAGTTATTACCTTCTCTTTACAAATGAGGAAGTCCAGACCTAGAGAGGTAGTAATAAGTCCAAGACCATACAAGTTGTAAAAAGTAGATGCAGGATTCGGACTTAGAGGAGGCTGACGCTAGACCTGAACTACTTTGCTACAGTGCTTCTCCATCACCTCTGAACCAAAGTCTTGATAAGTTCATTTATTCGCTCAGAAAATATAGACAGACTACCCTTTAAGTGTGAAACGTGGAATATGTAGATGAAGAAAATAAGAATTCTTGCCTTCCAGAGATAATAGAGAGACAGAAATAAGTAAACAGGCGATTGCAGTCCAATCAAAAAGTGCTGTGAGGGCATGAGCCCAGGTTTAAGGGTCCAGGAAGGCTTCTGGGAGGAAGCTGAGTCCTGAAATCCAGATGAGGACCACTTAAGCATGTGATGGGTAGAGCTGGCACAGTACAGGAAGCGTGGGGACCATGCAGGAGCTCAGTGTGACTGGGATATAGAGGGGACTGATGAATGATTAGGCTGAAGATGCAGGGACAGTCAGGGGTCCTGGGTGAGGGCCTGCACAGGCAGCAGAAGGCTGGCACATGTTGGACCCTCTGTAGTGCCTGGGTGGTGGAATGTTAGGGAAACACTAGGGTTTTCACATATTCTTTCTTGTTGGCTGTTAGCTTTTTAATTTTTGATGATTTTGACTTACACATAAAAAATTACATGTAATGCACATCTAAGGTATAAGAATAAAGCCCCAATTATGCTCAACACTCTGCACTGGCTCTGTTTGCAGGTGACTGTGGGAAAGCACCTGACTGCTCGCATACTGTGCCTCATAGCACTGCCCCTGACTCTCTACACGGCCACTTATGCCATTCACTTCATGGTGCTGAACAAAAGGTACAGCAAAGCCTTTCCAGCCTCTTGCCTCTGGTCTTCCTCTTGCCTCTCAACCCCCCAGGTGGGCCATGTGATTCCTGGGTCTGTGGTTGGGATGTTAGAGGGACCTGATGGGTTTTATCTGTTTGTTTCCTCCTATGTTCTATCTTTTGGGTATCTGAAGGGCTCAGAAAAGCCAGCCCCCTGGCTTGAAGGAAGAGGAGAACTTCCTAATAGCCAGACTGCCCCTTATCCCTAAACAGAGTCTCTGTGCTTAGCAGAGGTGGGCCAGAATAAGGTGTGCACTTGGAGGAGGGTAATGATCTCAGTAACATTAACTGCAGATCCCACTTAACAAGTAGCTATCAAATGTCAGCATTTTATATATATATTATCTCACTTAATTACTATGGGTTCTTAGTTCTTTTGATTTTTTTAAATCCCCAATTTATAAATGAGGAATTGAGGCAAAACAAAGTTAGGTACTTCTGAAGGTCACCTAGTTAATAAGTGGCTGAGTTGAGATTTGGACCCCCAATTCTCCAACTCCGTCACCTATGTCTGTCCCATGATACTACACTGCCACTACTATTGTACTTCTTTTAAACTAGTTGTGCAGGGCTCTTCCCAAGGCTGCCAGGAAATTGGAATTTCTCTCCATGAGCTTGTCTCTCTTCTGCTCCTTTCCCCACAGTGGTCCTGGCGATGGCTTCTTCAGTTCTGCCTTCCAGGCCCGGCTTTCAGGCAACAACCTTCACAATGCTTCCATCCCCGAACGTGAGTATCTCTTGGCCTTTACGAAGGTAGGTTAATTGGAAAAGACAAGTATGATAGCTTGGGTTATTTTAGCCTGTAGGTGACAAACTAGGAGAAAGATCCAGTTAGATCACATGAAGTGTGGCCCTCAGCCACAAGTTCTTAGACTGTCTGTAAAGAATAACTTCTCCTTTGTGGCTTTGGAAGCATCCAAGTCAGCTGCATGGGAAGGCAACCAGAGAGAATCTGGTGAAAGGACAAAGCCCTCTGATGCTAGTAATCAGTCACCATCATATTCTAACTCACCATTCAGTCACTTTTTTTTTTTTTTTTAAGATTTTACTTATTTATTTGAGAGAGAAAGAGCATAGAGGGAGAGGGAGAAGCAGACTTCCTGCTGAGCAGAGAGCCCAACGTAGGGCTCGACCCCAGGACCCTGGGATCGTGACATGAGCCAAAGATAGATGCTTAACTGACTGAACCACCCAGGTACCCCTCACATCCAGTCACTTACTCACAGATTATAAGTGAGCACATGTTAGCCACATTAGATGGACGCCCTGCAGAGTAGAGGATCTGGTGTGTGTTAAGTATATAAAGAGCGAACACAGAGCTATGTGGATCAAAGTGTGCAAGAGATCATTTCTGCTAAGGGGTTGGAGAGCATCAGAGGTACACAGAGTGAGAGGCTATGGAGTCAGGCCCTGGAAGAACGGGTAGGTTGGGCCCAGATTATGAGGAATTGAAACATTTGAGTGAGGTGTTTGACTTCATTAAACAGGCAGTGGAGACCCAGTGGAGGCCTTTGAGCAGGGAGGAGCTGATGGCAAAATACAGGATGGCTAGGAAGGGGATGGGATTAGAGGCTGGGATAGCCTCTGGAAAGTTGTTCTGAGGACTCAAGCTGGGCATCATGGTAGCAGCCACAGGAGTAGGGCAGATGGGCATGGACAAGGGAGATTGGACCTGGAAAGAGAGGAGGAAAGATGTCACTGAGGACTTGAGTCCAAGTAATTATTTCTTGGAGGCATAACAATATCCTCTAGTCTCTCCAGTGCCTTGCATAGTGCCTAGGTCAAAGGGGACCCACCAAGACTGTGCATAGAATGAGAAATAGGAAGGCAGGTAAAAGAGTTGGTTTAGAAAGACAGATATTGGGTTCTACTGTAGAGAGATTGACCTTGAAATGCTTGGGGAAATCCATGCAATGGGGCCAGCGGGCTTGCAGCTGATGCTTTCAGAGGAGGAATCAGCCAGCTAAGAGGGAACGTGATAGTGTGGCAGTGGCTGTGATCTTTAAGGAACCTGTAGAAAGAAAATGAGAACAGGGCTGAGGTCAGGTAACTGGGGAGTATAGAAGAATGCAGATTAGGAAAGAAGGCTGCAGAGGACAGTTCATGAGGGAGTGTGGGTTGAGAAGGGGGAACAGAGCATTTCCAGAAGCAAAGGTGGTCATCAGTGTACAGGGTTGCATATGCTAGCCTTCATGTGAATGTAGAAAAATGGAGCTATGGCATTTAGCAAATTCCTACTCATGATTTAAAGGCGTAGCTCAGCTGTGATCTCTTCCATCAAGCCAGCCTCTCCTTACTCTTGCATGAGAATTCATCCTACTCTGTTCCAGACTCGCCTCACGTCACATGTTGTCACCCCTTTGCTGGAGCATTTGCCCATTGTCCTGTGCTCATGGGTGTGTGCAACTATCTTTCCCAAGACTGGGCTCTCCCAGGGCCACAGCCAGGCCTCCTCTATCTTTGGATCCACCATGTAATTGGTAGGATCTGTTGACCAAATGAACGAGCAAAGGAAGACCTGGGTAGCCTATCACTGATGGAGCAAGACCTATATTAGTGGGCTGGGGAATGGCAGACAGGCAGGTTACAGGGGACTGAGAAGAGGGACATTAAGGAGGGAAAGAGACTTTGTAGTTATCTAGGACCGACAGGCAGAGTGGGTATTCTTGGGTAAACTGTTTATTCTTTTTTTCTTTAATTCAGAATTAAAAAAATAAAACCCAAACACTATTGAACAGTTATTTTATATAGTATTAGATTCAAAAAGCACAAGTGGATTTCACAAAAGTGAAATTTATCTTAATGGTGTATCATAAGGTTGTATCTATCTTGAAGAATATTCTAGGTAAGATATGGAATGCTTTCTTTATTCTGTTTAATGTATATATAGACTTTGAAGGACAAACTGTTTCTAATCTCTTGCTATTATATATAGAGCTTTGATAATACCACTATTAATACCAGCTTCTTCCGAAGTCCTGAGGAAGGAAGGGAGACCCTGTAGTGACCTCCCACTTGAGTTGATACTGTGGGAGAAGGCACCTGTGTGTCTCGCTTTAGGTGGTCCTGGGCCCAGTGCAGTCTGTGAGAGGCTTAGTGAGTCCTGTGGTTCAGAGGCCCCTCCCAGTCCAGGGCAGCCACTAGCCCTGTGGCAGCTCACACCTTCCACTGTCTTCCTTCTCCTAGATCTGGCCTATGGCTCTGTGATCACTGTGAAGAACCTGCGGATGGCCATCGGCTATCTCCACTCCCACAGGCACCTCTACCCCGAGGGCATTGGCGCCCGCCAGCAGCAGGTCAGTGAGCCTCTAGTACTGCATCAATACCAGGCTATGCCGGGACGGAGCCCACTCTTCTCTTTGTTGCCCTCGTCCTTTACTTGTGCTGTTTTCTCTGCTTGAAACATTCTTCCTCCTGCACCCTCTCCTCTTTCCTTTGGCTAACTCCAGCTTCTTTAGGCTTCAGTGCAAGCGTTCCCTCTGATCATCATAACCCACCTGTACTCGATATTGGGGGAGGTGCCTCTTGCATGAGAGGCTTGCCTGGCACACTTTGTGAGCCTATGCGGTAACCCTTTTCACACTGAACTGTGAGAACTTCCTTCCTCCTGTGTCTTTGCTACTTAATTGCTAGCTCTTGAAAGGCTTGAATGTCCAGCGTGGTGCCTGGCATGACATGGATGATGGTCAAGTCTTGTGGCTGCAAACACAGACCTGGAAACCAGACTAGATTATCTGGGTTTGAATCCTGGTTCCTCTGACATGTGACTTTGAACATGTTACTTGACCTTTTTCTGCTCTAGTATCTTCCTCTTTAAGTTGGGAAAAATAAATGGTGCCTTTCTCCATCATAGAGTTGTTGTGCAGATTAAAAGTATGAGGGTAATACATGTGTTGACTGGGGGATTAACCATAGGTATTACCTGAGTGAGTGAGCAACGGTGTGCCTGTGTCCATGTCCACGCATGCTGGGTGTGGCTGTGATGGACAGTGCCTAAGAGGGAGAAGCTGGATGTTGGAGAGGTTGGAGAGGCCAGGTTGTGCAGAGGCTTCCATGTTACAGTAAATTTGACTTTGTTCTGTGGATGCTGGTGAGGCATTGAGATTTATTAAGACACGATAAGATGTGATTACATTTTTAGGTTAGAAAGATAACTCCAGCAGAAGGGTGATGGATTGAAAGGAGGGGCAGACTAGAGGCAAGGAACCAGTTAGGAGGCAATAATCATGACAGAGGATGGTGAATAGAGGTAAAGACTGTGGATAGAGGTGAGAATTGATTCAGGAAATACTTTACAGGTCAGTGTCAGGGCCCCATCACTGGTAGCTGGCAGGGGTGAGCTCTATCTAAGGCTGTATGTGTGATAATGCTGTTTGACCATAGTCAGAAATGGAGGAAGAATAGCTCTGGAGATGAGAGAGTTTTCTTTGTGTATTTTAGGTTTGGGGCTTATCTCAAGGAGATCTGAGTGGGTAGCATATGGGTGACATGCTACAGTGGGATGGGTGGCATTGCCCAGAAAGGGTGTGCAGAGGGAGGAGAGCCAGGGAAAGAGCCCTGGGGGGTAGCAACACTTAGGCACTGGTAAAGTACTCTGGGGGTGCCAGTAGATAGAAGAGGCTGAGAAGGAGGGCGGGGACAGGGAGGTGGGAAGAGAGCTCAGGGCAGACAGCATTCCCAGGAGGAGGAGGTCTGCAGTCCAGGTGCTGCAAAGGCCTCAGAGAAGGCGAGGGCTAAGAAAGAGACCTTTAAATGACAGTAAAGGGGGCCTCATAACTAATTGGCATCACTTCTAAACAGTGATGAGGCCCCAATTCTCAGCCAGCATAACAGAGAAGAGAGCGGAGGGAGGGAGGGGAGGGGAGGGGAGGGGAGGGGAGAGGAGAGGAGAGGAGAGGAGAGGAGAGGAGAGGAGAGGCGTACAGGCTGCAGGGCAGGCTGTTGTGCTGAGAAGCTTGGAGTGATTGTTTCTCTTGCAAAATGACTGGGTTTTTTTTTGCAAAAAAGTTTTCCTTCTCAAAATTCATCATTATTATGTCCTTATTTACTAGTTTATGTTTATCAGAAAGTTGGCCCAAGGTGTTGGGTTTTAGTATCAGTTTCCCATTCTTGATTCTCCATTTGTCTCTAGCACTTCAGAACCCACTGAAGAGCTTTTAAAATGTTCTAATGCCTGGGCACCACACAGTGGCTCTAACTTCATTGATCTAGGATTGGGCCCATGCATTGTGCCTTTCTATATTGTTTTGAAGCTCTCTGTAATGTATAGCCAGGGCAGAAAATCACAGCTAGCCTTTCTGTGGGAAGCTGCAGCTGTCATGCAGAAGGTAAAGTTACAGACGTGGTGGCCAAGAATGTTTACACTGTGCAAAAGGAGACGAGGACCCTGTTACACTAGTCCTAGTGTTACACACTTAGCAGCCCATGTGTAGAGGTGTGAGGTCATGATGGTGTGTAGGGAGAGCGTGTGGGGCCAAGGCATGGAAGAGTCTGGGCTCTCATGGCTGAATCACACTGAGCCTTTTTCAGTGGGTTTCTTCATTTGTCAACCAGGGAATTGGAGTAAGCCACCTCTAGTGGCCCTCACTGCCCTGGCCCTCAGCCTCTTGTCAACAACTTGAAGTGTCCACTTTTAATATTTTTAAACCGTAACATTTATAAAATAAAATTGGAAAACATAGAAAAATAAAAACAAAAGAACAAAAAGTCCCCCAAAAAACACAAAAGCTACATGTAATTCCAGAAGATCAGTGTTTATCCACATAGTTTGATGTATAACATTCTGTTGTTATAGGTTACTAGTGTTTCTAGGAGACCTTGTGTTATAAAAAAAAAATCTGTTGTAAAGACAAATGTTCCAATGGGAGAAAGAGACCATGGACTACATTCATAGTAAGGAAGTCATTTTTCTTATAGGAATTTTAATAGTGATTTTTGTTTAAAAAAATACACAGAGTACACACACATGAGCACCATAAGATCTTAAGATCTTTAAACAAATCTAAGCTAGTGAACTTTGTATTTGTATACAGTATACAGCTAGTATACTCTGTATACTGTATACTTTTGTTTAGGAGTATGGACTTAATTTCTCTATGGCTGCCAAAATCTATCTATCTCTATCTATCTATCTATCTATCTATCTATCATCTATCTATCTATCTATCTTTCTTTCTTTCATTCATTCATTCATTCATTCATTCATTCATTTTTAAGTAGGCTCCATGCCCAGCGTAGATCCCAGTATAGGGCCAAACTCACAACCCTTAGGATCAAGACCTGAACTGAAACCAAGAGTCTAACACTTAACCAGCTGAGCTACTCAGGCATCCCAGTTTCTTATATATTCTTAATACTGTGATTCCTGATTTTTCTTTCTAAGAAAGTAAAAGTAGCCATAATACATACATAACTTTTTCCCCAAATGCTAATTCTAAATCTCTTTGCAAGTAAATCAGTCATGTTTTGTCCAGTTGGAGTTACAAAAACTCACTTTGGATATTTCTGTTGTTTCTGGATATTTATGTTCTTGTTTATATAATTGGCATAATTGTATGTGTTTAGTCTCTATCCTGGGAGCATTGGAGTTGGTTGCCTTGGTTTGAATCCTGTCTCTCCACTGATAGACTATGATGACTTTGAGCAAATTACTAAACCTTAGTGTCCTAAGGTGAGGATAACCATAGTGCCTATGGCATAAAGATAAGACTTGCCCAGTATGTAGAATGGTACATGGTGATAAATGGCAGCCATTTTCAGCATCAGCATTTTATAAGCCTTTTTCTATGCTGGTAAAAAATGCTCAGAAACATTTTCTGTGGCTGTGTAATATTCTCTCCTGTGGATGTATTATTATGTTAGTGGTTCCTTCTTATTGGACATTTAGACTGTTTCCAAGTTTTTGCTATTAGATTTGTCACAGCATTACATGCATGTTCACATGTACACACATTTAATTTTTAAAAAATCAGTATCTATAAAACAGTTATGGGCTAAAACTTCAGGCTTCTAGGATGAGATACTTATGGAGCTTTTCAGTTTCATATGGCAACATTCCAGAAAATATAACATGAATTTTTCATTTAGAAAGTTTGAGGCATGGTCTTAATTACTTCTTAAAGTGCACTAAATCCTCTTTGTGTGCGGGAGACTGTGTTACATAAGATATCATAGTTCCTCCTCTAGGAGGCTGGAACTTTTTTTTTTTTTTAAAGATTTTATTCACTGGGGCCCCTGGGTGGCTCAGTTGGTTGGCTAAGTACTTGCCGTTGGCTCAAGTTGTGATCTCTAGGTCTTGGAATCGAGCCTTGTCTCAGGCTCCCTGCTCAGCCAGGAGTCTGCTTCTCCCTCTGCTTCTCCCTCTGCCCCTCCCTCTGCTCCTGTGCTCTGTGTGCTCACGCACACTCTGTCTCTCCAAATAAATAAAATCTTTTTATTTTCTTGAAAATTTTATTTATTTATTTGAGAGAGAAAGAGAGATCATGAGCAGGGGGGATAGGCAGAGAGAGAAGCAGGCTCACTGCTTCCTAGGACCTTGTGGTTATGACCTGAGCTAAAGACAGCCACTTAACCAACTGAGCCTAGAGTGCCTGGAGTCTGAAACCTTAAAGATAAGATGTAGAAAAATACAAAGAGACAAATCAAAAAGGCTCTTGTGGGAGAACCCTCTAAATGTAGATAGAAGGAGGGAATCTCACCAGTGCTACTCCTGAACCCCACTGGGAAACATGTCCCCTCCGGTTGGGGCTAGGGATTCTGAAAGAGGCTTAAGCAATGTTGGTTTGCTGTTGATTGTCCTGTGACTGTGCTGATATTGATGGTATTCTCCCTCCCACCTTCTCCACTCCCCATCCCAGGTCACCACCTATTTGCACAAGGACTACAACAACCTGTGGATTATTAAGAAACATAATACAAATGCAGGTAATGTGGTAGAGAACTAATGTTTCTTGCATTATTGCTTACTCTGAGCCATTTTTAACATTTCCCATGCCTTCAAATGGTACAGAGATGGGTGTTCCTGAGCATTCTTTGGCAATACCTTCATTGATCTCATTTATCCTTTCAACAGCTATTTATTGAGCACCTACTATGTTCCAAGCACTGTTGTCAACATAGGAGATAAACAGTGAGCAAGACAGATAAGATCTCACTCTTAATAGCTGTCATGTTGAAGCTAGAGAGAAGCGCCAAGGGTCAAACTTAATCCAGACTGGTTACCTGTACATGCTGCCAGGGCCTGGTTGAGTCCCCCAGTTGAGGGTACACAATGGCTGCTCTCATTTCTAATGAGAGCACATAGCCTTGCAGACCCCAGCATATAGTATAGCTCAAGTTGTCCTGATGTGATATGTGATAGAGTATTGGTACCCATTGGTCATCCCAGGACTGGACCAGTCAATTGTAGATTTCGGGGCTTATGGCTGGGCTTGTCTAGCCTGGTGCTTGAGCCCTCACTCAACATCTGCTGGCCTGCTCCTGATTGGCCTGGGCAAAGCTGCTCTGAAGCACACTTACTGGGCTCTCAGGATTTTATGACATGGGCTATATCAAGATATTTCTTTGGTCAGGGAGGTAGCTACCTGCAGGCTGTATCTTCTGCTGCAGCTGAGAAGAGGACAGAGGGCATTTCTTGCTCACCTCTGAGCCCCTGCTGATTGTCCTGTGTCATAGGCATTCAGTAAACCCCACCTGGTTCTCAGCCTATCTTGAATCAGCTGCTCCTGAGCCGTTGCATGGCAGTGGGTAGCTATTCATCTAAATTCACTTTTTTGTTTCTTTCCCCACCTCTTGTTGCTATGGTCTTGAGGCTAGAAATGTACACAACCACTGTCTTTGCCTCCTAATCCTCAATAATATATGTTAGGACACCATTGGTCAGAGTCTGTTTCTATACCTTTATGATACCAGTATTGATTATTTTATCCAACAGAACAAACATAATGGCCTGTCATAGTGAGGAGTTATGAGACAAGACTTACCTCTAAAGTTATATAGGCATGGACCAAATCTTTGAACACCTTTGATCTGTTATTCAGTGTGGCTTCTAGGTTAGGGTGGTTGCATTTCCCCCCAAGGAACTGAGGCTCTGTGTGAAGGAAGAGTGCTACAAGCACTTTGGAAAGTGGGAGCCATATAGACTATAAAGGCTTTGTGTTCTTTTGGTAGTTTATATATTTCTAGAAATTTATCCATTTATCCATTTCTAGAAATTGGTTGTCCAATTTATTGGCATATAGTTTTTCATAAGATTCTCTTATGGTTGATTGTATTTATGCAGTTGATTGCTACTTCTCTCTGATTTGTGATTTTATTTATTTAGGTCTTTGTGTTCTTGATGGCTACAAACGCCCCTTTCTGCCACATCCATGTGAAATGAAACTTCATTTGATTTGTCACCTTGCTGACTAATCTTCAAAGATCTTAAAGTCCACATAGGAATGGTCATTTCTACACTTGAGTTCTCTGATTCTCTTAAGAGCTAGTGATTTGTTCTGGCTCATTTCTCTTTCCTGACCACAGAGTGTTAGTGTCTCACTGTTTGGGAGAAGTTTGCAAAGATCCTTTTGTATTGCTGATTTGCTGCCATCGCCTTTTCCATTGTTATTGCCTTGCCAGACCCGATCAACTTGGTTTCTAGATGATGTGGTCCCTTTCTTTGTCACTTCATCATTTTCTTTGCCTCACACTTAGCAAGTTTGTTGCCAGAGACAAGATAATGACTGACCAGAATTTGTAGGGTTTAACATTGGACTCTGAGGACAGCTGGGCATGTGGTCATTTACATGAACTTAATTTTTGGAAGACTGTATTTTTACTACTAGAAGGAAAATCTTATTCTTTGACTTCCTGACTTAACCCTCCTGTGGAGGTTCCTGTGCCTGTAAGATAAAGACCACATTTCCTAGCTTGGCATACACTGTCTGGCCCTACTTGTTCATTCCCACGGTCTGTCCTGCCCCACCCACTCATATGAAATCATTTGCCATCAATCGAATGTGTTTTGTTCTTTCATACAACTGTGCCCCATTTGTTGACCTGACAAAACTCTCCCCTCCTTAAAGAGTCTTTTCAGGCATATCTCTGAGACACCCTTCTCTGAGACAATGAGGGGCCTTTCTCTTTGTTTGCCCAGCACTCTATATGTACCTCTAGTGCCTACAGTATTATAACTCTTTTCTCGTAGGCCCTCAATTCATACCTGCCTAATGAGTGAATAATTTCAGATATCAATGCTTGTTTCTTTTTGGCAGATCCCTTGGATCCTTCAATCCCAGTGGAGTTTGTACGACATGGAGACATCGTTCGGCTAGAACACAAAGAGTAAGTAAATTTGCTGTCTGGGATGAGTTGAGGGTATGGGTGCCAAAGGTAGGGAGTTCTTCTAAGCTGGAAATAAACAAAAGTCAGATTTGAATGAGGCTTTAATAAATGAAACAAGGCTGCTGTGCTAGAATAGGAGATCCATTTTATGAAGTCTGGTGAGATAAGTCAGTTTTGTCTGTCTATTTTGGCTTTGGGGGGCTTTGAACTTTGAAGGTACTGCTCAGTTTTCCTTTCTCTAGAGGAAAAAAATTTTTTGAGTTACCCAAAGCTTCTCAAGCAGCTGCCTTTAGGAAGATATAAAAATCTGTTTCTGAGATTATGGCAAGCTGGTGTATTTAAGTGATGTTTTTACTAAAAATAACAAATAATTCTGGAATAATATGAGAACATCTAAAGCATCAAAGAGCTAACAAGACAGTAGAGAGTTACTAGGCCAAAATCTAAGTGAAGGAGCGGGGGTGGGGTGTGTGTGTGAATCCAGAGAAATGAGTAGGATGCTGCAGCGGCTTCTGCTTTGATCCCACAATCTTGAGTTTCAGTCTTTGGTTTTGACTGCCCCTTGAGGGAAAGAGTTGTGAATTCAAAGCTCTAGGCACACCCAAAGTGGTAAATTTAGTAAGTGATCCTTCCCCCAAATCTGAAAACCCCAAAGGGCTTGATCAGGGGGAGCGGTGTGAGGAGGGAGTATCTCTGGTTCCTGAAAAGTTGTAACTAACAGTTGATCCTCACATGGATTTGTGGCCCAAATTAATTTCATCTGAATGGTCTCAAAATCTTTAGGCCATGAATTTAAATGAACATAATCCTAGCTTGGTAATATCTCCTAGGTGCCTGGCTAAAAGCAAATGTAAATCCTCTTTGGGAAAGACATTGCTATTCATTCCCTCAGGTAGTTTTTCAGTGACAGTGAATAATACATATAAAAGTAACTAAGCATACAAGGAAATAGGGCACCATGTGCAAGAGCAAACAGGAATGATAGATGTCAGAAGCAGCCTTGCAAAAATTTTGTATACTAGAATCATCAAGTATAGTTTTTTAAAAAAAATCGGGACATTTCTATTTTTGGAAATTCCCAGAATTTTTATATTGAACACTTACTTCTTATTGTGGGTAAAAGTAAGAACTGTTATAAAACGCACAAAGTAAATAAAAGCCAAAAGAATCCCCCCTTCCCCCATAGATCTCCACTTTGTAAGACTGGTAATGAGGGCAGAAAGAGTTAAACAGGAGGGAGGAGGCTTACATGGCTCAGGCATGTGAGGATTATAAGTCTTAATTTCTTATCCCCAAAGCTGCCTCATGAGTCAGGCAAGCTAAGTGCTTCAAAGCCACCAAATGTGGTAAGTCATCCCCGACTCTTGAAGTTAACCCCTTTCTTGGCATAGTCCAGGACTCCTCCCATCTGTCCCTGCTGCTTTGGCCAATCCTCTGACTCTCTGGATATTTTTTGTGAGTAAATAGGCAAGATAATCTTGATACATTTGGTTTCATAGTTCAGATTCTAATTTTCTTGCACTAACAGATTACTCTGAACATCCTCAGTAAAAGAGGAGATGTTGCACATCTCTTTTCTCCAGGATAATGGTGTTTTTCTCTCTCTCTTTTAACTTCTAGGACTTCTCGGAACCTGCACAGTCACTATCATGAGGCCCCCCTGACCAGGAAGCACTATCAGGTCACTGGCTATGGCATAGTAAGTGAGCAGCTGGAGAGTGAGCAGGATGTAAAAATATTGTGGGGCCTGGTTCAGAGCCATGTGACAGAAAACATCTTCCTTGGAATTCTGGAATGTTCCTAAGGATGATGGGTTGCATGGAGACTGGGACTCTAATAACACTGGGAACTTCTTTGCTAGACTTGCTATGGGAAAAGCAACCTATGAGTCTATTTGTTTGCATCTCTCTCCTCCCATAATAACCATGCCATTTTTATGTTCTGACACTCAATAAATGTCACATATGAATACTATTTGGGTCCCTTTTTAAATCACATTGGACATCGAAGCCATGGACCCGCAAAATGATCGTAGCTGAATATGTAAGTTTATTCTTTGCCAGATCCCAAATCCTTATTGGCTGTTTTTAAGGATTACTTCCCTATTCTGCAGGGGGAGGTTAGCCACATTGCTTTGAGATTTTCTACTACCTTGGGATGATGCAGTTAATAGAAGAAACTCTAGGAGTACTTCTGGCTTGGGGAGTCATTTGGAAACAAAACAACTAGTGGGCAGCTAGACTTTGGACTATCTTACATTCCCTTGCAGGGGTTTTGGTGCATCAGTAAAGCTACTGGGCTCCTTAAGGTGGACTTCCCAGCCTTCCATCTGTTTGCTCATCCCACAGTACTAGAGCGACAGCTCATCTTTTCCTTGTGGGCATCTTCTGAGGAGAATTAGACACAAGTGTGTTAATTTTCAAAATACAATCTCCAAGCCAGACCTTGGAGTGAGTGAGTGTCCACTCTAAGGTGAGTGAGTGTCCACATGGCCAAGTAATGGGTACAAATGGCCAAAGTCTATTTCTTTTGGCTCAGGGTAATGTCTTGAGTTTGGTTTCAGAGCAAAAACATACGTTCAGGGACGCCTGGGTGGCTCAGTCGTTGAGCGTCTGCCTTTAGCCCAGGGCATGATCCTGAGTCATGGGATCGAGTCCCACATCAGGTTCCCTGCATGGAGCCTGCTTCTCCCTCTGCCTATGTCTCTGCCCACCCCCCCTCTGTGTCTCTCACTAGTAAATAAATAAAATCTTTAAAAAACAACAACAAAACACACACACACAAAAAAAAAAAAAAACACAAAAAAACCCACATACGTTTAGAATTTAAAGTCCTATGAAGTAAAAAATTGGACTGCAGGCTGCAGGAGTTACAGTACTTTTCTTGGTTGTGATAGTGAGCTCTGGGGGAATGTCCATCACTTGGGATGTTTCTGTTGCCCTCTTGTTCCCTTTCCCACCTCATCCATTGAGGCCCATTTAGTAACATGGTGGCATCTGAAAGGGTGGCCATCTCCCTCTCCCCATAGATCTTCTCTAAAGTCCTCTTATTTTCTTTGTATTTTTTCCTTGATTTACGTGGCAGAACGGGACAGGAGACTCAAATGATTTCTGGCGGATTGAGGTTATAAACAGAAAATTTGGAAACCGGATCAAGGTGCTGAGAAGTCGAATTCGCCTTATCCATCTGGTCACAGGTTGTGTCCTGGGCTCCTCGGGAAAGGTCCTGCCCAAGTGGTGAGTGTCTGGGGTTTCAGTGTCCCAATTGAGGCTCACGCTTTTCCTTTCATTCTACAAGGAGTATACCAGAAGCTTCTATTTCCCAGTTGTCAGTGTACACCTCATGTTTTCATATTTTTAGTGGCAGATGAAGTGAGAAAAAGCATCAGGTGTGTTATAGAGCATAGAACTCCAGAGTTCTTTGGTATTTTATGGGTTCTGATAGTTGAGCAGAATAGTTGTTCATCTGGCTGGACCTTCTAAATACTCTGGGCCTTTCTAAAATAAGAATAGTCTTTGCTAGACTCCTCCTAGCATGGTTATGAAATATAAAAGAGTAAAGTTGAAAAAAGCATGGCCTCTGTGTTCTATGAATTTTAAGAGATTCGACAGTGCAAGTCTCTGGTGAGTTTCACATCTTCTGAGACCTCTGTGACGGCTTTTCACAGGGGCTGGGAACAGTTGGAAGTTACTTGTACCCCATACCTGAAGGAAACCCTCAACTCTATCTGGAATGTGGAGGACCATATCAATCCCAAATGTGAGTGAGATTACTTCCTGGAAACATTTACAAGTAACTCTTATCTTAGAAAAATCAACTTTCATAGATTCTGTTGCCACTTTATCTCATTGTTGCCATTTCCTGCCTTTTTTGAACCTCGAGTCTTCCTAAGTGTGTCTCAATAGGTGGCTCCTTTTCCTTCCCATCCATGTAAACTTCCCATCCTCCTTAAACTACCCCTGAAGTGACCAGTGACCTTGCTGTGGGCCAGAGCTAATCTCTTCTCATTTCCCTTGCCTCTGGCTGGATTTGACACTTTTCCCTGCTGCCTGTGGTGCCTGTTGCTCTGTCTCATCTCCTTCTGGGCTTTTCTGTACCATGCACCATGGACACCTCCCACCCTCAAGGCTTAGAGCAGGCTAGTGCTCTCCCTTTACACCCCTGTGTAGGGCTCTCCCCTCCCCACAACCAGCCCACACTTTTACAGAAAGCCCTGGCCCTTGATCTGAGCCCCACATCTATACTCCCAGGCTCCGATTTGACCTCTCTACATCAGTGTCATCTTCAACTCTGTAGTCTTTAGATTCACCATTTGTCCTCCTCAACCACCCCTTTCCAGCTACTGCTTCATTTCCTTTCTCCATGCTTCCCAGCTTACTCTTCTTACTACCTAATTTAACCAACCAGCTAATTAATTAACTAATTAAACCACTCTTTAGTGGGAAGCCTTGGGGACCCAGGGAACACTAGTGAATGACGTGGACTTGGTCCCTGTCCTCACAGACCGGCCTAGCAGGGAGAGCAGCATTTGAGCCTGTTCCATACTGAAGGATGATGGTGCCAAGAGCAGTGGCAGCACTGAGGACAGGGTTCATATCTCTCCAAATGCCTGATAAGTGATTTGCACAAACTGAAGGGATAATCGAGGATTGGACCAGGCTTTCTTCTGTCTCCTCAGCACTTTTCTCTACTTGTTAACCAGTCCATCAGGAAATCTATATTCGGACTCCCAGGTGCAGTCTTGGTACTATGGACTGCTGTGAGAATGTGCATGTCACTGAGGTTTTCTTCTCTGTTGTTTCTTTGTCTAGTGCCAAACATCAGCTTGGATGTGCTACAGCCCACTTTTCCTGAAATCTTGCTGGAATCCCACATGGTGATGATCCGGGTACTGTGGCCCCCTCTTATTTGAAGGCTTCTCCATGAGCTCTTGGCCATCCACAAATTTGCATCATAGATAATAGCCATGGTATAAATCCACTGTCCCCTGGTGGAGGACTTTGAAAGGGCCTTCACTCCTGGATTACTGGGTCTTCAAAGGCATTTCCTTTATCACAGATTGGTCGTGATGATGATGATGACAATGACGATGGTAATGATGGTGATGACAGCAGATACCAATGCACACTAATGTAGCTCTTATGTGTCAGATGCCTCTAAGCACTGTACTGTACTATTTTTTTTGTACTGTACTATTATTCCATAGTTATTACTATTCTACGGAGACTATTGTCCCTACTTTCGAGATGAGGGAATCAAGGCACAGAATGGTTAAAGAATTTGCCCAGGGTCACAGAACTAAATGAAAGAGGTGGATCCAGGCTTCAAAGCCAGGCTGGCAGGCTTTCAGAGTCAGTGCTGGTTACCTCTATACTCTTCCGCTTTGTCTTTTTTTTTTTTTAAGATTTTATTTATTTTTTTGAGAGAGAGAGTGTGTGAGCAAGAAAGAGAACATAAGTGGAGGGAGGCAGAGGGAGAAACAGGCTCTCTCCGCTGAGCTGGGAGCCTGATGTGGGGCTGGATCCCAGGACCCCAGGATCAATGACCTGAGCCAAGGGCAGATACTTAACTGGCTGAGCCACCCAGGTGCCCCTACACTCTTCTGCTTCTAAGTGATTCTCAAATCTGTTCAAATGGCAGAGTCCCTGAAAACCAGAGTGCTCTTGGTTGAAGATCTTGAGAAATTGATAGTTCATTCCATTATATGAAACTAGAATGAATTAAGATGAATAGCTGATCTGAGCATGTTGTTTGTCTATAGCAGAAAGTGCCCACTCATGTTCCTAGACACGGGAACTGTTTAGGAGCATGGTTGAGTCTTTTGCAGTTTTTGTAAGACTCATTGTTTGTACTCTCCATCATTAGTATCTCACAGCAGTCCTAGCCTCAAAGGTGTAAAAAACAATTGAGAGAGATTTTTTTTTTATTTTAAGATTTTATTTATTTATTCATGAGAGACATAGAGAGAGAGAGAGAGAGAGAGAGGCAGAGACACAGGCAGAGGGAGAAGCAGGCTCCATGCAGGAAGCCCGATGTGGAACTTGATCCCGGGTCTCCAGGATCACGCCCTGGACTGAAGGCATCACTAAACCGCTGAGCCCCTGGGGCTGCCTGAGAGAGATTTTTAAATTGAGAAAGTTCTACCACTAGCTTAATGTCTCCCCTGTTCAGTAGAGAAACCCTTTGCTTTTCCTCTGGTTTATGGAAAGCTAATGTCCTGCAGGAACGATGTTTAAGAATCCCTGTATGTCTAGCCAGGTATGTGATTATCACTCCACCCACAGTGTCACAGGGAGGTGTAGTGGTTATTTTCCCCTGCTGAGTTGCTGTCAAGTGGACTTTCCTGGAAGTGATTATGTAAGCAGTACTCAGTAAATATAGTTGACTTATTTCACCAGATTAGATTTTAAAAATTCAAATTTTATATCCTTTCTGCACATTTAGAGGTGATGACTTGACATTAAGTGATCTCCAGGTCACTTCTTCTCTGACTCCCTGTTTGTAACTGTCACTGTGGCCTGATGACATAGCTTTTTGAATTCGTACCTGTCAGTCAAAATATCATTCTGTGTCTTGGGTAGAATTTTAAGACTTAAGTCTAAATAGTCTCGTTTTTTTCTTTCATTATCTAAGAGGTAGAACCAAAGAGTAAAAGTGCATCAGGGAACTTTCTTATTCAACCAATACAGAGTCAGGGTGGGAAGAGTGATCAAAATAGTCCAGACGACAGAAACTGCATGGGAGAGGGCTCTTCTGCCCACTGAATGGAGGGTCTGAATTCTGTGCAGAAAAGGCTGCCTTGTCTCCTGAGGTCAGCTGGAACGAGCCCACTTTAGATTTTAAGCATAGAGAATTATGTATAAATGCATAGGCTTGTAATGGGTATATACTTTTCCTTCCTTGCGTTTCTTGGATTAGTAAAGGCGCTGGATTTCTGAGATTAATGCAATCAACAAGATGCCTCTGGTTGGTTATCACTCTGGCTGGAATCCCCGAGCCCGGGACTGAACTACACTGATTTGAAGGAATTGATTTTCCTTAGCAGCTCCTCTGGGGCCCAGGATGATTCATTCTTCATTCTGAGGCCCTTCATTAGAGAAGCCCTGACCCAACTCATAGCACCTTACTCCTGTTCTTGGGAAGTGCCTTCTCAATATGTTCTGATAATCAGGATGACACCAGTCTTGGAGCTTAGTATCCAGGGTCCTGATCTTTTCCTTCTGATTTTTGAAAAGCCCTGATTTTGGCATAGAGAGGCAGATTGTTGGACAGTCTTGGTTACTGGATTAAATGGACTGAGTCTGGGTCCTTCAGGCTAAAGTGTGCATTCTGAATGGGGATAATATCACCCCCAGGGGGTAAAATAGATTCTTGGAGGGCAAAAACTCTTAACTTTATAATGTATGAGGCATCCGTAGTCATCCAGTATGTAAACACATTTACAATATAGCTGTGGTGTTAAAATGTCATGGGAGGCATTTAGGAAAAAAATGTCTAAGAAGTCCCAAGAGGAACAAGAATGAAAAAAAAAAAGCTGAGAAACACTAGACTAAAGTAACTTTTTCCAAGTCCAGGAGCTCATCAGAGTGTCTGGTTTTGTGTTTGAAACTGGCTTTCAGGGATCCCTGGGTGGCGCAGCGGTTTGGCGCCTGCCTTTGACCCAGGGCGCGATCCTGGAGACCTGGGATCAAATCCCACGTCGGGCTCCCGGTGCATGGAGCCTGCTTCTCCCTCTGCCTGTGTCTCTGCCTCTCTGTGTGTGTGTGTGACTATCATAAATAAATAAATAAAAATTAAAAAAAAAAAAAAGAAACTGGCTTTCAACCACAAGTTGGAGGCACAAGTCATCCTGATTTTGTATCTCCCACTAGTCCTCTTGAAACCTTCTCCTAGGTCTGGAAGATGAGTGTATGTCATTCTTCTTTCTCTCAAGCATAGTGGGTCTGAATGGACTGTCTGTGGTGGCAGTGGAAGGTTGTGTGTTGGGAGAAGTAGGCAGTTGTAAGCAGGTGATCAGTGACTGAGAACAAGCACCAGATTCTTCTCTGCAAGAGACATGGAGATTTCTCCTGACAGCTGGCTATATGTGAGAATATACATACTCCACATTTCTGGCACCCCTCTAGATCTCTGCCTTGACTAGCTGCTTTTCTGCCGTTTTCCTGCAGGGGAACAATGGCCTCAAACCCAAGGACAATGAGTTCACGTCCAAACCCTGGCACTGGCCTATCAACTATCAGGTAGGGCTTGAGGCTGGAACTGCTCCCAGGAAACAGGGCCAAAAAGAGACCATTGAGACTTGGTGGGGGTAAGGTGGGGTGACTGGGCAAGGCCTTGCCTGGCATGAGATGGCCGGAGACAGGGCTCTGTTCTCTGTCCTGATTTCAACCCGGCCTTCCCAGAGAGCTCACATAGAATCAGCACTTTCTGAGCCTTCTGCCCAGGCCCCCTATCTGTGGAAGGTAACTGGTCTTCCTCCCTGCCGAAGCACCCATGGCTGGGATACACTGGGCCCTGGATCAGCAGGGTGTCCTTTGCCCTGCAGGGCCTGCGCTTCTCAGGGATCAATGATACAGACTTCCGCGTGTATCTGCTCGGCAACCCGGTGAGTGCCCTGCACACTCCCTGCGTGGGCCCTTAGCCTGGACCTTTGGGGGGCTCTCCTCTCACCCACCCGTTCTCCTTCCCATGCAGGTAATTTGGTGGCTGAATCTATTGAGCATTGCCCTCTACCTCCTCTTGGGCAGCATCATTGCTGTAGCTGTGCAAAGAGGGACCCACCTGCCTGCGGAGGTTAAAGGTTAGTCCCTTGGGCTCTCCCTCCCCTGACCTAGCAGCTGGCCCGAACCTGCACTGCCGATGGGCCATTCTGCCTTCATCCCTCACTTTTTTCCTTCTCCTTCGCTTTTTAAAGCTCAGTCACCACAACCCAGGACTATGTTAAACACTCCATCCTCCCAGCACCCCCGTAGAATAGACCATTCTTTTTTTTTTTTTTTTTTTTTTATGATAGGCACACAGTGAGAGAGAGAGAGGCAGAGACACAGGCAGAGGGAGAAGCAGGCTCCATGCACCGGGAGCCTGACGTGGGATTCGATCCCGGGTCTCCAGGATCGCGCCCTGGGCCAAAGGCAGGCGCTAAACCGCTGCGCTACCCAGGGATCCCAGAATAGACCATTCTTAACTCCCATTTTATGACTTAGGAGGCAAAGGCACAAAGAGAAGAGACTTGTCCCAGTATATATATTAGTAAGTTTAGAGCTGAGGTTCGAGCAGTCTGACTACAGAGCCCTCACTTTTTAGCCTCTATGTCCTGTAGAGAGCTGCCCATCTTTCCTCCTCTGTCCCTCCCTGCTCCATGGCCCTGTCCTCCAGTGGGGAAGGGACCACAGCCCTTGAGACATTCCCACAGGCTCTTTTTACCCTGTGTAGTTCCTGTGTGAACAGCGACAGCCCTAGACCCCCTTTCTGCCCTCCATCCTCATCTCTGACTTCACCTTTGCCCCGTCTGGCACTGCAAAAATCTATGCGGCAGCAAAGATGTGGGACATGGCAGTGGGGTGGGAGCAGCTGGCTGTGAGGCGTGCAGCATCCTGGTTTTTTGAGAGGCTGGACTGCCTCCTGCTGCTGTTTGGTGCACCTGCACAGGTGCTGAGACCTCTCTCAACAGGTGGTGATCAGAGCTCTTGAGGGCCAGCTGCTTATGTCTTCCAGCTGCTGTAAGCTTGCTTAGCAGCTTGCTTAGCGTGCTCCAATCGAGGGAAGGCAGGCTCAGTAAGGCGACATGGCTTAGTCTAGCCACATAGCAAGGAAGGGCAGAGCTGGACAAGAGCCTGGGGTCTCTGCCCCTCCCTGGCTGCTGACTAAGCTGTGCTGCTTGGGGCCCAGGGCTGTCCCAGGTCCTGCTGCAAGGAGGCGGTCAGCTCCTGCTCGGCTGGATGCTCCATTACTTCCCATTCTTCCTGATGGGCCGGATCCTCTACTTCCACCACTACTTCCCAGCCATGCTCTTCTCCAGCATGTTGACAGGTGAGCGCGGCCTACCAGGATTGGGTAGAAGGGTGGGAGAGCAGCACTGAGGGGGAGTCTCTGCTTCCTGACCTGGGGTGGCTCTTTTGTGTTATATCCTGGGAAGTCGTCTTCTATTAGGCCAGTGCTAGGTCTCTTTCTTCTTTATCCTAGGAATTCTGTGGGATACTCTCCTGCGGCTCTGTGCCTGGAGTCTGGCCTCTTCTTTCCTGGCCAGGGGTGTATATATGGTGGGAATCCTGAGCCTGCTCCTGGGAACTGCCTACAGGTGAATATCCCTTACCCCGGGCATTGCTGCCCCCCTGCTCCCGGCCCACAATTCTGATTTCTGTGCCTTTGATGCATTTTAGAATCCCCTGGGGAGCTTTGAAAGCACACTGGTGTCTGGGGCCCATCCCCAGAAGCTCTGATTCAACTGAGCCAGTTTTCAGAGCTCCCAGGTAACCCAAATGCATAGTAGGAAAGGAGAAACCTGGGACTAACTGTGCATCCTTTCTTATTGCCAGCGGGTCCCAGCTTTTGTACCACCCTCGCACACTGGCTGCCTCTCTTTAGTTCCCGTGGCTCCCTACTGCATAGCCCTGGAGGGGGTGGGGTGAGGGAGAGAGTGGGGAGAGGGGTGTGGGGTGTGGCTCAGAATAACCCAGAGAAGGAGGGTGTTGTTTGGCAAGCCTCACTACCCGCCTCCCCTTCCTGCCAGCCTCACAGATCCCCTATTGAGAGTCACTGGCCTTTAGGGGCCAGGAAGGCAGCATTAAAGTGTGTACAGGAAATGGTGGGCCTGTGACCTGAGGGCTCATGCACATTTTAACAAGTACTCTGAGCCAAACAGCTACCACCAGACCCCGGGACTGGTCTCTCCCCTGGGCCTCCTGGGAAGAGCCCTTTCCTTCATTGTCATTAAGATAGCATCTGCCAAGCTCCCAGACTAGTGTGCCCACATGGTGAACTCAGACACTGTGACGAGAAAGAGTGGGCCTTGTAGGTGGAGAAGAGCTGATAAGCTCCAGCAGGGGGTGTGAAATTTCAAAGATCTGTGGGGCCCCTTGCCCCTGCCCAGCACTGGATGCCAACTTCCTCCCTCTGGATTCTCTCTTACAGCTTCTACCTCTTCCACCCTCTGGCTTATGGGATGGTCGGTCCCCTAGCCCAGGACCCCGGAAGTCCCATGGCAGGACTAAGGTGGCTTGAATCATGGGACTTTTGAGGCTCCTGCAAGGACTCCAGCCTGAGTCCTGGAACTTTCTGGGGACAGCCAGCTGTGCAGCCAGGATCTGGACCTCCCAGCTGTGGGCAAAGCTGCCCGAGGAGCCTGAGGAATTCTGCTGCCCGCCAGGACCAAGCTCTGGGAGCCTCCCCGGAATTTAACCCAACACTAGGGAGACCCACAGCTCTGTCTGCAGAGATACCACCACTGGGAATGGCTTGGCAACAGAGGACAACATCTCTCAGGCCCATTTCCCTGAGTGTGCAACCTAAGGAAGGATGAATGTGAGAGAGAATGGGTGTGAGTGTGTGGGAGTGTGAGACTTCATTTGCCCATATACCTGTGGACAGCTGACTGTCAAAAACTCTGAGAAATAGACCAGGGCTACCGTAGTATTTTCTGGTATTTCTTTCACACTGGATTTGGTTTGAAAGCAAGAGCTATCAAAAATTCTCTGACCTCCAAGAAGGCTGAGCTCACTGGCCCCTCTTTGGGATATCACCAAGGGCAGAGCAGATGGGGGCCATCCAATCTGTGCCACCCTTCTCCCCACGAACACACCCATACAACTGAGTGCCCCTGAGCAGGAGGGCCAGCCTCCCAGCTGCTTCCCTGGGTAGCAGCTGCTGAGAAGTCTCTGGCAGCAGGTGGCTGTGCTTCCTGCCTGTAGTGTGCACAGAGGACTGGGCTCTGGAGCCAGTGGCCAGGACCTTACCAGCCCTTGGTTCCTTGATCTCTGAGAAAGTCACATGGTGACTGGTGGGAGGAATGGCGTCCTATCCTTGGCTGCTCTGTGTCCCCAGGCCCTACTTGCCAGATGTGGTTTCTTGCTGTCTGTCCTTTTCCCTCTGCATCTAGCCTGGCTATGAGGGTGAGGTGGATGCATTCTCCTGAGGGCTGGGAGAACCTTTGGGCCCTCTTAGCTACCGAGGCTGGTGTGCAGCAGGGTAGGGATCTGTGGTGCTGGGTTGGGTTGGTGTTCCTGTCACTCATGAGGTATTCCCTACTTTTACTTCTCTAGTCTTCCCTGCTGCCCTGGATGCATTTCATTTCATTTCCATTTCTCTGTGTCACTATTTTACCAATCTCTTTCTCCCCAAAGACCCAGAGCACCTAGGGTCTGAGTCTTTGCAGTAAAGCTTCTGCTCTCTACCACTTTAAAGCCCAAGCAAGAAGCTCAGAGTTGTTTCTTTTAGTTCCTCCTCAAATGGAAGAGATTAATAAAACCCTTGGGTCAGAACCGAACCAGCCCCAGGCCCGCTCTTCAGGCTGCCTCCCTCCTGCTGGTACGATGACAGAGTATTTTGTCTCAGAGGACTGTGATGCTTCCAGGTTTAATGATGAGGCCCTGCCACACTTCATCTTCCCTCCTCTAGAGCCCCCACCAATTCTGACAGGGTCAGAGCTCTTTAAAGCATCTTTGGGAGGCGGTTGCCACGGAGACTGGAAATTGGGTCCAGGGACAGGCTGTGCTACCTACTGGGCGGTGGGGAGGGAAGCTTCTGGCCGTCCTTAGCCGTTCAGACCAGCCATCATTAATGTTAATAGAGGAAATGCAGCAATGTCAAAAGCAAGACAGGTTTGTTAATTAGATCTGGGGTGTGATGACCTCCCTCCCCCAGGGCTGCAGCCCCTTTGACTTCCCCTGGCAGGAAGTGCCTGTGTGCTGAGTCTGGGCTGTGTGCTTAATTGCATTTCTGGAAGGGAAGGAGAGCAGGAATGGAGAACCTCTGCTCACCCCTTCTACCCCACCACTGTCTTTCCTCCTCAAAGGTGGAGTTGGTTTCTCCTGAGTTGGGTGGGAGTAGCCATTGGGTGGGTTCCCCTGGAGGGAGAATGCAGGAGTCTGCCTGCCCCTCAGCCAAGAACAATGGCCCTGTGACAACTGGGAGGTGGCCGATGTCCCCTTGCACCTTCTTACTCCCTACTAGGAACCTTTTGGAAGGAGGAACTCTGAAGGAGCCAGAGAGGCCACCACCCGAGTGAGGGTGAGAAAGGAGAAAGCTCAGCCAGCTTCCTGCCTATGGCTCCTTCCTCATTTGGCCACACTGGGGACAAAGGGTTCCTCTGTCTCCTACTGCACTCCAAGGATGAGAGAAGAATCGTTAGCTCACTCCCTCCTCTTCTCCTTAGCCCAGACTGGCACACACTTCTCCGAAGACAAGAAGACAAGGCCGTATGGGTTGATGCAGCTTCCAGTGCTCAGGTTCGGTCGGTGGAAGATGCTGGAGAGAGGGCCTATCAAAGTGGTGCTCTGAACGTGGGCTCCAATGCCCAGGAATTGGCAGAAATGTGACATGCCCACAAACTTGCTGGTGGAGGAAGAAGATCTTTGTTAGCCCAACCTCCAGCCAGCTTCTTGAGCCACAATTATATATATATATATATATATATATATATATATATATATATATATATATGTAAAATTTTCCACAGATAACCAGAGGTCATTTACTTTTGTAATAAATAGCTCTTATTTTGAATGTCATGGTGTTCTTCTTGTACTCAATTGAATCTGACTTCCCCTGGGCTTCCGAAAGAAGACAGGAATGTTTTGAGTGCGAAAACCATTCCACTATATCTCAGTATCTGAGGCCATTCTAATTTGAGCAGAGGCCCTGGCTGGGCAGGTGGGCCTGCTGACCCCAGCAGGCATTGGGCCCTCCCACTTACAAGGTTACTTGAGGAATACTGGTTGTTCTTTTGACTTACTTTAACTTAGTCCAAAATAAGTAGGAAGCTGGACCTCACTTTTTCTCTTGTAACCCTCCACACAGTAGGGCAAGGAGCGTGAGAGAGTAGCAGTTGTCCACTTTGGAGGCAGCTGTGTGGCCCAGCATCGGAGTGGCTCCTATTCTGCTCAGCAGAGGCCCCATCCTGACAGGGGTCTTCTGTTTTCAGGAGTGTGATGTTAAGAGTCCAAAGGAGGTGAGAGCTGATGGTGTGTTGGCAGGAGGTAAGGGACGAGAGGAGCGGCACTGCTCTGTGAAGTGGGGACGGCCTGACTCCACCTCCCTCTTGGGACAGGAGTGGCTGGAGGGCTTGGGGAGAGGGCCATGCAGATCTTCAGGGGATGGAAAGTACAGAGTCTAGGCAGTTTAGGGAAGGACCAAACACTTCTTGAGTGGCATGCCGACACATCTGTGACACTGAATTCTCAAAAGGCAGAGTGAAGTCAATTCTGGTTTTGTCTCCATTCTACCCATGAGAGATTAAATTACTTGCCTGAACTCCTGTCAATAGCAGGGCCAGGACTGGGCATCAGGTTGGGTTTTTTCTGCTTCTCCAGCTTGGTCCTAGGTCTAGAAGCACCTTCCCAGAACAAACTGGCAACTCTGGGTCCCTTGGGGAGAAGGCCTGGAATCAGCTCAGATTTTGCATGTTCCTTTGTACATTCTACTTAATGCATCTACAGCTCATCCAGGGGCTGGTGTTTCCTGGTGCACTCAGACCTCTGGTTTTCGGGGAGGAAAAAAAGCCCTGATTTCTAACACTTGCTAATTACTGTGGTGTAAATACTCCCATCATGGCCCATTTCAGGCTACCGTCCTGATGTCACTAAACGAGAATTTGGAAAGATAATTATGCACACCTGGCTCTCAGAAGCCATCTAAGAGCCAACCAGGGACTACTGACCCAGACCCAGTGACCTTGGCTTGGTCTGAACTATGGACACAGCTCTTGGTCACAGTCCATCAAAGTGAAGGGGGCAGAGATCTAGATGATGGCCTGGAGTCAGGCTTGAGGGCAAATCCCAGTCCCACCACTTCCAACTCTGTGATCTCAGACTCATTACCAGATACCTGGGCTTCTGTTTAATCCACAGTCCAACCAGATGATAACAAACGCTATCTACGTGAGAGCGTTATTGTGAGGACGAAGAATGAATGATGTAAACATCCTTGCCAAGAGTCAGGACAGGAGTGCTGAGTGGATGCTAGCTCTCTTACGGTTGACGACTCCACCTCAGTGACAGCAGGGCTATAGGACAACATGCAACTCTCTCCTCCATTAGAACCACCTGCCCGGGTCATGGGCAGATGCCAGGCAGGGAGGGGAGATCCTGTGACTTCTTCAGCCTTCAAATATGGTCAGGCCCTCCTTCTCCTGGTTGTAACACCCACCACCTTCTCCACTGGGCCTGCATAGGCCCAACCAGGTAGGTTCTGAGACCTTTTTCCCAGGGAAGCAAAGATTCAATGCACTTAGCCCCATCCTCCTGGCTTGAGACAGGCAGAGAGTGTGACTCCACCACTTACCAGCTAAAGCCATGAACTGCCATTAACTTAGCAGACCTAGACTTTGTCCAAAGGAGAAAGGAAGCAAGAAGTTCCCAAGTGTAGACTGTTGCCAGGAGGTGCAAATTGGGTGAGGTGGAAGCCTTAGATAAGCCAGGTGGCCTGCACAGAGCACAAGGCATCTGGGCCCAGAGACATAGGTGGCGTCCCCCACCCCCCACCCCACCCCGCACCCCACACGACCTGGTGACCTGGCTGCAGGGCCATGGGATACCCAGTGAGAAATCTAGTCCCTGAGTAACCTGGCTTTCCTCTCTCTTTTGCCCCCAGCCCCTTTGTGCTCATACTTGGGGATCTTGGACTCTTTAGGACACAAGGCAGGATGCGTTACAATCTTGCTCTCTTGCTCAGCCCAGAGGCCCCAGAGATGTGTGGAGAGATGGGGAAGAGAATAGGATGTACCCCAAACTCCTGGGCATGGAGCCTTGGCCTGTTTGTTCATGACCACTGGCCCGAATACCATCTTGTATCCATGGACCAAAGGAGGTGGGCTGAAGGGGCCCTAGAGACCCCACTATCTGACCCCCTTAAATGTACACTGAGGACACTGAAGGAGAGAAGTTAGGCTGAGAGGAGCTAGGCTGAGACACTGGAAATAATGAAGGATAAACGAGGGTTTTGCTCTCCAAAGCCTGGGCCACTAGCACTGGGCTGGGGCCAGAGAAGCTTCCATGTTTGAAAGAGAGAGGCTTTTGGGCCTCTGGGTGGCTCAGTCCCTTAGGCCTCTGACTCTTGGTTTTTGGCTCAGGTCATGGTCTCAGGGTTGTGGGCTCCAGCCAGGTGTGGGGCTCCTTGCTCAGCAGGGAGTCTGCTTCTCTCCCTTTCCTTCTGCCCCTGTCCTACCTCCCTAAAAAAGAAAGAGACAGAAAGGTTTAGGCCTGACACGGGGTCAACTTCACATCCTGAATGGCAAGCATGAGATTCCACTACCTGGACTTCAATTTAAAGAACAATATTTAAAATATTTAAAATTTTAAATAAAATATTTAAATAAAATATTTTTATTTAATAAATAAATAAAATATTTAAAATTTTTAAAAAGCCTATTGAAAACCATGGAATAGGGATCCCTGGGTGGCTCAGCGGTTTGGCGCCTGCCTTTGGCCCAGGGCGTGATCCTGGAGACCCGGGATCGAATCCCACGTCGGGCTCCCGGTGCATGGAGCCTGCTTCTCCCTCTGCCTGTGTCTCTGCCTCTCTCTCTCTGTGTGTGTGACTATCATAAATAAATAAAAAAAATTAAAAAAAAAAAAGCCTATTGAAAACCATGGAATAGTAGAATGCTGGAACTTGACTCCCTTGAAGTCCAGGTATTCAATGGGTCACAGCTGCTGCACGCAAGACCCGGGGCCTGGCCAGGCAGAGCCGGGGCCAGACCTGGAGCTCCCAGATTGCTAAAGATGCTGCCTAGGAAAACCCAGGCCTGGCTGGAAATGGCTGCAGTCCTGCCGCTGTCCCTAAGGCTGGGAGTCCCAGGGCGCCGGCGAGCCGGGATGGAGGTGGAGGTGGTGGGCAGCCTGCCGGGCCTCCCCAGCCTCAGCCCGCTCACTCAGGCTCAGGCGGGTGCTCGGCATCCCCGGGCCCCACGTCGGGGCGGAAGGAAGGAGACCCAGTGCCAAGGGGGCGCAAGCTCTAATGCCTCCAGGTAGTACCGAGGGCAGGCTGCGGAGAGGTGGCCCGTGCAGAGCCTCCCCAACGCCATCGGATGCGATCGGTGCCCCAAGCAGCAAGCGGTGCAGTCATCACCGGGTCCTAGGCGAAAAACGGGGGCCCGGAGAGGCTCGACGCTCTCTGTGGAGCTCCGAAGCCCAGGCGTTTCCCGGGCCACCGGGTCGTCCCCGGCCACAGCCGGTTGCCCAGGGATGAGGGCCTTGACGGACGGAGGGGGCGGGGGCCGCGGCGGCTTTAAAGCGCGGGGCCGGGCGGCGCGGGGCGGGGCGGGGCGCTGTGGGAGCCGCGGCGGGGCGCAGGGCGCAGGGCGCGGCGGCCGGAGCGGGGTCCCGGCGGCGCAGGCGGGCGCAGGCGGGCGCAGGCGGGCGCGGGGGGCCGCGGGGGGCCGCGGGGGGTGCCGAGGGGCCCGCGTCGCCGCCGACATGGCGCGGCACGTGCGGTGACGGTGGCCGCGCCCCCAGGGCCCCAGCCTCGCGCCCCCGCGTCCCCGGGCGAGCATGGAGCGCCCCGAGCCCGAGCTGATCCGGCAGAGCTGGCGGGCGGTGCGCCGCAGCCCGCTGGAGCACGGCACCGTGCTGTTCGCCAGGTGAGGGCCCCCGCGCGCCGCGGGCCGGGGGGGGGGGGGGGGGGGGGCGGCGGGGCGGGAGCACCGGCCAGAGGGCGCGAGCGGGGCTTCCCGGCGGCGGGTCCCGGCCTTCCCCGGGCGCCCTCCCCGCTCCGCTCCTGAGCGGGCTCCCCTTGGGTGGTGCCTGAGCGCGCCCCGAGGGCAGCCAGCCGCGGCCGGGCCCCGGAGCGCGCCCTTGGAGGACAGGGCCGGGGCCAGGGGGTGCGCGGGCCCCAGGGGAAAGGTAGTGACCCCTCTGCCATCACCAGGGGCAGGGCTCCTCGCCGTGGTTTCTCCGGAGCTTTGGCTCTCAGAGCCAGCCCAGAACTTCTGAGGAGGCGGTTTTGCAAAACGGCCTCCCCAAACAAAGGGGGAATCGATTAGTGGGGTTGCCCAAAAGCCCCATGAGCCCTCTCAGATGTGAATGATGCGCTCCCACTTGCGCCTCCCAGCTTTCCCTAGGCCCACTGTTGTCTCAGGCACCCTCTGTGTTCCTGCTACTTCCAAGCTGTGTGACCGGAGGCAAGTGACTTAAACTCTCTGGGCTTCTGCTTCCTCCTCCGTAAGGGTCGGGGTAACAGTTATACCTGCTGCTGAGGACTGTGAGGGATACAGAAGTTAACCACATGTAGAGTATTCAGTGCCCAGGAGTTGTTTTCTTTAAAGATTTTATTTATTTATTAGAATACACAGAGAGGAGAGAGAGAGAGAGAGGCAGAGGGAGAAGCAGGCTCCGTGCAGGGAGCCTGACGCGGACTCGATCCCGGGAGCTGAAGGCGGTGCCAAACCGCTGAGCCCCCGGGGCTGCCCTGAGGAGTTCTTGATAGTGCTGTTATCATCACTGGCCGAGCCCCTGCAGACATGATGAGACTAGGAGGTTCTGATCCAAGAGTGGAAGGGAGAGAGACAGAGACAGAGAGAGAAGAGGAAACAAAGGAGAGAAGGGCTTTCCTATTTGAGGACCCCTCCCTGTCCCAGCCCCCTGACCTGTTTATGGAGGGGCTGCTCTACGCCAGGTCCCTGGAGAGGATGACCCTCGGAGCCTGTGGAAGAGGTGAGAAAGGGTCACCAGCAAAGCTGGCAAAGGGGTCAGTGCCCGGTTGGAGGCGGTGTTCTAGCTCCCAGCTGAATCCCTGCCTCCCCACCCCACCCCAGCCTGCTGGGCCGCCAGGGTGCGCGGGGCTGGCCGGGGCCTGGGGGGACCGACAGCCCAGGGCTGACACGTGGGCCTCCCCCGACAGGCTGTTTGACCTGGAGCCTGACCTGCTGCCCCTCTTCCAGTACAACTGCCGCCAGTTCTCCAGCCCGGAGGACTGCCTGTCCTCCCCCGAGTTCCTGGACCACATCAGGAAGGTGAGGAGGAGGCGGGGCGGCCTCAGATCCAGCAGGACGCCTTCCCAGGAGAGAGTGAGGGACTCGGGCTCCTCGGGAGAGTGACTTCTGCCCTGGCCTGGTCTCATTCCCCTCTGCCGCTCCCCCAGGCCAGAGACGTCTGCTCCTTGCCCTCTGTGCTGGGCTGGGCAGAGCCTGGGGCACCCTGTGTGCAGCCAGCTGGTCCCCGGCTCCCAGAGGTGGTACTGGCACTGACCCACTAGGGGCCATCTGCCTCTGACGCCCAGGCTGGGGTTCCCTGAGAGGCTCGTGACTCTCACAGTGCCTCAGTTTCTCCCTGTCTGGTGCAGACAGCACCGTCCTGCTGTTGTGTTTAGGGCTTTGAGACCCTAGAGGAGAGGAGCTGCCATCACAGTCTAACATCAGTAGTCTGGCCGCATGTTGAGTGCCTACTGTATGTACACACAGATTGCCTTGCATTTCTTTTCTTTCTTTTTTTTTAAGATTTTATTTTATTTTATTTTTTTAAGTAATCTCTACACCCAACATGGGGCTTGAACTTGCAACCCCGAGGTCAAGAATCTCACACTCCACCAACCGAGCCAGCCAGATGCCCCATGACCTTGCATTTCTGATCCTGGCAAACCGAGGGTCCTGGTGACCTCTCTTACTCCTGGTTGGATCCCCAGATTCTGGACTGTGGTTATGAGCAGGTGGGATTGTTCTGGCCTCTCCGATTCACGGCTGCGTTGGCCTTGGCAGGTGATGCTCGTGATTGACACTGCTGTGACCAATGTAGAGGACCTGTCCTCGCTGGAGGAGTACCTTGCTGGCCTGGGCAAGAAGCATCGTGCAGTGGGTGTGAAGCTCAGCTCCTTCTCGGTGGGTAAAGGGGCTCTTGCTCTCTCTGGAGCGCCTCACCTGAGGCCCCAACTCTCCCAGTCCTCCCTGTTCATCTGTTCTTTCTCCCTATTCCCATCTCCTCAGATGACTAGGACCAGGCGGGGTGGATGGTAGGGGAGCTGCATCTGTTACTTCTGTGCTGTGTGACCCCTGACACTGACTTGACGTCTCTGAGCCTCCAATTTTTCTTCCCTGGTGTGGTTTCTCTTAGAACTGTGGAAAGTTAAAGAGCTTCTGGGATTGGCCAGTCTTCTCAGTTTCCTGTTACCGTGTATAAAACCATCCCAAGCAAACGATTCCTGATTTCTCTGGGTTTGGTGGGGCAGTGCTTTAGCTCCACGCGAGGGGGCTGGTGTCACTCATGTACTACACTCAGCTGGGAGCTCAGCTGGGGCTGCTGCATCCAAGACGGCCCATCATCCTTCAGGGTCTCTTTCCCTGTAGTGTCTCATTACTGTGGCCTCGCTGAGCTTCCTCCCAGAGTGACAGCTTGGGTTCCCAGAGAATGGAACCCCAGCGTGCCAGCACGCATCTGGCCTCTCCTTGCATCCCTCTTGGGAACACCCCATTGGCCAAAGCCAGGTGCACGAGGAGCCCAGGCTCATGGTAGAAGGACCCCACTTGGAGGGGTCCTGAATCCTTGAGGTGTGGTTCAGTGGGGGCCACTGACGTGACAGTCTGTCCCAGGGTCCAGGCGCCTTGTCAGATGGTAAGTGCCCTAAGGAAGGGACCCAGGTAGTCTTGTCCTCTGTCTCCAGAACTAGTGCGACGCCTGGTCTTCAGTGGATGTTCAGTAAATATTTGTGGAATAAGTAAACCATATTCAGTTCTGATTAACTGTAACAAACGAGAGCCGTTATTATTCCTGAAGGCTTACTGTGTACAGATGCTGAGAGCTTTCTGTAGATGATCCCATTTACTCAATCCAGCAATCCCATGAGTTGGAACTTTTACTTTCCCTGTTTTGACTGATGAAGCATCTGAGGCTCAGAGAGGTCACCGCACTTGCTCAAGGCCACACAGCTCATAAATGGCGGGATCAGGAAGTGAACTCAGGTCTGTCTGGTTGCAGAGTCTGGGCTCTTAACGCCACGAGCATTGCCTTGGCGAGGAAGAAATGAAGACGGGGAGGGGTGGCAGTGACTTTGCTTGCTCCGAGCTGGGGGTCCCAGGCAAGGCCTTGGCGCCAGTCATGGGGTGATGGCAAGGCTGGGAGTGGAGTGAAATGCTCAATTCACTCTAAAGCCTCACATTGAAGGGGGAGGAGTGTCCAGTGTGGCACCCAGGGATGGGGGCGGTACCCCGCTCAGGAAGCGTGGGCCCTGTGCAGGAGACAAGAAAGGTCCGGGCCTCTGTTTTCTTACCCGTGGAATGGAGCGAGGCCTTCCTCCATTCAGGGGTGACACGGTGCCGCTTGCCTCTGCAGACGGTGGGGGAGTCCCTGCTCTACATGCTGGAGAAGTGCCTGGGCCCCGCGTTCACGCCAGCCGTGCGGGCCGCCTGGAGCCAGCTCTACGGGGCCGTGGTGCAGGCCATGAGTCGAGGCTGGGACGGCGACTAAGAGGCGGCCCCTGCCCAGCAGCCTCCACCTGGAGGCTCCATCTGTCTGTGTCTGCTGCAGCCCAGGCTCCCTTAGGCCTCCCTGCCCCTTGGTCCTTGTCCCCTGGTCATCCCGGAGAGGTAATAGAACAGAACTGGGTGTCAGCCCCCCTAACCTCCAGCTGCAGATGGGGGTGGCTTTCCCTCCAGGAGGGGGCTTCTGGATTTCCCTGCATGCCCGGTAGCTTCTTCCCTGCCTGCCCTCTTTTCCCTCTGGCATCACCTCCTCCTCTAGGAGAGGACCAGTGCTCTGGTCCCAGAGGTGGCATGGGGCTGGGAAGGTGGGGAGCTGTGAGAGCAGGGGTACCTGCCATCCATCCTTGTCAGGTGAGTCCAGGCCCAGCTGGGGAGTGGTGGCTGAGCTTCGGGCACCTTCCCATTTTGTCTGCCTCCATGCTTTTCTCTCCCTGGGTCCTTTGCCTTTCACAAATAAAGAGGAGGGACTTTTCTAGCCTTCATGGTGGAATCACAGGTAGTGGGAGCAGGGACCCGCTGAGGACAAGAGAGCTGACCTAAGTCTGCAGTGGGCCCATCCGGGTCTCAGATGCCACCTGCCCGAGGGGTTTTTCTTTTGCTGTGTCCTGTTCCCTCATTCAGCGCTGCTGCTGGGAGCTCCTGTAGCTCTACTCTGCAGGAACCAGCTAGCCAGCAGGGGAGGTGGGGGGGGGGGGGCTGGCGAAGAGCAAGAGCAAGGAACGAGGGGTGATTTCATTCCAAAGGAGCCTGTGTTCCCATGGCTGTTCCTCACGGCCCCGCTCCAGCAGGGCTGGGGTTTATCTCCCCTGAGCCTCCTTTCTGCCGCTGCTCACATCAACTGCAGGGCCACGGCTCTCCACACTTGACAGCTGGGGTGTGCCTGTACTCAGGCTGCTGCATAGAAAAAGTGCCAGAGAGGCCCTCTGTCCTCACCCCCAAGCTGTCTGCACCTTTACCTTCCGCTCCGTGCCGTGGTTGTGTAAGCTCATGAGGAATAAACCTGTTCTGTGTGCCTCTCTGACTGGTCTGGGGGCTGGTCCTTTCTTGGGTGTTGGCTTGTGGCCAGGCGAAGCCACAGGGCAGGGGATCCAGGGCAGGTGGGAAGATGAGGTCAGGAGGGTCAGGGCCAGTGTGGATGTAAAAGGAAGGAGAGGCTTGAGGAAGGCCAGAAGCCAGTGGTGGAGACGGAGCGAGGGGTCTGTGATAGAAACTGGCTGGCAGGGCACCAGACTCCGTTCTTCTTCCTCTTGGGCACACAGCTGGACCACCACTTCACCCGGGTTTTCATCCCTGCCCCGATCTGTCCCACCGAGGTCACCCAGGGCCTCTGTTCTGTCCCTGTCCTCACCTTGCTCTTCTGCTCAGCATCCTTGGAAAAGCTGATCACTTCTGCATTTTAAACTTTTTCTTAGAGAAAAATATCACATACAGAACATCTGAGCCTAGTGAATCTCCATGTACCCTTCACCCAGCATTGATGCGACCCAAGACCTCCCCCACCCCCTTTATTCCGCTGGAGACTTTTAAAGCGAACCTAAGACTTGGTGCACTTTCACCTGTCAAGTCTTCCGTAGGAACGTGTGGCTGATACCTTTTCCACCTTCATCCACCTTATCAACACACCTGCCAACATGAGCAATATCTCTTTAGCATCGTCCGATGCCAAGTCTGCTTCCAGATTTCCCTGATGTCTTTCAGCAGGTGGTGCTCAGCTGAGGGGGTCCACACATTGCATCTGGTTGATTTTTATTTTTTTTATTTTTATTTTTTTTTTGTTTTTGTTTTTTTTGTTTTTAATTTTTATTTATTTATGATAGTCACAGAGAAAGAGAGAGAGGCAGAGACACAGGCAGAGGGAGAAGCAGGCTCCATGCACCGGAAGCCCGATGTGGGATTTGATCCCGGGTCTCCAGGATCGCGCCCTGGGCCAAAGGCAGGCACTAAACCGCTGCGCCACCCAGGGATCCCCCGCATCTGGTTGATTTTTAAACTTACGTTAAATTTTTACGTTGTTATGTCTCTTAAGCTTCTCCTTCTTGGCCCCTCTCCCTTCTCCCCAGGCCTTTGATTTGTGGGAGAAACCAGCTCATTTGTCCAGAGGCCTCTCAGTTCTGACTTGGCTGATGCTTCCTTGGGGCGTCTTTAAACTTACTCCTCCGTACCCTGTAATCACTGTCAAGTGCGGTTAGCAATGGGGGGGGGGGGCCTGCTTACCTTTTCTTAAAGATTTATTTATTTATTTATTTATTTATTTATTTGAGAGAGAGCGTGTGTACACAGAGGATGAGAGAGGGAGAAGAAGCAGACTCTCTGCTGAGGAACCCATCCCTGCTTAATTTTTGAGTCCTTTTCTTCCCTTAGATTCCAGATGCCAAGGTCTCCTGGTTTTCTTGCTTCCTCGATGCTCATTCTTCCTTCTCCTTGCAGATTCCCCTCCTGTCCCCTGTGGACCTCCTCTGGCCTCCTGTGCAGATCCCAGCCAGCCCCATGACCTAAACACCCCAGATACTGGTGGCTCTGGGTCGCATCTCCAGCCTAATGCGCCCCACTTCAGACCCCTGTATCCAGCCCCCTGCCCAACATCCCTATTAAGCATCTCAAATGTACCACCACCAAAGTAGAGCCTGGTATTTTCCCTAGCCTGCTCCTTCCAGCATCCTCTGCCTTGGTAAACCAGTTTACCCAGCCATTCAGGCAGAACTGGGAGCCATCCGCAATTCCTTGCTTTCTCTCAGACCCCACATCTAATCCATCCACGAGTCCTCAGACCTGTTCCAGATGTCTCCATCTCCTCATTCCCCGCCCCATTCTTGTCTGGGCTACCTTGCTGTCTGGCTGGATACCATCAGCAGAGCCCCAATGGGGGTTGTCTCCTCCACCTTGTCCCCACCCAGAGGCTGCAGTGATGGCCTTGGAACCTACAGCGATCACCTACCTCTCTCCCCCACTCAGAATCCTCCAGTAGCCTCCACGTTACTGGAGTAAAGCCCAGGTCCTGCTGCTCAGGACCCTGTGTTTATTCCCCCCAATCTGCCCCCTTCATGCACGCACCCACACGTCTCATCCCCAGAAGGAGCTGGTTCCAGAGATCCTCCCCATCTGTAGTCTCTCCCTAACCTTCACCAACTTTGTGTTTTCTTCCAAGCACTTGTCCCTGCTGACATCTGCCATATACACTGGCTTGTTGCACTTGGAATCTCTTGCAACCCAAGTGGGAAGGCTGACATGAAAAACACTTTGGGCTCTGTGTTCAGAGGGGGAGAGGAGAGGTGATTCTTCAGACCTCGCTGAAGGGGCACATGGTAGCCAGAAGCTATGCTTGAAGCCCCGTATGTGTCTCTCCAGCGCAAACAATAGTATTTGTTGCAAAGACAGATGATGATAATGGGAGTTGGGCCAGCGCTAGGTATTGATCGTATTGATCGCTTAGAAGACAGAAGGCGAACGTTCGGGCCTGTTGATGACCTACCTGCACTTGACATTGAGCTCGCTGGAGGCAATGTGAAGGAGGGGCGCCTTCCCGTCTGTGGCTTTGTACTTAGTCACCAGTGGGAGGCCCACCCTCCCCAAGGGGAGACACAGTGTGAGGTGCTGAGGCCAGCCCCCCTCTTCCAGGGGTGTTGGCCTGTGATTGTTTTCCTCCTCCACAAGAGCCTTGCCCTTCCAGCCCTCCCTGACACTCGAGTGCGGAGGCTTTTGCAAAGTAGGGGCCCTTGGGTCCCACCCCAGAAATTTTGGGTTGTTCAGAGATGAGGCCTGGACCCTGGGATTGTCTAAAACCTCCCAGGAGACTCTCACTTGCAGCCGGGATGGAGAACCGTAGCATTTGCGGCTGGAGATCTGCGGGTCTGTCAGGGCCCAGGGGCCACCAGATGTTGAGAAAGCGGCTCTGTTGACAAAACTGTGCACTGCCTTCCTGTAAGTAAGCCAGCTCCCCTGCCCCCCAACCCCCGCCCATCCCGGGCCTGCCCCAAGACTCAGAAGCCAGGCTCTGGCCAGCTTAGAGTGTCCTCGGGACAGATCCGAGCTCCCTCCGGCATGACGGGATTAGGTGGTGGGGAGCCAGCCCTGGAGGAGCCTGAAACCGCCCCAAGGTTTGGCTTCTGGGTACAGCCTTCAGGGGCCCAGGGCCCCCCAGCTCCGGGGAGGCTGCCCTGCGAAGCGCAGTGCAGCACGCAGTCAGCTGCTCCAGGGCCCCATCAGATCCGGGTCCTGGGCCTCCAGGGCCCCAGGCCTCCCTCTTGGCCTGTGCCACAGTCTCACTCCCAGCCCAGCTGTCTCCACCTTCCAGGCTTCCAGTCCTGCCGGCAGAGTACAGATTGACCGACCCCCTCTTCCTTCCAGGACTTGACATGCCTGGGGCTACAGTCCACCCTCTGCAGCTTGTCTTTCTGTCTCTCTCTGAGCAAAGTCCCCTGAAATGTCCCCCAAACCGAGGAATGGCCCAGGGCCTGTGAGCTGAGGGGTGCTGTGGGCTGTGGAGGAGAGCCTGGGAGGCAGCTGCTGTGGCAGGGCCTGGAAGATCCACAGACGAGGCCCCTGGTCCTACAGTAGCCATCAGCCCATCCCTGTTCCCAGGCATCAAGGCCCAGCCCCTGCCACCCAGCCAGAATGGTCTTCATGTTTCTCTCTCCCCTAAAGCAGCCCTGGTGGATCTCATCTGACTTGACTTGGAAAATAATTGTTTAGAGGGGAGGGGGGTCACGGGGGTGGGCTCTGGTCCTATGCCCAGGCTCAGGCCAGTGGGGGCTTTGAACCCAGGCCTGCCAGTGGGCCATGAAAGCTTGAGGGGGTCCAGCGATGGGGCTGGGGAGTGGCCCTGGGGCAGCCTGTCTGCACAGGGAAGGATGAGGGAGGCTTCCTCCCCCTGTACCCCGTTCCCTCTGTGCCCCCCTGAATCTGCTCCACTGGGTAATAAGTCAGAGCTGCTATCATCCTACCGCTGTTTTCGGGACCAGCCTAGGGTCCTGGAGCCGGTGGAGGAAGGCCAGCACTGTGCTCTCCTAGGCCGGGAGACACCCCCGCCCCCCCAGAGCAGGGAATTTATCCCCAGCTTACCGTGGGTACAACAGAAGACATAACCTTTGCTCGAGGGTGTTTCTTCTCCATTCAGGCCTCCCCAGGGTCGAGCCTCACCACTCCCCCTGCCCTCCTGCTGCTGGCTGAGGCCAACCCAGAACTGAGCCCTGTCTGCCACTTTTTCTAGGGCCTTCTGCCAGAAATCTTCATCTTTTCAAGTCCAGCAGCTAGTCTAGCCGACAGCCCACTCAGGGGGCCTGCATTCACCCTGGGACTTCTATTGCCCAGGGGAGGCTGTTCAAAGGCTTCATGGGTAGCTCATGGGCCCGGAAATCCTCTGCTACTGCCCAGAGGGCTCTGACAGTGCCCACCGCAGAATGAGTGAGGCTCCCCCCAGCCCCCGTCTCTCCAGCAGGCCAGGCGGCACTCGTCAGGCCTTCCCCTGGGAGAACAGGAGCCTGGGAAGGCCTCAGGGGCCAAAGCCATGGAGCAAGGTAGGGGATGCTCCAGCCTGGCAACCTCAGGGAGGTGTGGGCCAGTCCAGATGCAGAGGCACAGGCCAGCAGAGGTTGGGACCACTTATTTATTCAAGGCACGGTCATAGCATTAATAACAAGAAGGTTCGGCATTCTGGCACATTCCTTTAGTGGTGGTGGCCAAGGGAAGTCCACACCCCACACTGGGGGCCCCAGAGGATGCAATGCTGCTGATAGGCACTTTGCTTCCAGAAGCATCTGAGGAAGAGGCAGGCAAGCTTGGAGCTACTCTTGGCCCAGTGGGACACTTCTTAGAGGCTCTAGGCTATCCTGGGTTCCCTCAGAGGCAGCCCCCTCCAGAAGGAATCAAGCCTGGGGGGTGGTGTTTCCGTGGAAGGATGGGGAGGGACAGCTGGGAGGTAGACTGTGGGGTAGGGTCGGACGGTGGTGGGTGGAGGCCAATGGGTGAGACAAGCGTGGGCTGAGCGGGCAGGCCAGAGGGGAGGTGCCTGGAGAGGGCCTGCATGTGGTGGGAAAGGAGCCAAAGCATGGCCACCCTGCCTTCACAGTGACCATGGGGGGAGAGTGGGGAGGACTTGCCAGTTGCCCTGGGTCTCCAGAAAGAGTTGAGAAGTGAAAGGATTCTGGAACTTTCCCAGCATTTGCACTGTCTTCTCTCAGAACCAACTGCGCTTGGCCCATATGCAAGGGGGAAGCCCCCAGCCATGCTGCCGAGTAATCTGCTGGGACCCTTTCCATATGCAGCACCCAGAGGCTGCTGGGTGGGCAGGGGACAGACAAAGGAGGGGCAGTGACAGAAGCGGCAGGAATAGTCCAGCAGGGGCTGCAGGGATGGGGGGGGGGTGCCAGCAAGTAGTGCCCAGTGGAGAGCCTACATGCCAGCTTCTGGCAGGAAGGCCACACGCACACCAAATATGCCTCCCGGGGGCGGGGGAGGGCCTGGAGCCGGCCACCTCCCTGTGGCATGGGCAGATCTCCCTGTTGGGGCCCTGACCGCTGCTCTGGAAAGGACCCTTCCCTTTGTTGGCTGGTGAAATGCTAGGAGGCAGCAGCCCTCAGGGACTGGCTGGGTATTATTTCCTCCTTATTCCTAACTGGACAAGGAGTGGGAGAGACTGCTGACGCCCCAGCTGACTCAAGCTCTCTGGGAAGATCCCTTATGCCAAAGTCTGGGCCAAGCCCCTGGGGTATGGCAATGTTTGCCTCTCGAGGGCTATTTTTCCCTCCGGTGAAGCCTGGAGCTTCTGCAGCTGAGACATGGGCACAGGTGCGGCAGGGCTGAGACCCAGGCGGTCTGAGTTCAGGGGCACCCATGTGCACCTGGTGGGAAAGGCTCCAGTGAGTGAGCCTGGGGCCTACTTTCAGCAGGTTGGCTGCAAGGACCCAGACCCCTGGAGCAGGGAGCTCAGGAGAGCTCTATAGCATGCAGAGCCCCTTGACTTGGCTGCTCCTCACCCACTCAGGCCTCAGTCAGCCCATCTCTGCATCCTCCCCTGCTGTGCTGCCGGTTGGGGGGGGTGGCTGTCCTCAGAGGCAGGGGTCTGCACCCCTATAACCATGACAAAGTGGCTACCAGCATTATTCCTACTCAGGATTCAGTTCCACAAAGGTCCCGAGTGGTGGCCCTAGGAAGGCAGCCTTATTCCACCCGAAAGGGCTTCTCCATGGAGGACACACCCCACCCCCACAGTCCCTGGCAGGGTGTCTGCAGTGTCTGGGCCAGGACCATACTGGAGGCCACTTGGGTGGTCTTCAGTTCAGGGTGCAGGCAGCCCCAAGGGAGGAAGGGTCCTACTGGGAGGCCAGGGAATGGCCAGTGCCTTCAGTCTGAAGCATGGGCTTCTTACCCTAAGCTGTTGCCCACCTTGGCTATGCTGAGGGTCCAGGCACTCAGGTGGGTATGAGGCAGGAACAACTTTCAGGGGCCACGTCCTTGACCTTGAGGGTCCTCTCATTAGGCCTGGGGCTTGGAGAGCTGTATCTGGTTTCCCATCACTCAGCATTTGGGGAGAAGACCCCTCTCCGTGAATTTTCTGCCTCTGCCCCTCCCACCTCGTAGTAACCAGCCAAGGTTGCCTTCATCAAAATGCACACAGGTCCCATTTAATGAGCCCGGAGTGATCGTGTCCCAGCTGCCCTCGCAAGAATAGAGCAGAGGAGGGTCTCTACCCCGCAGCTCCGGGGGAGTCTGCTGCAGGGCAGAGGGCTAGGAAGGGTCTCAGCCGCCCCTGGCTCCGGGGGATCCCCAGGCAGGGGATGTCCTTGCCGAGGCCCAGCATACACACTTGTGCTTCCTCAGGCTGCGGGGGAGAGGGGAGTAGGGCTGGGCGCCGGGTCGGAGCAGCAGTGGAAGCTCCTGGACAGGGCAGCTGGTGAAGGGTGGCAAAGACGCTGGAGAGTCTTCGACGGGCTTCTTTCTGCCTCCTCCCTTGTGCATATGCCTTCTCCACTCTGACCCCAGGAAGGTCCCTTGGCCTGCAGTCTCCATGCCCAGGGCCTCAGCCACGACTGCCGAGATGTGGTGCCCGGCCGTAGCCTCCATCCCATCCCGGGGTCCCCTGCACTGCCCAGCACCTCCCGTTCTAGCTGGTCAGCAGGTCGGGACCTTCATATGGCCGACAGCTGTCGGGATGCAGACAGCTCTGCCGGGCCTTCCCAAAGTCTGCAAGGGGTAGTGGGGAGGTCCACGTGGCCCTCCTGCCTTCCCCTTGCCGGGCCCTCCCCTGGCCGCCACTCTGGTGGAGTCGCCAGGTGGAGGCCTGGGGTCCTGGTCAGTGGTACTGGCTCTGGCCCTCCAGTTCCAGCCCTTCCTGGAACTGGGTGGAGCCCAGCTCCCTCGCAAAGCCCCTCGTACAACTCTCCTCTTCGCTCTCCTCCAGCTGTCTGTTCATGGTACCGTAGGTGTGCCGAGCAGGGGAGGAGGCAGGGGACAGGTTCATCTCGGGCTCCTGCAGCACTGTGGCCACGTACATCTGCTCAGGACAGAGAGGAGACGAGAGTGAGGTCACATCTGGGGCCAGGCCCTGGGCACGCCCTTGCACTCATGCCCTACCCCCGGAGCCTCTGCCCCTCTGAGCCACAGGTCCTTCCTTCTCCCCCAGCAGCTTGAGGCCTGGCTGTCCCACCTGCTGAGGTGCTCTTGATCACTTCAAGAGCAACTGCACCTCCAAGGGGGAGGTAGCGCAGGCCTCCTAGCTCCTAGCCCACTCTCCTTCAGTACGGTTCCATCCATTCTTGGTTCCAGGTCAGGCTGAACCTAGGGGGAGAGGACACGAGGCTCCCCTGTGCTGGGGTCTGAAGAGACCCCACCTCTGAGATAGTGCACTTCTTAATACAGCAGAGAGGCACATCCACACCCCCCCTGGGGTGGGTCATTGGCTGGCCTGTGAATCAGGATTTGCAACTGAGACTGCTAGCTGAGATCTTGGTCATGTGACCTGTCAAATCCAGGAATGGTCCCAGGAGCACCTGGGAGGGCAGCGAAGTAGAAAAACAGGAAGTGCTAGGGACAGAGCTGTCATCCTTTGAATGGCTTTGAAACCAACTCCTTATTTTGAAAATAGGTAATTATGGGATAGAATTAAATCTTTCCTGTAGGAGTTCATGTCAGTGAAACCAAACAGTCCTGGTCTATGAGGGAACACTCTTCCTACAGAAGAATTTACATATTTGTAGGATTCCAAAGTAAAGCCCATATGAACCTTCTGGTCATAAGGGGAAAAATGGTAACTTAACAATGGAAGAGGCCGTCATCCCCCTAATCTGGGAGTAGTCAGCATCATTGGTAAAAAATGGAACATTCTGTGTCTCTTGGTATGGTGCACGGCACTACCCATAATGTGTTTTAGCCCCAAGGGCTCAGAATCTATCCAGCCTTTGGATCAAATGTCTAGTTTTCAGGGAATACAGGAGATAGTGGAACCTGTTGCAAGACATCATGAAGAAATAGCTGGAAAAATCCAGAAGGTAGGGTATTCTGCAGGACTACTGGCTGGGTCAGCAGGTCATAAAGAAGAGATTGTGTGAAATTACAGGAGATGTGCACAGGGACCAGAGTCATCTAGCATGGAGCCTGGACTGGATCTTGGTTTGGATGTGCTTTGTAAATGATATTTCTGAAACACTTAGAGCCACTTCAATATGGGCTGTGTATTTGAAGACAGAGAAATTTATATACATGGAAAGATGGAAACTGTTAACTAAAAATGCAGATTATACAACAGTATGAACAGTATCATCTCATTTTAGTTAAAATTGTATACATGTATTTAATAAGTGTGTGTGTGTGTGTGTGTGTGTGTGTGTGTGTGTATACCTTGAAGAATAGACACTAAGTTAACAGTAGTCATCTCTGGATGGTGGGAATATGAACTTTTCATTTTCTTGTTTTTGCTTATCTGTTTTTCCCCATAATTATCTGCAATGCTCATAGACTACTGTTGTTATCACAAAAGATTAAAAAAATCCATTCCAATAATAATTATTATTTTTTTAAGCTCAGGCTTTAGAACACGACAGACCCGGTTCAAACTTTGTACTGCCACTTCTTTGTTCAGTAATGCCTTGGGGTCTAAATTAATTGACCATGTTGAGCCTCAGCTTCCCCGTTTGTCAAAAAAGCATGAAAACCTCTACTGCGTGGGTGTATCATAAAGATGAGGAGCAAGATTGGCAACGTATCAGGTTCCTAAGTAGATTTCAGTAACCGATTGCTAACAATATTCCAGAGGGGTCGTCTTGCAAGGGCCCCTGAGGAGAGAGGCTACGTGCAGAGAGGCCCCCACTTCGAAAGCTGTGTAGACTCTCCAACACCGGAGTTCCTTCTCCCCATCACCTCCCAGAGGAAGTCTGCCCCTCTCCGCAGGGTTTTTCCCCCCGAGGTGAGGCCGACCTGCAGTTCTGTGCACGGGGGGTGGGCCTGTCCACCACAGTTGTCTCTGTGCATTTGTCCCCAGCTCTGCCACAATCACGGGCCTCCTCTCTCCCCCTGGGGCCCTGCTGCCCTCTGCATTTCCACCAGGCTGAAAACTCTTCCGGTGCCCAAACGCTCCAGATTCTCTCTTCCGGGACTTTGCATAGGCTGATCCTCTTCCTTGAATGCTTTTCCCCCACATCCTACTCCACCTAGCAGCCCCTCCTGCTCCCATTCCTAGAGTCGGATTAGACGGAGGCCTTCCCTGAGCACCCGGGCCGGCTGGCGCCCTTCTTCGGTGCTCCTCCGGGGCGCCACGGGATCGGGACATGGGCCGAGCCGGTAGCCAGCTCAGAGCGTGCGTCGGTGGCCGTGCGTCCACACCGCGGGGGTGGCAGGGGTTGGGCAAGCGCTCGGGCCCTCCAGGCTGAGCCACGCTGCGGGCGCCACCCCTGCCTTACCATTCGGTGCAGGCTCCCAATAGCTCCCTGCAGCTCTGTCTGCGCCGCTCTGCCTGCCATGTGTGCCCTTGGAGGCAGCCTTCGGTCCTGAGGCCACGCCCCAACATGTCCCTGTGTCTACACGACTGAGCTTGCTGTGGCTGGCTTCTCCCTGACATTTCTCTTCCTCTCTCTGTTCCTTACAGAGTATGTCTTGTTTCTTCTATCTTCCCACATCTTCAGCCAGGGCCACGGCAGCAATTGGACCTGGGCCAAGTCCTACTGTGTCAGGGGAGGGAGCCCAGGCGCCCCCGGCTCCTCCCCAGTACCCAGGGGGTGGGCACTAAATGCTGGTGCCCCCCCCAACTGCTGCTGGAGTCGCCCACCCCAGAGGTGGCCCCCCTCCTGACCTGTCCCCCAGGGTGAAGGCACTGACTCACAAGGGACGTGGGTGTGGAGGAGGTGCTGCTTGGCTCCATGTCGAACACGGTCTCCATCTCCTCCTCGGGCTGCGGCGGTGGGGAGAGATGTACAGGGTCACGGAAAGGGGGCGTCCACCCTCTGGCTCCCTCCCCCGCCAGATCTGCACCTGGACCTCTGGCTCCCCTGGAACGCCCAGACCTACAGGCCTGGGCTGAAGCCCACAGGGACAGGATGAGGACTGGGATGCTGGTGGCTCTTTTCAATGTTCCATTCCCAAGATCCATAATGGGGTGAAGTGCAGAGAGTTGGGATTAGGATCGAATATGAGCCTGCTTTGACTCTAGTCTCTTCTTTCCTCCCGGGGTTTCTCCTCTCTCTGAGAACTGCCGAAATCACAGTCTAGGTTCCCTCCCATCTCCCTTCTCTAGAGTGGACACCCGGGCAACCAGCTCGCATGGCATTGTTGTACTGGGAAGACAGAGCCAGAGGCCTTGTCCCCTCTGGTTTCTCGTGGCCCTCGAGCCAGGGATGGAGGAAGGGCCAGGCAGTGAGGGCCGTGGGGGTCTGAGCCCAGGGCCTCCAGACACAAGGCCACTAAAAGTAAAAGGATTCTCTTCTAAGAGGCTCCTTCCTCCGACTCAGCAGGATACCAGAACTTTAAACAAACTTCCTTTCTTTTCTTTCTGTACATTCATTTTAAAAGGACACCATTTACTATTATAGACAGAAAACCTGCATTAACTGACAAAAGCAGACACAGAAATAAATGCGAACCAACAGAATAGTGGGTAACCATGAAAAATAAAAAAGATGTTTCAGTCCCTGGAAATCATTTTTAACATGCCTGCACAGACGCGCTGCGCCCCTTTGGGAAATGCCCATCTAGAGCGCACAGCATTGTTGGCATGGCTCTCGGCAGGCAGGGACTGGCTCCCTTCTCTGAGGACAAGGCAGGGTCCCAGTGGCAAAGAGCTGAAGGAGTCACAGGGCCCAGACAGCCAGGCCTCTAGTTCAATAGCCTGGGATTCCTTAAAAGGTGATACCTTTCCATCTCCCCAGGGAATCGTCCTCCTCCGCACCCACCCTTCCACCCTTCACCCCGTCCTTCTCTCTCAACCCTCCATCCTTGCAGTGGTGTTCACAGCTCGGTGGCTGGACAGACTCACAATGTGGGAGGGATGCGTGACCAGCCTGCTGTTTGGAGGACATGCCAGAGGGGAGAGGGGGAGGGGATGGCCGTCTTTGAAACCTCCCCACCGCGCCTGGGCCACCCAAGGGCACGCACACATGCACACTGAGTGTGCACACACCATCACTGAAGGCAAGAGCCTTTCATCTCTCGCACTGTGGCTGTGCAGGTTGGAAGGTGGCCTAGGGTCGTGTCCCCCAGGGGGCCGGAAGAACAAAGGGAGGAAAAGAAGGGTAACTCACCTCATAGTCAGATACCCTCTGGAGCTTTCCCAGAAGAGTGCTGAGGAAGGCGATTATCATGGAAATGATGAGCGTGGAAAGGGAGAAGAAGGTGATGGTGTGGAGCGTACCTGCCAAGGAGAAGAACAGGCCGTGGGCCTGGGTGCTTGAGAACCGGAGCTGTGGGCAGGAGTCTGGAGCCGAGATGCTGGGTCCCTAGGGACCACCTCAACACCTCTGTGGAGGCCTCGAGTCCAAGGCAGGGAGGCCCCTACCCCAATTCTCCTCCTAGCAACTGGAGTCAATGAGCCTGACACAGGACGTCATCCCTCGGTGCTATGTGACCATTGGAATTTGGCATCTTAAGGATTCCAGGAAAAGAATTTAATTGCCTTAAGCGTCTACTCCAGTGCCCATTAAACCTGTCCTCCTCGACCTGTCAGTTTCCTTCCAATATCACAGTCCCTGGGGCAGTAGCTCTGGGTTACTCATTCATGCTGCTGCCCCCAAATACAGTCTCTGGCGCACACCTGTCCTTGCACCTAGCACCAGCAGTTACCTGTGCTAACGGCACTGAAAAGCAATCCAGAATTCAAGTCATTTACATTTCTCTCAGGAATATTTGGTAACTTTTTTATGCCACCAGTTTTCTACTGAGGTAAAGATTAAAAATCAATCTTTATAGGGGCATCTGGGTGGCTCAGTCGATTAAGCCTCTGCCCTCGGCTCAGGTCATGATCCGAGGGTCCTGGGGTCAAGCCCCACATCAAGCCCCACATTAGGCTCCCTGCTTAGCGGGGAGTCTGCTTCTCCCCCTCCCTCTGTGTCTACTCGCCTCCCCCCCCCCCATGCTCTCTCTTTCTCAAATAAATAAATCTTTAAAAAAATCAATCACTACAGTCAGAGGCTGACCCATGATGATGCTTGTCATCGTGTTTCTCCAAGAGCAAAATGGCAAGCAACCTCAATATGCAACAGTGGAGAGCTGACTCAGATGGGTAGGATTCAATGCAGCTGTTCAAGAGCCCGTGCTCAAACAGGAAATTGCTCAGAACGTTATGTTGAGTGAAGAAACTCGGGATACGGGACCAAACATTATAAAGTAGAAATCATGATTTTGAAAAGTAAGAATAAAGCAGTAACTGTCCCCTGCCCCCCATGCTCCTCTCTGTCCCCCAGCCTGTGCACACAGAATGAGGTCTGAAAGCCACAGCAGGCTCTGGGTGAGATTATGGGTCATTCAGAAACATACAGTCTAGGGCAGCCTGGGTGGCTCAGCGGTTTAGCGCCGCCTTCAGCCCAGGGCCTGATTCCTGGAGACCCGGGATGGAGTCCTACGTCGGGCTCCCTGCATGGAGCCTGCTTCTCTCTCTGTGTCTCTGCCTCTCTCTCTCTCTCTCTCTCTCTGTGCCTCTCATGAATAAACAAAATCCTTAAAATAAATAGAAACATACAGTCTTTTATACTTTAGAGGGAAATTATTTAAAAAATGAAGTCTGCTAGGTGGCAGGGAAAGACTAGAGGGATACGAAGTAGGGTGATGCCAACAAATGGATAATGCACAAAAATAACTAAGGGCAGAGCTGTTTCCAGCCTCTACCGCAACAGGAGTAAGAAAATACGGTTTCCTTTCTCCACTCCACTGAGAAGACTAAGGTCCAGTGTCCCTGAGGGAAGACCAGTGTGGGGAGAATGCAGGAAACCATCTGGTGGCGGAGAGGATGGGGAGGTCAGAGTGAGCTGCTTGCCGTGGGGCGGGGGAGGAATCTCTCCCTCCAAGGGGCCAGGGTCAGTAGCTTGGTGTAGCTAAGAGCAGGGGGAAAGCTGGCCACTGGGCAGACCCCAATCCTTCTCCAGGTTTTAGGGAATCCAAGAGACCAGGCATCTTATAGGGTTCTGGGGGGAGGTCACGGGAATTGACCCTGATAGCGAATATTCTATTCTGACCAGCCTTGAGTTAGAATGCAGGAAGGTGATGTTCCTTGCTCTGAGGGTCGTAAACCAAAGTGCATCCGATCTGGACCGTGTCGGTCCAAGCCGTCCCCTTAGCTTCCAAGTTCTGCTGGGACGAGCCCAATTTAGGCCTGGAGGAGCCGCCTGGGGGGCTGCCATCCGGGAACAACCCTTGCTCCTCTCAGGCCTTTTCTGCTTTACTAGAGCAGAGGGGTTATTGAGGGCTTTGTGCAGCCAAGGGGAGCAAGCAGAGGCAGGCCTGGTACCTACCTAATCGCAGGATGGAGAAGAAGAGCATCCAGAACAGACCCAGGAGCGGTGCAAAGATGGCCTGGTAGACGGCAGCCATGTGGATCTGCTCGTTGAGTTTGGTGGGTGCGTAGGAGTAGTACATGTTATAGCGGTCCGTGATGTGCTTCATGCACAGGTACAGCAGTCCTGGGGGGCCGGAAGGTGGAGGCGCGCTCGGGGGCTGCTGCTTCCAGGGCCAGGCCCCCACCCCTGGTGCCCCCACCGCCACCAGGGCCATGCACCCTCCGGTAGGGAGAAGTTGAGCCCCCCCACGTCGGGCCGCTTGCTGGAATATGAGATGGCCTGGGACAGACTATCAGCAGAGCAAGGAGAGGCTGGGGCCAGGGCCGGGAAGGTGGGGTGGCCCTGGGGGCCCCGAAGGAAGACTCACCGAAAGGCACGATGATAGGGCAGGTGATGCTGTACGCTATCACCACGCTGAACACGTTCATCATCCACGCATACTCCCGCCCATACTGGAAGTCCATGGCCTGGCTCTGGGGCAGAAGGCGGGGCTCACTTGGTGGCCTGGTCCCCTTGCCTCGGCTCCTTCTGTGGCTCCTGGTCTATCCCCGGGGAGCTGCCCCGGAGGCTCAGCCTGGCGGACCAGCTCCCTGCCAACCCCAGCCCACCTCTCCTCACTCCTTGGGTCCTCTGTCCCCCTCCCATGGGAAGGAGTGTGTGCAGGGCAGGGCCCAGCCCCCACCTTTCTGATGTGGACTCTCTCTGGCTCCGACCTGGAGAAGAAGAGGCGGATGCTATATAGAAAGAGGGACCCCAGGCGCAACAGCTCCATGCCTGTGCCCAGCAAAGCCGCTGTGATCACGTAGTTGACAAAGAAGGCGCCGTTGTCTGGCAGGAACACACACCTGGCCGCGGGGACAGTGGAAGATGGCACAGAAGCCAGAGGGGGATATTGGGTGGGGGTGGAGATGGGAGGGGTGGAGACGGGGAAGGGGTGGAGGGTGAGGGTGGAGATGGGGAGAGTAAGCTTCAATACACATGTGCCCCCTGCCCACTGTAGTTCATGCACGCCCTTCTGAGCAGGGATGGGGTTGGTCTACGTCAAGGGTGGGTGTGTAGGGAAATATACGCTCTGGCGTGATCTAAAGCAGAGGTGAAAAAATAATTAAAAACATAAAGTGCTGTGGAAATGCCCTCAGAAAAGTGACATATGGCTGCACCTGGGCGGCTCAGCGGTTGAGCGTCTGCCTTTGGCTCAGGTCATGATCCTGGGGTCCTGGGATCGAGTCCCATATCAGGCTCTCCACAGGAAGCCTGCTTTTCCCTCTGCCCGTGTCTCTGCCTCTCTCTGTGTGTTTCTCATGAATAAATGAAATCTTAAAAAAAATAATAAAGCAGAGGTGCTTGACCAGGACCCCTAGATCCCAGAGAGTCCATGGTGGGGAGGGGTTGTGGGCGTCTATGACCTAGAATGGGGAAAAGAATTACATCTTTACATTCAGAAGCCTCTAACTGCAATGTACCACTTCTTTCCAATAAGAACGTGGGCAACAAATCTCAGCGATGTCAGCTACGGCTGTGACCCTGTCACCGTTGCAATCAGCCCACTGCAGTTGGTGGTGACATCTGACAATACCTTTGCACTCACCATCACTTCAAAGTGATGGTAGTTATTAAACACATGGCTAAATTAGACACACTAACTTTACATGACTGAAATGTTCTGTCTGCAAGGGGTGTTCTTGACATAGCTGGCCAGCTTCAGCTAGGAGCCACTGGGCCATCTGAATGAATGGCCACGCTGCCTGTTCTCACGGTGGTGCCCCAGCATCTCTGTTGCTGTCCAGTGTCCCCATCTACACAATTCTGCCAGTTTCTTTGAGAGGAGAAATCTGCGAGCTTCCTGGATAGATTTCAGAACTCCTTCAAAAACTAGTCTTTCTTGATGGCACCAAAGTTGAGTCATGGGCTTACAACTCTTTTCTCTCTCATACAACTGTATCGAAGATACTGACCTAACCAAAGATGCACTCATTCATCCTAGAAAAAAAAAGAGTCCAACTTATCACAAGTATAGTTTTAACTGCAGAAACTTTAGAGAACTCTGGTCCTTGCCCTATAAAACAAGCTGTGAGGGCACCTGGGTGGCTCAGTGGTTGAGCATCTGCCTTGGGCCCAGGGCATGATCCCGGGGTCCTGGGATGGAGTCCCACATTGGTCTACCCACAGGGAGCCTGCTTCTCCCTCTGCTTATGTCTCTGCCTCTCTTCATTCTGTGCCTCTCATGAATAAATAAATAAAATCTTTAAAAATAAATAAGCAAGCTGTGAAAGCTTATGTGTCCTTTGTGACATCACAATAAAGATGCAAACATCTGTGAAAATTGGGATTTTCAACATTTGTAACCTAAAAACAAAACAAAACAAATCAAAATTGGCTGGATGTCCAATGTGATCTATGTGTTGTTTTGTCAAAGATCCTGCCACCCTAGTCAACTGAATGCTCTTCTGCTAGCTAAGTAGCTTCAGCATTCACACTGACGCTTTTTAAAACTAAATGTAACTTTAGGGACACCTGGGTGGCTCAGGGGTTGAGCATCTGCCTTTGGCTCAGGGTGTGATCCTGGAGTCCTGGGATGGAGACCCACATCAGGCTCCCTGCATGGAGCCTGCTTCTCCCTCTGTCTCTGCCTCTGTGTGTGTGTGTGTGTGTGTCTTTCAGGAATAAGTAAATAAAATCTTTAAAAAAAGAATGTAACTTCAGCTTACTTGTATTCAAAATGCATTGTCCTCTTATTAAAGGTGCTAATAAAGATTTTTATTACAAATTTACTTTTAGAAATATTTTGGTAACAATATTTCAATATAATTGGTGTTCTTTGCAACCCAGGTATTTTGTGCATTTAAAGACATCTATTCAGAGTGTATATGAAACTGGCAAAATCTGAATAAGCTTGGTGGATTGTATCAATGTCAATTTCCTGGTTGTGCCAGGGTACTATAATTATGCCAGATGTTACCAGAGGTGGGAGGGAACTGGATGAAGGATACACAGGACAGTGTGGGGGCAGTTTCCTATAAATTTACATTTCGTTCCAAAACTTCATTCAGAGAAGGGATCCCTGGGCTTTACCAGATTGCCAAATGGGTCCATGGCGTGGGAAAGGTTAAGAGGTTGCTTAATGAGAGTCTTTGCATGCATTCATCTCTCTACCCATGTGGGCAAATGAAGGAGATGTGTATCTACCTGCTGTAGACCTATGGAAGCCCTAGGGTACCCTGGGAGCGTGCTTGGGGCATACACTCTTGTACTCACTGGAACCTGATGGATGCCTGCTCCAGATAGTAGATGTCAAAGAGCCACCGGAAAAAGACATCCAAACTAGAAGTAAGAATAAGGTAGGTCCTTTAGTTAATGAATCTAGGCTTGGGGTTCAGTCCCTCTTGGCCTGTCTTCCCTCCCTCTGTCCTCCCTTATTCAATCCCTAGAGACTCTTGCATTCTAATATCCCAGCTGCCAGTCCACACTGCCTCTCTGCCTTCTTAATGCTGGGCCACCCCCACCCCTAACCCTCTGGCCTCTCATCTCAAGGCCGCCTCTTCTAGCAAACCTTCACCAGTCGTTTTCTCCACAGTGCTTTCTCCCTCTTCCGAATTTCTACTGTACATTGGCTGCATTTTTCCCACCTTAGGCTGTCGGTTAGCTGATGGGCATGGCTTATTTCCCCAGCTGGATAATAAGCTCTTTGAAGGCAGAGTTCATGGTTGACGCCTTAGCGTCCACATGATACCTGGCTCATGCTGGGCTCATGACAGGCATTGGACTGTCACTTGCGGAATGGATTTGCAGCAACCACAGGTAGGCCTATAGTATCTGAAAGAGGAGGTTCCAACTCTAGGGTGAGCCTGTCTGAGAGAGGAGGGATACTGGGAGGTGAGGTACCTGGTCAGTCCCATAGAGGGCAGAATAATCACCATGAACACCAGAAAGATATAGCACTTGTTCACTATGATCAGATTCTGGCTTGATCTAGAAGGGAACAAAGAAACATGTGATAAGAACCAGAGACCTAACAACAGCATGGATGGAGAGACAGAGACAGCTCCCTGGCCTAGACAATCGGTTGGCTAGTGCATACCAAAGCCATCTACACAGAGCACAGGGAGCTCTGCTGCAGCTGGGAGCAGCAGGCAAGGGCAGTAGAGTCAACTAGTCTGGTCAGCCGCGGGCACGGGATGGGGAGGAAGGGCACACGTGCACTGTGGGCTTGATATCTTAGTTAGAGGGACATTACCAACAAGACTCAGGATCCCTGCCGAGTTTCAGTAATCTATAAAAGCCATGTTCTTGGACAGAGAAAAGACCAGTAAGGGCTTCTGTTAGGAGGGTAAGAACTTTAGGTGCAGGAAATCCCTTCTGAGATCCACACTGTCTTCAGGTAAAAGCAGGTCCACCTGCCCCAGGATATGGTAAATATTTTCTACCCAGATGGCTACCATCATAGAACTAGTAGGGCTAACCTGCTATTCGGGCTTAGTTATAGGTCCTATTGTTTAAAATGGGGGTGCTGCTCGGGCCACATGGGCCTACAGTCAGGTTGAGTTCACAGGTTCGTCTGTGACAGCCTTCTTGACGTTCTTTAGACAAGTCCTGCTCTCTCCTCACCCTAGGCCTCTTGCCTAAAGTTCCAGGCCACCTGTCTCTGCCTATGGCTCCAAACCCTCAGTGCATGGCTGGAGGCTGAGGGAGCTATCCAAGGAGGCCTTGCTTTGGGCCTGAACATGCCTGAGGTGGTGGTGGCCCAATCTCAGCATCCCTGAGGCCAGGGGCCCAGAGACAACTCGGTCTCCTCTTTCAAAAAAAATTTTTTTTTAATTTATTTATGACAGTCACACACACACAGAGAGAGAGAGAGAGAGAGAGAGAGAGGCAGAGACACAGGCAGAGGGAGAAGCAGGCTCCATGCACCGGGAGCCCGACGTGGGATTCGATCCAGGGTCTCCAGGATCGCGCCCTGGGCCAAAGGCAGGCGCTAAACCGCTGCGCCACCCAGGGATCCCATCGGTCTCCTCTTTCAAAAAAACCTATCTCTCTCTCTCTCTCTCTCTCTCTCTATCTATCTCTATCATCTCTATCTCTATCTCTATCATCTCTATCTCTATCTCATAGTGTCTTGGGATGGTTTTGGGTATCAAAGCCATCCCATGTCAGTTTGACTCCTTAGGCCAGATGGGAGGCCTGAGCCCCCAGGCTGGCGGGAGAGTGGGCTGGGGAAGGGGCTGGCGCCGGGGCAGAGAGCAGGAGAGGCAGAGAGCTAGGAGAGGAGCCCCCATCTCACCTGGTCCAGTGGGCCTCTAGGAAGGCGGAGAGGTAGACGATCAGAGGCAGTATCACTGTAAATGCCCAGAGCATCAGGGAGGGGAAGAATTGGGTTATGACCGGGCTCTGTAGGGGTAGAGCGGAGATGTGCAGAGACGTCAGTACAAGCAGTGCCCCTTCCCCTTCCGGGCCACCCTTGCTTCTCCCCCACCTCTGGCCTCTTCTCCCCCAGCTTTAGTCCCAGAGCAGGATTGGTTTCCCCAAGGCTGCCCCGGGGTCCTGGCCTTCGTTGTCAGCCTTGCTGGCCAGGGGTCTGGGCTGAGGCTGACACCTCAAGGTCAAGGAGTGCCCTCAAGGCGCACGGGTCTTCTATGCTGAGGTCCCTGGAGGGGCAGCCTGGGCTCTTGGTGGTGACTTCGCCCCAGGGTCAGAGCCAGCAGCTGTCACTGACCTCATGGTTCAGAGAAGGCAGGTGGGACATTACCTTTAATGTGATGTCATGTGACAGGTGGGAGAGAAGGGAGAAGGTGTGAGGGAAAAATCCCTAGGGGCAGCTATGCTGAGGCGTCCCTCCTGTGAAGCTGACAAGCAGCCCAAGCAGTATGGCTTGACTGCGTGCGTGCGTGTGTGCGTGCATGCGTGTGTCACTGGAATAAGGATGAGGATAATACGGAAGTGGAGGCCTTCTAGGCCTGTTATAACAGCCTGGAGGCTATAGGATTTGGAAATGGGCCGGCCCAGTTCCTCTGAAGTCCCTGTCAGGGCAAAGTCCCTGCATGACTCCTCCAGGGACCAGTGCTCCCAGCCCGGAGTGGGTGTGTGTGTGCAAGTGAGGGAGGTGAAGGTCCCGCTTCACCTGGGAACTGATCTCACTCTTCCCCCTGGGAACTGACCTCACTCTTCCCCACCCTCACCCCTACGCGCCAAATGGGGAGGGGGGCACAGCTCTAGAGAAAGTGAGAGAACAGAGCTGTCACACTTGCCACACCCTCTGCTGCACCTTTTGTACCCCTCGCTGGCCCAGGGTGACCCAATCTAAAGGAGCCCTCCAAGCCCCCTCATTACTGGACCACCCATCCCCTCCACAGCTCACTCCAGAACCTGCCTGCAGCACCCCCACAGCCCTCCTCCTTCCTCTCCCATTCCAGCCCCTCAGACAGGCAGTGACCTGCACAGTCAATCCCTTTAGGACACAGGACACTCTACAATACCATTTACACTGCTGCCACCTCCACAATGTTGGCAGTGCCCGGACTCCAGAGCCGTGCTCCAGGGGGCCCCCCACCCTATTCTCGCCTGAGTTCTTCCTTCATCTCCCTGGGGCCCCACGCCTGGCCTGAGCAGAGGCAGGACCTGCAGCTTCTCGATGGGGCGAGTGACGTTGTACATGTCGATGGTGTTGATGATGATGGCAGGCGTGGTGAGGAAGAAGAAGAGGAAGAAGAGGAAGGTGTTGATTGCGATAAAGCGCGCCCACCAATGGAAGCGGCGGACAGACAGGTGTTTCCTGGGGAGGGATGGAGGAGGGAGACTCACTTAGGATCTCAGGTCCAGCCCTTAGACGGGGCCCACGTATGGTTTCCAGCATGCCAGCTAGAGACCTGGATGGCCCTGGTCTAACTCAGCCCTCTCCCGCACCCCGCCAGGCCCAGACCTGAATGCACCGGGCCCTGGATCTGCCCCTCAGTCACACTCTTTGTCAAGGCCCTCGTGGTGGGGTGGGGTTAGGTGTGGGCAGAGGCTGTGGTGCCCAAGCCCAGTGGGGAACAAAGTAGGGGAACTGGCCCAGATTCCTTTCCCACCCTGTTCTCTTCCTTGGTCTGGGAGGGACTGAATGGAGAAGGGAGGGGCAGAGGGGGCTTACCAAATAATGTCTTTAGGGTGTGGGGCCAGGGCAACCCTCCAGTAGTAGGATTTGACGATGGTGGTCACTGAAGACTGCTGGGGGGGTACGCCACACTGGATGTACTTGTAATCTTCCCGGATGCTGCGGAGATGGGGGTAGGAGGCAGAGGTTGTGTGAGGGTCACAGTCTCAGGAGGGGTCCCATGCCAGGGTCCTACAGATGGCCCCACTTCCTGGGGATTTGTGAAGCCTCCCAGGATCTTAGAGGTGGGCAGCTCCTAAAGCCTAGTCCCTGGAGGAAAGAGGCACCAGTGGGAGGGACTGCCTGGGAAGAGAGGGGACCACATGGGTCTCAGCTGAAGTCTTTTCCCCTTGATGTCAGTGACAGCAAAAACACATGCTCTTTCCTTGAGGGTGACAAGGGAGGTACTAATTTCAGCCTCATCTTAGTATTAATAGCTACCAACTGAGTCCTTTTTGTGTGCTGGACACTGTGCTAATTGACGATGAATATAATCCCAATTGCACAGATCACTAAATTGAGGTCCCTGAAGACACAACCAAAGAGGGACAGGTGCTGGCACTGGAGTCCTTGGTCTTCTAATTCATGTTTCTGCTGTAATTAAGCCTCAGATTCTCTCTACTGAATGACAGTGTCTCAGAAGAGAAACAGTTTTGTCTTATATTGGTATATTGTTTTATATAACATATATACCAAATAGAACATATATCGCTTCTTAACCCTCTGGGAAGTAGGTAGACAGGGAAGATATAAGTGGACCAAAATTGAGAGTTACAAAATTTGAGAGTATAAGTGACTTGCAAAATTACACACAATTGTATTTGACCAAATTCTAGGTGGTTCCACTGTTCCCTTATAGAGTGTGGGTGGGTGAGGACAAAGTGTTGTGTATGATCAGCTCCCTCAAGAGAGAGGAGGGCCCCACAATACTCCAGGAACTTATGCTGGGGTTCCCATCTATTTGATCCTGTCCTAAGGATCCTTCCAAAACTTTCCAGAGTGCTACTCCACTCCTTATCGAGGTAGAGCTGCCAGAGGCTGGGGCAGAGGAGGGAGGAGGCTGTAAGGCTATGAATTAGGGGAGGCCTTGCAGCGGAGAGCAAGTAGAGCTTCTCTACCCTGACTCTGTCACTCGCGATGAGGAAAGGGGTGATGTGTAATGGGGGGAAATGGATTCATTCTTGTCAAGGCCTAGAAGAGAAACCAAGATGTCTATTCTGACCACCTCTGTGCTACAGCAAGGACATGAGAATGGGGAGCCCAGGGCCTGGGTATCTCTGGAGACAAGCAGAGTCTGGCAGCTGTGGGGAAACGGATGCAGACATGCTCTGGAAAGCAAGGTGGCGGCCGCCTCTGAGGCGCATGGAGGGGTTGAGGGGTGGCCAGAAGATGGCAAACTGGAGGGAGGTTCTCTCTCCTTCTCCCCTTGACTGGAATGGAGGTGAAAGAGGATGGTTTCAGAGAAGCAGAAGCCCATTCACAGGGCTGGACTGGGCACAGCAAGCCGCTGGCCCTGGCACTCACTGCTTCGTCATCCTGGCGTCCTGGAAGGTGACAAAGATCAGGTCCAGACGCTTCAGCCGAACGCGGTTGAGCTCAGCGTTGAACTCGTCAGTCAGCTGCTCCTCCAGCTCACTATAATATTGCTCTGCATCTACCTGGGGCGAGATTTGGCCTTCAGCGCTGGAGAAGCCACAGCTCTAGGAAGGCCTTGCCTGGACAGAGGCCTCCCTCCACTCAGGTGGTAGGCCTGAGGCTTTGGTTCCATTCCCAACTCCCTTCAAAGCCTGGCAAAGAACTCAGGATCCCAGTGGGCTCCAAGATCCCAACTCGAGAACAGGAAAAGGTAGTAACTCTGACATTGGATCCCTGCTCTTAGATCCAGGGAAGGTGAGGCACACCTGGGGATTAGGGGTTGCTTTTTGGACTTGGGCTTGACTCCGGAGGAGTGATAGAATGTGTCTGCAGCATTTTCAGGAAATGGGGATGATTCATTTTCTGGATTGGCTAGAGTTCAGTCCTGCCCTGTGGCCTCCTCCAAGCCATGGTGGTTGGGTGCTAAGATGGAGCGGAGCGCCTTCAAATGTTCCTGTCCTAGCCCTTTGAAAGCCTGAGGCATGGCAGCCTACAGCAGTCTATTGTGTTCTCTCTGGTCCTCCCATCCAAGACTGGAAGTGAGCAAGAGCAAGCCCTCTTGGATCACTCCAGACGGGTATCCAAGAAAGACCTCAGCTCCTCGGTATTATCAACAGGGAGGCAGGGTATGGTGGAAAGGGAGGGAGGAGCTAGGTGCCACAGCACCTGAGCAGATCTGAATAGGGCCGGAGGTACAGAGCCCTGGACAGAGCTGGAGACCCAGGGCCCCAGCCCCTCCTCTGCTGCATCCCTTGATGCCGGGGCCAGGTACCTCTTTGAAGCAGGTCCAGCACTTGCAGAAGCACAGGCGGGAGCAGGGGTGGGTCTTGATCATCACCTTCCCACTCTTCTTGGCCTTGGCAGTGTAGTAGAGCCGGCCCCGCATCGCGTGGCGCCTGTCAGCCGGCAGGCAATGGAAACAAGGATCTTGCGGTTGGGGGCCAGCAGAGCCACATCCTCCCCTTGCACGCCCATCCCAGATCCAGACAGGCCCCGCTGCACTCACCTCTGATCATCTAACTCGATCAGGTTCCTGACGTCATAGCAGAAGTGGACTCTGGTCACTACGCACCCCGGATAGGCCTCACTGTAGCCACAGACATGGATGCTGAGCCAGCCTGTGGTGCTGAGGATGGGCCATCCTACCCCCACGCCCACCCGGAACTACAGCCCCCAGGGCTGAGTGGCTCAGCTGCCCGTGGTCCCTTTTTTTGGAGGGGGGGTCTCCATTCCTTGTTCCTAAAGTCAAATTTCAGAGTTGATCCCTGGTAATCTGAGATTTGCCACCTCCTTCCCGAATGATCCAGAGTAGAGCCAGGGAGCAGACCTGGAAATTGCTGCTCACCAGAGAGAATTAGCTCTTGGGGCTAAGAATTTGGGTCACAAAAGATGCCCCATCATGACCTGCTCTAGATAATTGTGGTCAGGAGCTCGCTGGGCTCTGTGGTTAGAGGAACGAGGGAAAGGAAGAAAATTATACCCCATCACACTCACACCATGCAGGAAAGCCCTTGGCTTCAGAGACCCTACACTGGCCCCAGGGCCTCTTGCATTCTGGAAGGCTAATCCTGAGCCAGGTCCAGGACAGGCTACCACTTGGAGTGTCTCTCGCTCTGGCATCCTACGGAACCTTACTACCAGCATGAAGATCCAGGCAGGGTTACTGGGGGGAAGGTAACCAATGCTTCTGCCCCCTCAATCCACTTACTGAAAATGTTTAATGATGATTTCAGGGTCTTGGATGTCCTTTGGGACATAGGTGATCATTAGGGTCCTTGTGACCTAGGTGGGGAGGGCAAATGGAGAAAGAAGACTGTGTTTACACAGGACTCCTAATGTCTGGGTCTTTGGTGGCTCAGAACTGTCTGGAGTAGGTCTGCTACTCAGCCAGGCTGCCTGGGCCTGTGTCCCCAACTTCAGCAGGCTGTGTGCCATGGGCTGTGGGCAGCTGTGGGCAGCTGAGGGCAGGCATGCTTCATCTCTGTTATTCTCTGGGATCCTGGTGCAGGCCTCCTGCCACAGACAGCTGAGGTCAAGGGAGGGAGAGCCAGAGGCTGCAGACCAGGCCGGGGAGGAAGACCAGAGCTCCGGGAGGAGCAAGGGCTGCTTGTGCTCTTGTGCTAACCAGAGGGCCCCGCCGTTGCTCGGCCCTGCTGCCTCTCCACTGTGCCACGTGAGGTTCACATAGCAGGGCTGTCCCTGACATTAGACTGGGCAGGGGGGTTAGGAGGTGAGTAGACTCTGGGGAGGGGATGGGGAAGCCCCTTAAACTTTACATTTTATTCTGTGAGTGGGAAATGTCTTCCCGGGCCATCCCCTCATGCCTGGTAAATTGAGCTTCAAGAGATGGGAGTCTCAGCAGAAGCTTCTGGTAACAAGAAGGAAACCTGAAGTAGCTGAGTCCAGACTGGTCAAGGGTGCCCAAGCCTCCATGCTTGCAGGCCAAAGCATTCGGGGTAGCCTCTCAGAGGTATGCGGATTTGCATTCTGGGGTGGGTTAGAGTGTATTGGTCCTTTAGGAAGGATGCCATCAAGGGAGGGAGAGGATCCTATTACACTGAAGCTCTGAATGGCTGAGGACAGAGCCCAGATGTTAGTCTGCACCGTCCCCTTTGTCACCAGAGCCAGGACAGCCCAAATACCCCATCCCTTGCTGGTGCTGGTTCTGGTGCTGGTGTGATGCTGGTGCTGGGGCTGGAGCTGGGGCTGGGTCTGGAGTTGTAACTGGTACTGGAGCTGGGGCTGGGCCTGGGATTGGAGCTGGATCTGGGGCTGGGGCTGGGGCAGGGGCTGAGCTGGGCTGGGCCTGGAGTTGGAGCTGGGGCCATATGGGTGTGGGTGCGGGCTTGGGCAGGCAGCGCTGCTGGGCCCACCTGCAGCCCCTCAGCTTCACCTCTACACCCTAAGGGCAGCTGTGCACTTTAAACACGGGGCTGCCAATGTCAGGGAGCAGGTGTGTGAAGAGGTAAGGCCCCAGATGCGCCTCAACCAGTGATGGACAGGTTGTTGGTAGAAAAGTGCCCGACTGCTCCCCTAGGCTGGGAAAACTCTAGGGTGCATGTCCTATCGGACTCCCAGGGCAGTGTGAGCCGCTCCTTGATGGCTCCCTCTTACCTGAACCTTCTTTTCCATCTCACTTCCCCACCCTCTAGAAGTTTTTCCTAGGAGCCACTTTTAGAATAAGTGAACGCTGTGGCAAACCCTTATCTTAGGGCCTGCTTGGGAGCTGGGGTGGGGGTGACCCAAACCAGGACAGTGGGGACATGTGGGCCAGGCCCTGGGGGGCGGGGTCTCTGACCTCAGAACTATGGAAGGGCAAGGAACTTGGACACTCCCCAGCAGGGGGCGCTGAGCACTCAGGATGGAAGCCCCTTGCTGGCCCAGGGGTTTGTTAACCCTTTAGTGGTGGGAGGTGGAGGTCCAGGGGTCTTCAGAGGGGGGTGGGGGCAGCAGGGCACAGGCGTAGGATGCACCTGGGAGCAGCTGTTTACCAACCAGTGTGGAAGTGTTTCCACGGTTTACCGACCAGGAGAGCTGTGCTAGGTGCCAGGTACTGATCCACTGGGCTAAGGGGAAGAGGCTTGCCCTGCTCAGGTGAGACTGCCCCCCACAGGTGTGCAGAATGTGCCCAACTGGGATGCCTCTGAGGGCGGGGAGTGGGGAGGTCCAACGGGGGAGCTTCTGGCTGGGAGGAAACAGTTCTGGGAGTTCTTTCCACTTACTCACCCTGTAGCTCCTCTTGGGCACAAACCCTAAACAGTGATGAGCCATGAAGACGAGGTTAAGGAGGAAGTAGAGGAAGGAGAAGCAGCTGTGCAGCCACAGAACCTTACTCCTGCCAGAAACAAGACACAGGAGGGATGAGAACACCCTTTCCCACCCCATACGGTGCCCCCTGGGCCACCCTCTGGTGCTTCCAGACACTCGGGCACCTTGGAATGGGATGGCCATGGTCAGAAGGGGGTGTCCCACGCCAGGTACTGAAGACTAACATTTATTGGGTACTTCCTATATGCCAGACCCAGGGTGGGTGGGACTTCATGCTTTCTGTACATTCTCTCATGACTCTCATGCCGTATGAAGGGGGCACTGTGACTATCTTCATTTTATCTATAGGAAACTGAGGGTCAAGGTGGCAGGGGACCTGCCCGAGGTCACCTTAGCTGTGGCAGCACTGGGCGGCGGAAGCACTGGGGCTCCTCGCGCTGTATTGTGCTGCTGGCGGCTCCCACTCAGGCTCCCATGGCTGCCCATGTGACCTCTGTGGTGGGGAATGGGGGGGGGGTCATACTCAGGCCCAGAGGGAGGAGGGCCCGGCAGATTCGCTCTGCTTCTCCTGGAGTAGCAAGAGTGGTGGCATTAGGGCTTTGGGGCTCATATGATGCTGTCCCAAGGCATCTGGCCAAGAGGACTGTTCAGAAATAGGGCCCTCCATATTTGGTGCAGTTGGAGAAGAGCAGAGCTGCCTTGCTTCAAAATATCTCCTCACCACTGGTCCCACGGGCATTTCACCTAGCATTCCCTGTCCCTGTCCAGCTGGGTGTCTCACTTCTCCGTTTCTTCAGAGGGGCAGGTTTATGTGGTCTCTCAGGGACACACCAGCTCTCTGCCAATATGGATTGATGGATGTTGAAGGGTTTTTCCTGCCCTATTAAAATTAACATCTTGCCGGGAAGCTGTAGGTACCTTGCACCAGTGGCTGGCCTGGGAGAAGCTGGTGAGCTCTGCTCTGGTACTGGCAGCACCAGGGGAGGAGGTGGCTGGAGGGGGAGGCAGGAGGATGCCACAGCCCCAGTCTGCTGATTTTGGAGCTCGACAGATTGCAGGGTTTGGGGGGCAGAGGGGCAGGGGTGGGGCAGGGGAAGTGGGGCAGGAATGTGTGAAAGCCCACTCACACCTGCTGGACCTGCTGCATCAGCTTTGTCAGGAAGTCGGCCACATGTGGCCGAGACACCCAGGGGGCCTGTTTTCAGCAGGGACCGGCAGGGCCATACCTGGCTCAGTACGCATTGATTTAACCACCAACTGGGTGGGATGCTGTTCAAATCCATGAATCATGTCCAACAGCTGTTCTTCCTCAACAGACCAGAAATGAAGCTTGGGGTGGGCATGCACTGCCCCAGATTCAGGGCCAGCTAATGGCAGAGGTGGGGCATGAAGCCAGGTCATGTGGTTCCTTGGTCCCTTCCACCCCCACTATGGGAATTGGGTCTACGCTTTATTCACTATATGACAGTTGACTTGCACTATTTTGTGGGCAGGAAATAATAGCTTAAGCCTCTATTTCCTACAGAGTCCTTGCCACTTGGGTGCTGGACATATTAAACAAACAGGAACCATCTTTCCAAGTTTTTAGGAGTGGCCAGTTTGTTACCTCTTACAGATCCAGGGACACTGAGGCAACAAGAGTCCTGTCCCGTCAAGAGAATGCAACTTCTGGCCTCCCACTCAGTACACAGGTCCCAAGGAAACCAGGCCTTTCTTATCAGCAAAGCAGTGCCCACATTTCCAACCCGCACGTTGGACCTTCTCTCCCCACCGATGCCCCAGCCTGTAGAACGGGAGGTAAGAGGCGCAGGTACCTACTCTATGGAGACATTGACAATGGTGGTCCGACCAAAGTGGCTACTCCAATCTGGAAGAGAAGAAAGTGGCTGACCTCAAGGCCAGTTTCTTGGCTAAGGTGGGGGGTCGCTCAAATTCAAGGTTGCTGAATGAACGCCTGGGGTCTGGAGACGCTTGCTCACGTCCTGCCCTTCCTTCTCATTCCCCAGAACTTGCCCCCAACTCCCAAAAAAACCAGCAGAGGCCTCCTCTTCTCCCTGGGACTGCTGGTTCAGGCTCTATGGCTGTGCTGTGAGATCAAGTCTTGGTGTGGCATCCCCAGTGCCCAACTGGAGCATGGCAGGCACCAGAAAATGCTCATTGAAGGAGCCTGGGGCCCCGCCATCAGTGGAGGGATGAAACTAGCAAGGCTGTTAACCCTGGCAACCATCACAACAAGAATGTCCCATTGCCTCCTTCAGACAGACTACATCCTTCTAGCAAAGTGTGTTAGTTTGTCAGTTTAGACATCTCTGGATGTTATGAAATGTGCCCAGAAATCCTGCATTAGTATAACATATATATTATATAAAATATAGCCAACACACTAGCTCTTAGGAAGAGAATCTGGAAAGACAGAGGTTGCTTACTCTGGTGGCCATATTTGGTGGCACAGATGTTGGATGCCACCTTGAATTAGCTGAAGCTTACCTGTGGCTGAGGAGAGACAGACATGTGAGGAACCAGGGTACCACTGGCTGCCACCTGGGCATTTGGGGTGCTAAACTATACCACCCAGTTACACAGCCTCCAGCTCTGCCCATCCTCATAGTTCTACATGAAATCCTGTTATTCGCTGAGTGCTATGTGCTAGGCACTGGCCATACTTTCTCTCCCAACCCCCATAGCTGAGGACCCAACGCCCAGGGAGATTGATCTGCTGAATATAAACTGAAATAACTTGCTAGATTGGGCGAAGGTATCTTCTGGGAAGCAGATATGGGTCAAAGTCAGGGAACCAAGATTTTTCTGTCTTTGAAGCCCAAACCAACAATGTCAGCCTGTCAAAAGGACTTGTCCCTTTTATAACAAGTGTAGCAAGACTTCACAGGAGACCAACTTTGCACTTCCAGTGCTGTGTCTGCCCCACTGGAGGTGGAGAAAGATCAAGTGCAGGGATCTTTGCAGTAGATCACATGCCATAAAAAGGCCTAGCAAGCACCTGGCCAATTTCAGACTGAATTACTACCACGTGCCTGCCATGTGTCAGGTCCTGGGCCAAACTTGTTCTCCACTTGGGGGAACTAAAGTTTGGGTTGCCTCAGGTCCCACAATGAATTTTGAGAAGTGGAATTAAATTTTGGATTTCTAGACTACCAAGACCCAAGCTCTGTCCTGCCTACTGGGCTGCCCTTGTAGTGGCCCAGGTCCTGGGCGCACTGAGCTCCACCTACCCAGAACGGTTCCAGTGTAGTTGATGGGCAAGATGATACCCAAGGAGGGGATGCAGAGTATCAGCACAAAGATGATGAGGTGATACTGGAACATGATGTAGGTGCGGGCATCGTCTCCACACTTGCTGATCAGATCCTCATTCCTGGAAGAGACACATAGACAAGGATCGTCCTCAGGGGGCTGATATGGACACAGACTAAGCTGGGTGGGGAGGGGGAGGTTGGGGGGAGGGAAGAGGGAGATTAGGAAGAGAAGATTATCACCCTATGCCCAAGTTTTTATTTTTATTTTTAGAAATATCACCCTTCATCTCAAAGCCTCTATCATGTCTGGAATGTATTTCACTGAATTTCACAGGCATGTCCAAGGCAGAAGCTATTATAGACACACACTTGGGAATCCAGAAGCACTTTTTTTTTTTCAGAAGCACTTTTGAAATCAACCATCCATTCCATCTTTTATTGCTTCCTCATGCATGTTGAGTGCTTGCTATGGGGCGCGCACCAGACAAACCACTAGGGATAGCAAGATGCACCCTATTTCTTTTCTCTTTTAACTTGTAAATTAAAAGGGAATCTTTAAAGTCACAGGGAGATATCACTCCACATTGCCAGATTGGCCAAAATTAGAAAGTCAGACAATACCAAGTGTTGGTGAGGGTGGGGGTGGGGGGCACTGGGAGCTCTCCCACACCCACGGGCACGTAGTCTGGCACCGCCACTTTGGCAAACAGTGGGTATTATCTAAGGAAATTGAATATATGCACTCCCTATGACTTAGCAACTCCCATCTAGTTTTATTTCCAGTAGAAACACATATACATGTGTATCAAGAGACATGTATAAGAACCTCAGATGCCCAGCCCCAAACAACCTAAATGTCTACTGAAGGCAAAAATGGACACAAGAATTGTGAGCCATAGGGGTGCCTGGCTGGCTCAGTCGGTGGAACGTGTGTGACTCTGGATCTTGGGGTTATGAGTTAAGCCCCACATTGGGCATGGAGCCTACTTAAAAAAAAAAGAATTGTGAGATATATATGTATACATATGAGATATACTTATAATGATATAGATAGATAGATAGATGATATATCACATAATATGTAGAATGAAATACTATACAGAGATAAAAATGAATGACCATAATTGAACTTCATAAACACAATATTGAGTGAAAGACCGAGGCACAAACAAATACATACTGAATGTTTTCAGACACGAAGTTCAAAAACAGGCAATACTGAACAATGGAGTTAGAAGTCAGGGTACGGGGCAGCCCTGGTGGCACAGCGGTTTAGCACCGCCTTCAGCCCAGGGCCTGGTCCTGGAGACCTGGGATCGAGTCCCCCATCAGGCTCCCTGCATGGGACCTGCTTCTCCCTCTGCCTATGTCTCTGCCTCTCTCTCTCTGTGTGTATCTCTCATAAATAAATAAATAAAATCTTTAAAAAAAAAAAAGAAGTCAGGGTATGGGTTGCCTTTGGAGAGTGAGGAGTGAGTGGGAGGGGACAGGAAGGGGGGCATTGGGAGGAAGCAGGAGGAGGGCTCCTGGAGTGTTGACAATGTTCTAATCCTTGACCTGCTTTGCTATAACTGAGCTGGACATTGATTTTTTTGTGCGCTCTTCCATATGTGTGTTGTACTTCAAAAAAAAATTTCAAAGTAGCACATGCTTACTATAGAATTTTTGGGAAATAAAAGGAGAAGAAAATCATCCACCTACAATCTCAATCAGTCTAAGATAATGACTGTGAAGCACTTTGGTTCATTGCCTTTAGGTTTTTGTTGTTGTGATGATTTAACTTCGTGACCATAGAATAAACAGCATCGGATGTATTGCTGTGTTGCTCAGCATTTAATCTAAAGCCTTTTCTGAACATTTCACATTTTGTCTTAAATGTCTGCATGGCTGAACAGTGATAACAGTGACAGTGGCACTGACGGAGCACGGGTTCACACTCAGCACCAGGGTGGCCCCGACCCCATTGGTGGGCGAACCAGAGTTTACTCACCCTCACTCCAATCAGGCTTGTAGATTGTGTGCAACTTCTAGCATCCAGTCCAGGATTCAGGTTTATTTTTAAACAATACTATAAAGAGCATATCTTCAAGGCTTTTCAATATTCCCCATTTAGGGAATTATTTAGAGCTCTCGATTTTTTTTTTTTTTAACTGCAAGCAGTTAAAATACTTCCTGGCCTGGACTTGAGAATTAAATCCCAAGAATGGAGTGGGTGGGAACTGGCGAAAAGGCTGGGTGCCAGAGAGCGGCAATGAAGGGAGGGTCCTGCTGCAGGCTGGGGTGCCAAGACCTGGTCACCTGACGGAGTGTGCCTCTGAGGCGGGGGCCGCAGAGAGCCTCTGTCTGATCTCCAGGAGGGAGCAGAGTGGGGCTGGGGGGCCAAGGACACAAGGATTTCCTTCCTGCTCCCCACCCTGGGCTCACTGCTCCGTCTGTCTCCCCATCTCTCTGGGGGGAAGTCAGGCTATCCGCCTTACAGCAGTCTGCCTTACAGCTCCGGGGGAAGCTGTAGTTCTGAGTCTGTCTGGATTCCTCTACTTCATTCTTCCTCTTCTCAACCACAATGTTCCAGCCACCACCCTCTTCCTCACAATAAATCTCCCCTTGGCTCTGATCGCTTCCCTTCCCCTGCCTCTTTCTGGAGACCAACTGTATCCACTGACCTCTCTTCACCTACTCACTCTTCTTCCCCTGGAACCACAACCGGGTTCAAATGCACATGGGCCACTCTGAAATACAAGAAATTCCTCAAGCCTCCATTCCCTGACTTGTTTCCCCTCAAGAGCCACTCAACACCTTCACCCTCCCTCTTCCTGCCTGCCTCCTCCTCTGCCTCTACTTTGTGGACAGCTTACCCTGGAATGGCCCTCCCAATGCAGACCCAAATCACTGCCGTCCACGCCCTCTTCTTACTCTCATTCCACTCACCCCAGAGCTGCGAGCTGCGGGCCACACCCTCCTGGGTCCTCGAAGCCCGTGGCTTCGGTGAGTCCAGGCCCTAGAGATTGCGCCCTCTTCCTCCTGCCCCATCTACACTCTTTTTCAATCTTGCTCGCACAACTTCAATTATGGCCTCACGCACCCACCTCTGGCTCTGACCTTCCTTGGAAGCTTTAACTAACCCTGTTTTTCAATAGCTTGCTGGTCAACTCATGATTTGCCCTAGCCTCTCTCATCCTTCTCCCAATTCCTCATATCTCACCAGCTCCCAGAGTGGCATGGCTATCTTCCCCAGAGACCAGACCCGGATCACTCCTTTTCTAAACCAGTTGAAAGCCAGGTGGAGACCCATAGACTGCAGCCCCATGATCTCTCTCCATCTGTTCCCTCCCTTCGTCAGCACCACTTCTCACCCAGGCACGGGAGAAGCCTCCTCAGGTGCTCACTTTGCCTCTGGACTTTCTCAACTGCCAGTCCCCCCAGCCCATACTTCTGCCTACAAATAGGTTCTCATTCTGAGGATTCTGCTCAAAAAAAAAAAAAAAAAAAAAAAGAAAGAAGAAAGAAAGAAAAGAAAAAGAAAAGAAAGGAATTGGCTCTCTACTGCCTCTAGATCAAAGCCCAGGATTCTCAGCATGGCAGTCGAAATCCTCCGGGCTGATCCTTCCAGCCCAATCTTTTAGCCTCTCTCTTGCCATGTATCCTTGTTTCTAGCCACACCAGACTGAACATTTCTGGATGCTCCCTGCCCATCTCTGCCCCAAACCTTCACTCACAGTGTCCTTTATTTGTGATGGATCCTCCAGGTGGCCTAGTAAGGAAATTCTTCCCATCTTTCAAGGCCTAATACAAAACTTGCTTCTCCTGAACCCCCTATCCCTGGTTGGAATGAATTTCTTCCTTCCCAAATGCTCTTTGGACAGCAATTATAACCTCCCCATTATGAATTATATGTAGTGATTCTCGTTAACATTTGCCTCTCCAACTAGGCTGCCTTGGCTTTGTGCACAGGGGACTCTGGCATCCTTGTCCCTGCTCAGCAAATGTGTCAGGCTATCTTCTAGACACTGCTCTCAAATGCTGCAGGATGCATGGTGCAATAGCCAGCCTTCCTCCCTTCTCGGATGATGTGTTCCCAATGGAGGAAACTTAGGGTGGAATAGGGTAGGGGAAGAGGATCCTCACCCAGAGACACACACAACTGTGCATACCAACCTACCCCTGACCTGCAGATCCAGGTATGCACACCTGAACAGCTGCACACACAGATGTACACCAACGTAGTGATGTGCCTCTTATTATATCATATTTGCACACACACCACAGAGACACATACCACACGAAGTGTTCTATTTTGTGAGCTTGTGCATGCCTTAAAAATTACCAAAGCCAGAGTGCCTGGGTGGCTCTGTTGCTTAAATGTCTGCCTTCAGCCAGGTCATGACCCCAGGGTCCTGGGATTGAGCCCTGTGTTGGGCTTCCTGCTCAGTAGGGAGCCTACTTCTCCCATTCCCTCTGCCCCTCCCCCGGCTCCATCTCTCTCTCGCTCACTCATATTCTTTCAAATATAAAAATAAAATCTTTTTGAAAAAGTTACCATAGCAAAGCCAGAGAAGGTGCCAAGAAATAAACTATTTCCCCTCCACTCCCCCTTACATGTGGCTAGGATCTCTGAACCGCACACAAACTAGCTGTATCACTTCCTAGGGGCTCTGATGAATGACAAAGGAAGACTGGGGTGGAGGGAGGCCCACAAGGCCATGGGGACTACTCCTCCATCAGTAGGGTTGGAGCTCCAACACCAGAGGCCAATGGTCCTGAGCCCAGCTTAGGATCCCCAGGGCTCAGGCCAGGTGCCTTGTGCCCCCTTCAGAAGGTCTGGAGAAAGAGAGGTGCCCTGAGGTGGCTCATGGGGGTACAGTGGGGTCTCAGGGGAAATGTATGAATGAGGCCCTTAACTAGTGGGCCTGGAGGCACACGAAGGAGGAAGTCCTCTGAGCCTTTGCCAAGAATGCAAATTAGCAGGCCCTGTCAGGCCCCTTGCTGCGGTGGCCTCTGAGGGGCAGCTGGGGGGCACCCCAAGGTAGGCACACCAGGCAAGAGAGGGCCCTGAAGGAAGGGTTTCAAAGATGGGCAGGGCAGGATGCATGGGGGATATTTAGGGAGTGCCCGGGAATGGACAGGGCTACGAGGTGGAGGCAGAGCTGTGTGCATGGGCATGAGTGTGTGCACATGTATACACGGACATCCACACAGTGGGGGCAAGGGGCTCTGGAAGGTGCTCAGCTGAAGCAGGGCAGAAGCAGGAGCATGGAGTCAGAATCCTGAAGCATGGGAGAATCAGGAGAAAACAGCTGACCTGGGGTTGGTCTCCTTCCCAAGTGGGGTCTGGCCCTAAAGAGACCCAGGATGCCCGGCAGGCAAGGGGCTGGCCCTCGGTAATCGGAGCTGAGGCAAGAGGAAGTGCGCCTTCTGCCCAGTGTTTTCTTTTCCATTTCAATATGAGGAAAGATGGCCACAAAAATAAAGCAAAGAGCAATGCAGGAAGAATTTCTTTTTCCTAGTGTGGAGGTCATAAAAGCATGTTTCTATGTGTGAGAAAGTGGTCCTCTCCTGAGGGCTGCAGGCCAGGTCCAGTTCTCATTTCCTGCCCCAGGAAGCCCAGAGAGCATCCTCTGTCTGGGCTGGGCTAAGATGGTCAGGGTGCAGGGGTGGGGATTGGGGTGCAAAACTCAGGTCCAGACCTGCAGGGCAGCAGGTGCTACCCCCATCGTCCCCCCTGTAAGGCAGCTGCTGGACAAGCTCAGAAGGTTCGGGCACTTACTTCATGGTGACGGTGTTGAAGAACCAGGAATAGAAGCCCTGGGGAGAAAGGAGAGAACATGTGAGAAAATCCAGGCCCGGGCCCCCCCTCGTTGGCTGTGGGAACCCAGGCCTCCTTCCAGGCAAGAGATGGCAGCGGGAAAGAGCACAGGTCCTGGAAGCAAGTGGGCTCCATCTGGAATCAGCGGTGACCATCCAAGGAGAGGTCTCCCTGGAAGTGAGCTGTGAGTTGACATTCCTGCCACATGGCATTCTGTTACCATGAAATGGGGGCTTCATGGGCCTTGGGCCAGAGGGAGAGAAAGGACCCTTTGTGGGGTGGACGTCAGCTGCTTTCCATCTGTCGCTCCTTGCTTCCTTCCAGAAAATGCCCCCCACCTCGTGCATGCAGCCTGGTACGCTGACCAAGAACTAGGGGTCTTGCCACCAGTGTCAGTTGATGGATGGGAGCATGACCCAAGTGGGGTCAATCAAAATTCTCATAAGGGGATTAGTAAGGGTGTTGTGGGAGGGGGTCTCTCTCTGCCTGAGCTCCTGCACCGTAATGAACACCACGCAGCCCACAGTGGCTTGGTGCCATCTTCAATGTCACGGGCAGGAGCACGTCTGAAAGAAAAAAAAAAGCCCACTCAGAGGAGAGAGGTTGGGAGAGGGGATCCTGGTGGCATTGCTGGACTTCCTGGATCTACCTGTATGCAAAAGTAGCCACTTTTCTCAAATTTCCCCTGATTTAAGCCACATACTGCTGTGGGTTGGTTTTTTTTTTTTTTTTCAACACTAGTTTGAGCTGGGTTTCTTCTCTTATACCTGAGAGTCTGCTTGGTTGTGCACTTCTCTCAGGTCTTGCTGTCTGGAGTCTCTGGGTGGTGGGGAAAGGTAGCCTCAGCCTTGCAGGTGAGGGGAGGCCTAGAGAGGAAGTCTGCTTAGGAAGAGCGTGCATGAGGACGGGGCAGGGGCTTGTGGCCCCAAAAGCCACCAGATCCAGTGGCTGGTTAAGTTGCCCTGGTGCAGGCTTCCTTCTGGGATCCTGTAGGATTCAGCAAAATCTTGGAAAAGGTTGCAACTCTTGATTGACCCGCATCCGATCACAAGCCCATCACAGTAAAACAGGCAGGCCCACTTGGCTGACATTCCCTGGCCCCACACTGATTGGGGAAGGGGTATTTCCCAAAAGGAAGCCATGGGGGTCGGGCTAGCAAGAAACAGAAGGAAGTTCCTTGCTCCCTTTGCTTTAAGGCCCGTTAAGTCCCCTTCCCTGTACTGGGGTTGACTGACAGCCAGATGTCCGCCTCAGGGGGGATCATTTCCCCAATTATGTCCCTCGGAACTAAGGTAAGGACACTCTTTAAAAGCAGGGGGCTCCTGGCTCAGTGGGTTAAGCATCTGACTCTTGATTTCGGCTCGGGTCATGATCTTGGGGTCGTGAGATCGAGCCCCACATCAGGCTCCGCGCTCAGCATGGAGTCTGCTTGGGATTCTCTCCCTCTGCCTCTCCTCTTCTAAAAAAATTAATTAAAAAAAAAAGGACTGACATCGAGGTATGAGTCAGAGCCATGCCAATGGCATTGATTGGGAGAGTCTCCAGGGAAGGGGCAAACTGCTAAATTAAGAACTGGGCTGAAAGTCTGACCACCTGCCCTGCACTGGAGGGTCTTTCTCCACCACCCACCTTTGGGCAAACAGGAGTGATTTATTTAGGGAGCAAGTAGGTTCATTGATAGTCCCTAGTGGTCGTGCACAGTGGAGGATATGCCTTCCTGGTAATCCCTTCCACCCCTTCTACAGCAGGTGCAAAGGTATATACCACACTTGGCACGTGAGTATCATGGAATTCACACAGGACAGGGTAGAGATCATGCGTAGAAGTGTGGTCTACGTGCCTGTGAATATTGCACAGACACAGACGTGTGAGCAAGCCTGTGGAATCGTTGTCTCTTCTCTCACAAAGGACACACATGCTCCCCTACATGTACATCACGGCTATGAAAGGCATAAACCATTCAGAAAACTGAGCAGCTGCACAGGGGGCGTAAGAACAGATGCTGCCTCTCCTCTTGCCCCACCCTGTAGGGAATGGCCACAAGCTCCCAGGAGCCAGCTCAGCTGACCAGAGTGACAGCAGTGAGTTCATTGTACCTCTCTTGGTGGCCCCGCCCTCCTCACTCCCACCACATGGGATAACAACCCCTTTGCTTCCCCCAGGCCACTCTGGCCCGGCTGAGGCTCCAGCATCCTGGCTGTGGTCCTCCAGGGCCACCCCACCCTCCAGAGGCCACCCTGCCTGTCTCATTTCTACCTCTGCAGTTTGACTGCCCTACTGCTGCCATCATGATTTCTCAGAGGTTTTTAAAATAAATTATCTTTTTTTGCCATTGTCCAAAAAAAAAAAAAAATCCCAACCCAAGTAATATTTCTAAAAAGAAACCTGAGAACCACCTTGTAAGGTAGGTGTGACTGTCCTTATTCTATGGAGAGACTCTGAGAGACAAACTTGTCTGAGGCTTGCCCCACAGCTTGGGGCAGATGCTGGCAGGGAATGGGACCCGGTCTCTTGGAGGGATGATGATGGAAGGAATATGGTTCTACTCACTCACTGCCTCCAACAAATACATCTCACATGCTCATTGCATGGAGAGCGGGACTGGGCGCGGAGACAGCGGTGGGCAAGCTCAAGTCAGCGGCTGCTATCACTGGGGGATCAGCAGGCTAGACTGATCTGGAAGGAGAGGTGCTGTTACAGACTGGGTTAAGAGCTCTGACGGAGGGGCACCTGGGTGGCTCAGTGGTCGAGAGTCTGCTTTTGGCTCAGGTTGGGATCCTCGGATCAAGTCCTGCATCGGGCTCCCCACAGGGAGCCTGCTTCTCCCTCTGCCTGTATCTCTGAGTCTCTCATAAATAAATAAATAAAATCTTTTTTTTAAAAAAAAAAAAGCTCTGAAGAAAAAGAATGCATTCTCCACAGGTGGAGAACAAAAGATCTGGACCCACATGGGGAGGATGGGGCTCCTGGGGAAGCGATGCTGGGGCTGAAATCAGAACAAAGGGCCAGTGTGTCAGCCCTGAGAGGGACTACTGGGGAGGGGGACAGGGAAGAGCAGGTGAAGGGCCCTCTGGGGTGGGGGGAGGATGTGGCACCTCTGGGGATCTAAAAGGTGGCCAAAGTGGCCAGGGACGAGGGAGTTGGGAGGAGCAGGACAGACTGGACAGGTGGGCAGGAGACTAAAGCATGAGGCCACGGCGAGGCACCTGCACTTTATCCCAAGAGCACCAGGAAGCCATTGAAGGTTGACACCGGGGAATGTGTGTCCCCAGTCATGGGGATCGCTTTGGATGCAGGTGGAAACAGGTGGGGCAGGATTGGTTAGGCGCCACCCTGGTCATCCAAAAGAGACTGATGGGGGCCTGGCAGGGGGTGTGGGGGGAGAGCTGGAAAGGAACAAGGTTGGGAAAGTGACCACCATACACCTTCCCATATCAACATCTTGGTAATGGACTGGCTGTCCCTGGGGGCCTGGGCCCCATCAAGGGGGTGCACCTGGGTGGGCGGTGGGCAGAGTCTGAGACCAGGGATCTAGGAACAGGTGGGTGGAGGGATATCGTGGCATGTTTTGGACATAACGAATCCCAAATGCCTTTACAATATCCATGTGGAGATCTTTTGAAGGCCACTGGATAGATGTATCTGGAGCCCAGAGGGAGTTTTAGTTGGAGACAAAAAAAATGTAGGAGGGGTCTGCAAAAAGATGGCAGTTGAGGCCGTGAGTATGGGTGACACTGCCCAGGAGAGCGAGGAGGGGGTCTGGGACCAGCTGTGGAGGAGGAGCCCGCAGAGGGGACAGAGAGGAACAGGCGGGTGGCAGAAGGAAACCCAGAGAGTGTGATGTCACAGAGGCAACTGCCAGCGCCTGTTCAAGCAGGGGACAGTCTACAGGGCCAGATGTTTCTGAGAGATCAGATGAAATGAGAACTCAGGCAAGTCCATCAGACTGCATGGGGTGGGACAACCGATGACCTATCTAGGTGGGATGGAGGGGTGGAAGCCCCAGTGACGGGGTCGAGGAGTGAGAGTGAGGAAGTGGAGAGCACAGGTGCAGGCTGCTCTTTTGGTTTTGCTATGATGGGGCAGAGGGAGACAGGCAGGCATGGGCTGTGGTAGGGCCATGACTGTCCCCGCCACCATCTGTAACACCCCGGCTCTGCCCCAGGACGGGGTAGTGCCTTCCCTGCCCCTTTGGGAGTTCGTCCACTGACCACTATCCTTTATTTATTTATTTATTTATTTATTTATTTATTTATTTATTGATTTATTTTATTTTATTTATTTTTTATTTTAATTTTTTTTTACTGACCACTATCCTATGGGCATCTGTCTGGGCGTGTCTCACCCAGGGAGAAAGCCCCATGAGGCAGGACTTGCTACATTCTGTCCCCTGCCCGGTCCCCAGACCAGTGTGGCTCAGAGCAGGTGCACCATGGCAACCAGCTAAGCAAATGGACAAGCTCGGGTGTGGGACTGGCGTCCGACAGGCAAGAGAAGGAAGAGGAGATGGGGCTCCACCGAGCAGAGTTGGGTGGCAGGAGGTTAAGGGAATCCCTGCCTGATGTGAGGGATTTCCTATGTACAGGGGGAGGTGAGTCCTTGGCTCAGAGTGGGGGCTGTGATGAGGGTTAGAGACTTGAGAAGAGAGGGAAAATTAGTTTTAAAAATCCTTTTAAAGTATTAAAATTAAAAATATATATATTAAAATTAAGGAACTCTTGCTTGGCACCCTAGGATGTAGGAATGGTTAATAGCTCCATCTTTCCAATGGGGAAACTGAGGCCTGGCAAGGCTGAGGGATGCATCCACAGTCGCGTTGCCAGGTTGAGTGTAGCTGGCTGCAAAGCCCCTGAGTATAATAGGCCCACTTCTGCCTGCATACGGCAGGGCTGCCGCCCGGAGCCAGGAACCCCCTGGGCCTAGGCCCACCCTAGCACTCACCTTGTCCTTGTGTTCCATCTCTAGGGAAATATCTGAGGGAGACGTCTTCTCACTCTGCTCCCCGTAGATCAGCGAAGTCAAGCTGCAGCCAGGAAAAGCAGTGAGCAAGGAGGCGGGAAAGGAGAGAAAAGGCCTCAGGCTTTGCTGTCACTCCGGCTTCCCGGCCAAGAGCTGTGGGACCCTCCTGCCCGGTACCAGACACGCCTCAGCTAGTATGCCAAGCACACAGCTCTGGGGACAGACAGTAATCACTCCTGTTGCCAGGTGCCCAATGTATCTTGGGAGTCACAGGATCGAGAAAGTCTGAGATCTGAGAAAGAAGTGGCCTCGTGTCCAGAGACGATGGCCCCTCCCACCAAGTTCTCTTCCTACAACAAGGGTCAGAGCAGGGGCAGGAGTTGGTGCCAGGAAGACACCCGCTGTGTCCTGATGGTGGCGGCACATCCCCCAGGGGAGCAGACTTGTCCTGACCCTCAGCCTCCCCTCACCTGTCATTGTGTATCAGCAGAGCCAAGCGCCCGTAGTCCCACGCAGCTTTCCGGAGGAAGGAGTAAACCAAAATGATGACCTACAGGGCAGGGAAGTGGGGGGAGAGATAGGCCTTCTGTGTGGCTGGCTTCTGCATCCCCATGGGGGAGACCCTGTCCCCCAGGTTCCCAGGAGCAACCTGGGCTCCCCCACAAGGTGGCCAGCTCTGTTAGGGTAGAGGCCATGCCTTGTCTCAACTCTTGGATGCCCAGCACCCAGCAGCTTCCCAGCACAGAGTGGATTCTCAGAGTTTGCCGAATAAAGGCATCAGTGTCAGGTTTGGAACTATCCAACAAGAACATTCCGTGAAGAAATCAGCAAGGGGAGAGAGAAGGGAGGCCAAGGGCACTGGCTAGGTGGGCCTCTGGACAGTGGCGCATGGAGGGGAATCTTAGGAATCTGTCTATTCCTGCGGTCCCCTCTTCCCGGGGCTGCCCGGGATGTGACTGACATTCAGAGGTCCCCACCACCAGGGCTGGCATGCACTTGGAGAGCTGAGACCCCCCCAGCGTCACTTGTGACAGTTGGCCGGTGTGCCCCTCCCTGCCTCCCTGCCCACCACAGAGCCCAGGACTTACCACCCACAAGAAGATGTTGAGGATGAGCACGGTGGGGATGCCCCCAAAGGCCTGCCCCTGCAGGACAGTGCTCCGAGATTGGAAACATTCATCCGTTATGTTCCGTGTCTTTTCTACCATATTCAGGTTGCTCAGTGGGACAGCCATCCTGGGGGCTCCCTGGTGACAAAAGGGATGCTCAGATCAGACAACAGAAGCCCTCTCACTCTGTAAATGCAGAAGCCCGCCAGGGTGATGGGGCAAGGTGTACCCAGTACCCATCAGACCCAGGGCCCACAGCCAGCAGTTCCCTCAAACCCACCCAGGGCCACGATGGAAGAAGAGCCCGGATCCCCTGGGAGAGTTTTTATTTTGTACCATTTGCTCCCTTGACCAAAAGAGTTGGCAAAAGCACATCCAAATGGATCTTCTTATTTCTACCTTTGTGAAATCTTTCTTGCATATAAATAAACAGACTTCACAAAGGCAGGTAGGACCCCAGAGTAGAAGTATTCAATTTGGAGAACAGAGCTGCATTTGTGGGATGCCCATTCAGACAGGGTCTGATATCCTGTGATTCTCTGATCCAGTTTCTAGGAAAGGAAGGTTCCTAGGACAGAATGAGGTAAAGCTGCAAAGCGCCCAACACATAGCAGTGCCTCAGTAAATGTCACTATCTTAATGTCGAACGGGAACCAGAGAGATCAGCAGCTTGCCCAGGGACCTGAGCCAATCCATTGAGGGCTCATGGTCATGGGCATCAATATTCTCCAGACTTGGGGAAGAATGGGAAGCACAGATGAAAACAGGAAGTGACTGGTAGCTGCTTGAGATTATCTGCGAAGTCGTTCTGGTTTTAAAAGATCATTTGTTTTGGCTCCAGACCTCATCTCACTCTAGGAACTCTTTACTTTTCATCCAAGAAAAGTAGGCTTATTCATTCATTCCTTCATTCCACAAGTATTTAGGCAACAGCTGCCTTGTGCGAGACTGATGCTGGTGATGCATCAGTGAACAAAGGTCAAAGAGAAACCCCTCTCTTGCAGGATCCTGGTGGGGGAGAAGCAGTACAGGGGTGAGGGCGAGCTTAGAATGGAAAAGAGGCCTGGGAAGGCCTCACTGGGAGGATGACATTTGGACAAAAACCTGAAGAGGGAGCAAACCCCACAGCAGGCACAGCAAAAGGCCTGGGTGTATAAGCCGCCTGGAGTGTTGAAGAAGGGCAAACAGGCCAATATGGCTGGATAGGGGAGAATGAACAGGATGGAGCTCCTGCTCCAAGGAGTGGCACAAAATGACTTAAGTATTACAGGGATCGCTCTGACCTGTGGTTTGAAGATAAATGGGGGAGGGCAAGCAGACAAGTAAAAACAGAGAGGTAATTAGGAGGAATCTGTAGCAAGCCAGGCAAGAGGTAACCAAAGCCAGGACTGGGATAGAAGCAGAGGAGGTGGTGAGAAGTGCTCAGATTTTGGAAGTATTTTGAAGGCGAAGCCAAGATTTGCTGATAGAAGGGATGGTGGGCGGTGGGGCAAAAAGAGAGGAGTCTAGGATGACTCTGAGGTTTCTGGGCCCAGGAACTGGAAGAGGGGAGGTGCCGTTATTGGGTGCAACAGCCAAATAGTGCACGGTAGGGGGTGGTCAGGAGCTGGGTACTGGGCATGCTAAGTGGATATGCCACGTGGGTGGCTGGATACGTGAGTCTGCGGCTCAAAGGGGGCTCAGGAGACATAAATGTGAGAGTCACCAGCAGACAGATGACTCTTAGTGGCATAGGACTGGATCACCAAAGGAGTGAGCACATGGTGAGGCTCAAAGTCTGAGCCTTGGGATGCTCCATCACAGGGAGGTGAGGTAGGTGAGGAGGAAACAGGAACCAGACTAGACGAGCAGCCATCGAGGAGGGAGGAATAATGGGAAAGGGTGGTGTCGTGGAAGCTAAGTAAAATGTCTCCAGGAGAACAAAGGGACCAGTTGTAACGATGTGGTCACATACGATGACAATTGAGAATTAGCCATAGGTAAAGCAATGTGGAGGTTTAGTCAGTGGCCTTGCTGGAACAGGTGTGAGAGAGGAGGATGCCAGGAGATGTGGAGCCAGTGGGTGTGAATGATTCCTTCGAAAAGGAGTAAGAGTTTGGAAGTGGTTATAATGGGAGAAGCAGCAGTATGTGGCATGCCAATGGGAATGGTCCAGTAGAAAATTAAAAGCTGGTGATGTGGGAGAGATGGGGCATTGCTGGAGCAATGTGAGGACGTGGGAAGGGCTGGGAACCGGCTCACAAGTGGAGAAGCTGGCCTTGGCCCAGAGCTGGATACTGACCGACAGCAGCAGGAGAGAGGCAGGTGCACAGGTGGAGCTCGTGGGCGTGCCCTCCCACGGCTTCTATTTCTCAGCCTCAGAGGGAACAAGGTCTCAAAGGTGACTGTGCAATGCTGGTGGTGGGCAGATGTGGGATGTTTGAGCACAGGATAAAGGCAGAAATAGAAGTCTAGACGAGTGATGGAGTGAATGGATTTCAGGAATGTGGTAAGACTGCCAGGCAGCACGAAGGGTCCACTGAGGTTCATGGTCTTGAATTTATAGCCAGAGCAGCCAACTCATCAGGCATTTCTGCCAGCTGTGCTCATCTGGGTGGCTACAGGTGTGGAAGAGGCAGACAGCTCGACCTAACCAGGCTAGAGGTTTTCCCAGGTAAGTATGAGAATAAGAGAGTTGGAACTATATATGAGGGAGTAGTTTTAATGACTGGCCAGGAGAGAAAGGAGACGAGATGGGCGAGGGATGGTGACAGGTGTCAGAGGTCCAGGGAGGTGGAACTGTGGAGCATAACAGACTGTGAGCTGACAGGGAAACAAGCTGTTAGAAGGGATTGGTTACAGATAGTCAGAAGGTCTGGGGCATGACCATGGAATGAATGGGGGAGTGGTGTCAAGGAACTGAGAGGCTGGAATGTCCTTTGTAGATACGTGGATACGGAAATCTGTAAGAATGGAGACTAGACGAATACTGGTGTGACAGTGAGGCAGGAGCTGAACTCTTCTGGGAAGGAGGAGACTGACCTGGTGATGCTTCAGGATAGTTGGTGCCTGTACCAACTCCCCTGTACCAACGACGGGGAGTGGGATGTTCAGGCTGATACCTTAGGTCCAAGGAGCCAGGAGGAAGGAGGAAGGAAAAAGACTCTGGAAATCACAAAGAGGAGCAAGGAAGATGTCTCTCCCATCCCCTGGCCTGAGAGGGTGGTAAGGGAAGTCCTGTCCTAGGGAGTCTCAGGTTCCAGTTTCCGGTGAGCAGGTGAGGTGCTGCAGGACCCAGGGGTGTTTCTGGGCATCGTGGGCTCTGTGGCACTGAATCCCAGTTCCAATGCTCACTGGCCACCTTGAGGAAGCTACTTATGGTCTCCCTGACTCATTTATTCATCTGTAAAAGGGGGGTGGTGTTCGTAACTAGTACCCCCTTCACAGTGCTGTCAAGAGGGATAAGTGGTTTAAGATTCATCAGTCATGGAGGGCAGCCCCGTGGCTCAGCAGTTTAACGCCGCCTTCAGCCCAGGGCCTGATCCTGGGGACCCGGGTCGAGTCCCATGTCAGGCTCTCTGGATGGAGCCTGCTTCTCCCTCTGCCTCTCTCTCTCTCTGTGTGTGTGTCTCTCATGAATAAATAAATACAATCTTAAAAAAAAAAAAAAAGATTTGTCAGTCATGGAGAACAATGCCTGGAACACAGAAGTACCACGTAGGCGCTTGTCGAATGAAAAGCAGACCCAGAGCTGAGGGGGGAGGGGGGCGGACAGAGGAACGCTGTCCAGAGTTGGAGAAGCTTGGGGGATGAGGATGGAGAGAGGAATAAAGGTGAAGGTGCTGGTGTGCCGGACACAGGAGGTGGCCTGGAGGTCTGGGGCTCCCCGTGCGGACTCACAGAAATAATACAACACAAGAGCCCACCCCCTGCCGGTCAGATTAGCCTCTAGCTGGAGTGGGGAGCCTCTGGCCTATGTTTTTCTGCTCCTCTTTCGGCCTCGGCTGCCCACGGTTTTATCACCCCAGGTCACTGCTTAGCTCAGGCACACAAGCATGCTCAGCTGAATGTAAACTCATAATGGTTTACACTGAACACAGTACCTTTATTTGTTTATTTTTTAAGATTTTATTTATTTATTCATGAGAGACACAGAGAGAGAGGCAGAGACACAGGCAGAGGGAGAAGCAGGCTCCATGCGGGGAGCCCGACGTGGGACTCGATCCTGGAACTCGAGGATCAGGCCCTGGGCTGAAGGCAGGCGCTAAGCCGCTGAGCACCCGGGTGTCCCCGAACACAGCACCTTTAAACGCGGAGCCGCCGGGCAGAGAAGCCCGAGGACCACCGCGGCAGCGAGCTGCAGTTCTGCCGGCGGCCACTGGGGGAGCCCGCGCGAAGGGAGCGGCCGGGGCGGCGCGTGCGCGCTCGGGAGGCCGGGGGTGGGCGCGGGCCCTCACCTGGGGCACTTCTGCAGGGAGGGGCCGAGGCGGGCCGGGGGCTCCGCGCACCTGCGCGGCAGCTGCAGAACGGCACAGGCGGTGCAGGGACCGCCGGACCCAGGGGCCCAGGCCGCGTTCACGCGGCGTCATCCCTCAGGGCGCCCCGCCTCGCCTTTAGGCTCCGGATCCTCAGCCTTCATCACGGGCGTGTTTTGCAAATAGCTTTTCTCGGCCTGTGCCTCTTTTCGTTTCCTTCGTGCTATCTCAGGGGCGCTACAGTTTCGGATTTTGACAAAGCCCAGTTTAACAAGCTGTCTTAATATGGACCGGGCTTTGGCATGGTGTCTACGAAATCTTAGCCTACCCCGAAGTCTTATTAAAGATTTTCACCCTGGGGCGCCTGGGTGGCTCGGGTCGTGATCCCGGGGCCCTGGGATCCAGTCCCGGGCATCTGGCTCCGCCAGGGAGCCTGCTTCTCCCTCTGCCTGTGTCTCTGCCTCTGTGTGTGTGTCTCTCATGAATGAATAAATAAAATCTTAAAATAAGAATACAGATTTTCTCCATTTTCTTCTGAAAAATCATACAGTTTTAGCTCTGACACTAAAGTTGAGGATGCATTTTGAGTTAGTTTGCACTGAACGGGAGGTAAGGGACTAAGTTCATCTTTCAGCATGTGGCTATCTGGCTACCCAGCACCCTTTGCTGGATTCTCTTCTTTCT